GGGAAAAAAATTTTTGTCGCTTCATTACTGGATTCGACGGAAAACCTTTGAACGAAGTGATATCTGAAGAAGAATTTAAGCGAGTCATGCCGATTCGATCATCACTTCGTTCAAAGGTTTTCCATCAAGTCCAGTAATTAACACAATTGTTATAGGTGGAGACTCTTCGATATCAGTCCAATCGTAGTCACGTTGAATATCAATAACAATGGAGTCTTGCTGTGGTGTTCTTCCAAAACATGAGCTGCTCCAATTCCAAACCCAGTGTAGATAGTTCGATGGGTGTAGAGGGATTTCCCATTGGAGTTGTAGGAGAGCTGCCAACAGGTGTAAGGTACTTTATCAATTTGTTTTGATTGATGGAAACTGAAAGCACCTTACCAACCAAAGGACTGTGAGTGGCAGTAAAATTTCCACTTGTGTTATCCGTAGATGATGGGATGACAAGTTGAGTTGGGGAAGCAGCAGAAACTCCTGTAATAGTGATCAAGAGTGGATGATCTCCAGTATTTTGAGCTGGGACTGGGTCGTATGGCTACAAAGCTTCACCACCATCAGTCAGCGAGAGTGAGAGTTGAGCAGCGTCATAAGAGTCAAAGTCGCGTGAAAGCTTCTTGTTGAAAGCTTCTTTAAAGTCGTCGACGTTTGCGCAGTCTTCAGTAGAGACTTTGACAGCATTGTTTGGCTTAAGCTTCACCCAAAGTTTTGTCATTTTCGTGGAATAAAACTAAAGACACGAAAATGACAAAATATAACAAATTTATGAAAAACTATATTTACCATTCAAATTATTTACAATGAAATAGAGCCAGAGTTTGTATGAATTTTCCTACAAACTTTAAATAAAACGGTATCATTTGGTGCTCTTTCTATACTACTGTTGGCAAACACACCAACCATCATATGATACAAACTATAGTTTTGAACTGATGTGTTTAAACCTTGCATTGTTGCGTTTGATTGCATAGTCATACGGTGTACGATCATCACATTCATTCATTGCAATTCAGACATTGAGTTTACTGTTTGAATATTATCAACAAAAGCCTGGACATATTCATTGTTGCCAATCTGTCTGTCACTCAACAGTTGGTTTTTGTACATAATATTGTTTTCAAGATCATTGACATTGTTGACTGGTATTTGCGCATGGTAAGATCCACAAGTGTGTTTGCAATGTCTCGTTGTTCAAGTGTTGATGATTACAGGGTTGTCAGGCCATCAATCAACAATCTGATGACAATATATTATACAAAGTTTTGGCATGAAAGTATAAATCCATACGCAAAAGAACGTGACTTGAATGTCAAGACCAGCAACAACTGTTTCTGAACAATGATTTCAATGACAGTGTCCAGAAAACCGACACCAATCAAACATGCGACTGTTTATCATGTAGTTTACATAAATACGGCATTGAGTAGTTGTTGGATTGAATTCAAGTCGAGAAAATCGTGACTGGATGCTACAAACTGCCCAAAACCTCGACTATCCAATTTATCAAGTTTATTATTTATAGCAAGGACCACATGTCTTTACATCTAGTTGTTTTACACCATGGACTGTGGGGAAACCCCAACCATATGGATCCCATTATTAATGCTATTAGGAAACACTCTTCCAGTACAGATGTTTTGCCTGGGAATGCCATCAACAGTCCTAAATCAAAGGAGCCAGAAGCATTGTCCAAGCCTTCTGAAGTTGCCGAGTCGGATCCATTGAAAGCCTCCGACTTGGTATTTCTCAATATCGACTCTTCAGTTGGCATGTATACTTACGATGGTATCGATGTTTGTGGTGACCGAGGCCTTGTTAGTGTCATGGCTGTTTTAGAGCAGCATGAAGGGAGAATTGACCGAATATCATTCATTGGATACTCTCTTGGAGGCCTTATCAATCGATACATGATTGGCAAGCTATACTCTACAAAGATATTTGATAAAGTGCGTCCTGTCAACTTTATTACTCTTGCAACTCCACATTTGGGAACTAGCCATCCTCAATCGTCTATTATGGGACGAGGGTTTAATTATTTCCAGCAGGTCGTCCTTGTGCGTGTTGGTCAACAGCTTAGCCTTGCGGATAAATTTCTAAACGGCATTCCATTGCTACTACTCTTGTCAGATCCCAGTTTATGTTTTTTCAAGGCATTGGCCTTGTTTCAAAAACGATCTGTATTTTCAAACATCAGGAACGATCTCACAGTTAGATACACCACTGCTGCGATTGCCTCGAGCAATCCCTTTAGAAGGTTCAAGCCCATCAAAGTAGACCCAAAACAATACCCTGCCATCGTGCAGCCATCAGAAACTGATCCTCCGGAAAAGGAAACTTGGAAATGGAGCGAGATCCGCATCTTGAGCGTTTTTGTTGTTCTATCTCCTATTATTGTTCCAATTTGGTTGATTATTCTTTCCATCTCGCTTTCTGTGTTGTCCATCAAGGCACGGATTCGTAAAAAACACTTTGTGGAAGATGTGCAATGGATATCATCCGAGCATGATTCAACTCAGTCATCAGAAGCTATAGAACTGCAGCATGCATGCAGTGAAGCAGACAAGGCTCAGCCAAACTCCGAGTTGCTTTCAACGCACACTGCACATGAGCTTGCTGAGCTCTCTTTAAAAAAGAAACGCGAGTGGATGGTGCACACGCTCAACACTCTTGTTTGGGAAAAGGTTAATGTCTGCATTTATTTCAACAATGCTCATGCAGCAATTGTTATGAGACGAGGTGGAGTGCATAACGAACATATTTTAATTTATTTGGCAAAACAAGTATTTGTAACCAAATAAACCATATAAAAATAAGTATTTTTACTGATCATTTGATCCGCTAGATAGTGGTAGATTTCTATAGTGACGGCTCATTTAGAGAGTTGGCGAATGCATACTTGAATACTAGGGATGCTGAGAATAGCAACACTTGACTAAAATACAGTTACATCCATCCAAACAGTTGAGGTTGAGAGTGTGCGATTTGGACCATCTTGTCATATGCATCGGCATCTGGATCGTGACAATGCATTGTTAGTTTTATTTCAACATTATGGCAGAGTTGAGTCTCGACAAGAATATATCTTTAACCATCCAAGCAAGACAGCAGCTGGAATCAGTAAACTTGCCATAATTTTCGTCAAACATGCATGATGAGATCTCTGTGACACTCATGTCTGCTTCGACTCGTCCGAGAATTTCAACAACACCCTGTCGAACAGTTGATCCCTTTACAAAAACAAATCAGTGATTTTAATTAGAGTTGCAGTGTGTAGAGTGGGAATACCTGTACAAGAAGGATATTGACTTGGCCCTTGTCAGATGCTTCTAGGATGGCTTGCTGTGCATTCAACTAGGAATCGACAAGAATACAATCAAACTAGACATTGTCAGTCAACCCAAACGTCTTTAGATTGCTAGTAGAGTACAAGTAGTGCAGGACTGACCAAAGAGATTCTCCCAACAAGACGAACGGTGCGACCAACATTTTTGTGAAGCATGGATGAGTTGATGCGTGGAGTCTCGCTGCCTTTGGACATGCTTGATGTTGAATGTTGGAAAAGGAAAATAATTCAAAACGATTGCAGTAAATCAATGTCCAACACAAAGTGTCATGACCAGTCTTGAACAGAAACAAGACATTCCATTCAAAACCTTATTCTGGTGTAGAATCGTATGAATTGATTACATGATCGTTACAGATTCAATTATAATTCTCAAGTATCGGTTCCAATACTTGATGTGATGGACTCGAATTCCGCCTCAAATTTCTTATAAATAGACTCGTGTGAACTCGTCTCAACCAGATAGTTTCATCCATTGTCATGATTGCCTCGAGTTCTGCTAATTTGTTTTGGCGTGTTGGAAGTCTGTTGGGTGCTACCGGTGTAGTATGTGGAGCATTCGGTGCTCATGGTCTCAAGGTACATTCTTATTCTGTTGTACGTTGGTTATATCACTATATTTGGCTTGAGTTAATCTCGATCCTTCAACACAACCGTCTCTTAGAAAATGCTGTTAAAAGATCCAGACTCCCAGAAACTGATCGAAAGCTGGAAAACAGCTTCTCAGTATCAGATAGGCCATGCAATGGTTCTACTGGCTACCTCTATCCGAATGAGACAGGTTCCAAATGCAAGTTCCTTGGCTGGATGGCTGTTTGTAACTGGTATTGTTGGATTCTCTGGATCGATTTACTGTCTAGTCATGGATCGTAAAAAGCGAATATCAAAGGTTCTTGGGCCAGTTACTCCTATTGGTGGAATGTTTTTGATTGCTGGTTGGGCTGCTCTTGCATTCATGTAATACACTCGATTATTCCATACTGAATTCAGTTATGGAATATGTCTTTACCATAATATGGGTTTGATCTACAGGGTATTTGACAGATCTGAGCATTCATCACTTTTAATCGACCAAATAAATGATTGATGGTTGACATGAGCACAACAGTTGCACTTTTGAAATATGTCATCATTATTTTTTGGACTAGAACGTAAATAACTCAATCTCTGAATTACACGGACGAAATCTGATGATCGTACAATGTAGGGTTATGTCAAAGATGTTTTAAACCAGTTGGTTTGTAATAGAAAATCAAGTCAGTCAATCATTATTTCAAAGCAACATTGAAAATCAGTCCAAGATAAATACAGAAAAGTGTTTCATTTTACGTGAATACGAATATAACTCGAGCACAGATCTGAATCGCCTATGAAATTCGCTGTGCTCGTTTGAGCTCGTCAGGAGTAAATTTCAATAGCATTCCAATAACACTAAGAAGTTGACCCCTCTTATCTTTTGATTCTAGAAACTTGAGGATAACATGTTTAAGGTATTCTGGATTGGGATCAGGCAAATCAACCGAATCGCGAGATGTTCGATGCTGTTGAAATGAGGTGTGTGATGCCTGTTGTGGCTGTTGCATTAATGACGACAAAGCTGATGAATGAGGCGATGATATAGTTGGTTGATCGGAAATATGATTTATGGATGTGCTACTCGATTGCGCAGTCAGCTGTGATCTGAGCGGTCCAAGAAGAGAACTTTTCGACATACTAGAGTTATACAAGGGCATAGATGAGTTTGCTGGAGGCGACAATTGACCGCTAGAAAGTGTCAAAGAGGGACGTCGACCACTAAGGGTATCGGTATCAACCGCAGATAATCGAGGAGAAGAGTCGTTGCTAGACGAGTTGGTAACTAATGAATTGCGGGATAGCTTGCGTACTTCGTCCTTTAATGATTTATTGAGATTCTTGAACTGAACTTCCTTCATTTTCCACGCGGCCAATTCCACTTCCCGATCAGCAGTCAACTGTTTTTGAGCCGCTTCCAATGCCTCGAGTTCACCACGACACTCGGCCAGCTTCAACTGTGTGATATGCAAAGCAAAATAAATTCAAATCAACATTATAGTTTATACTGGCAATTGACAAAAAAACTGGGCTTACATTGGATTGATTCAATTCAGAAGTAATGTCTGATTCACGACGCATCGCTTCTTCCAACAAAGATTTGATCGACTCGTATTCCTTCAACTTTTCATGGAAAGTCAGTGTACGTTGATCTGCAGCCTCTATTGCAGCAGAAAAGTTGCTTTTGATTTCAACAATCGACTGCTCCAGTCTACGAATCTCTTTTGTACGCTCACTCACTTCTCGCTGAGCGTCTTTGGCATCGCGCTGCATTTGCTGATAATCTTCTCGAGTCTTGAGCGACATCTGAGAAGAGTCAAATAAATTGGTCTCTAGCTCTGATATTCTAATTTTCATTTGATCGTTCTCAATACTCTTGGTTTGGAACAACCGCCTAGATGTCTCCAACTCGGCATTCAAGTTCTCAATATTCGTTTCATAATCCTGAGATTGCATTGTCCATGCCTGCAAGTCCTGTTCAAGCTGAGAATAACTGTCGCGAAGTGCATCCATTTCTGCACGTACGGCACGCACACGCTCATCTGCCTTGCTAGTTTCATCCTTTGCATGCGACTCGGCCAACTTTAATCTTGACATTTGACGTTCAAAATTAGAGCGTTCATCCGCTAGAACCTGATGCACTGAATCGACCTCTCCAAGCTGTTCATGCTGTTGTCGAAGGCGAGCTTCTAGGTCCTCGATCTGACGACTCAGTGCAGATTTCTGCGTTTCTTTTTCTTGTAGTTCTTGTTCACGCTGGCTATGCGCATCGGTAACTTTTTGAAGTGCTGCTTGTACCTTTTCAGCTTCAGCCTTAAGATCGCTTTCCAATTTCAAAATACGTGTTTTAGAATTACGCAACAGCTGTATTGACTTGGACTTTTTCTCCTCTTCTTCTTTCAATGATTTCCGGCACTGCGCCAGTTGCTCTTGAATGGCTTCCAACTGAGTGTTTTTATGTATTATATTAGTCAGTGATTCGGCAAGCTTGGCTTCAATGGATTCCAGCTGAGACGCCTTTTTTTCGGATTCGACAAAACGCTGATTGATTAAAGACAGCTGTTCAGTCAAATTCTGTATGCTGCTGTCTTTTTCTGCTATTTGGTTTTGCAAAGAGTCGATACTTTTTTGTAAGTGTGCAGCAGTGTCAGTTGCTGCTGCAAGATCCTTGTCTAAATGCGTTTCGTGTCGTTGTTTTGCATCACTGGCAGTTAGCAGCTTGCTTTCAAGCTCTGCAATGTTGATCTTGGCTTCTGTGTGCTCTTGTTGAAGATTAGCTAAATGTAACTGCTGTTCATTTAATTCTTGCTTGGCCAACTCAAGTTTAGCAACTTTAAGAGTAAGTGAATGCTTATCAGTGCGTATCTGGTCCACTTCTGTCTTTAGGTTTGTAAACACAGATTCCAACGTGTCATTTTCCGTGTTAGAATCTGGTTTCAACGCTTCAAGACAAGACTTGGCAATGGTTTTGGCAGTATCCAGCGTAGACAGTTCTGCCTGTGCCTTTTGTAGCTGTTTCTGTAAACTAGTATTACTATCTGAAGTTTCCTGTAATTGTTGTTTTACAGTATGATATTCAGACTTCAATTGGTCTGCATTTCCATGTGCACTCGTCAATTCAATGTTGATCTGATCCAGTTGTTTTTGCAAATTCTTGTTTTGCACAAGTGTGTCCCTTGCTTTGGCTTTAAACCCGTCTGCAAGCCGTTGCAGTTGGGCTTTGGTGGCCTCGTCAGAGGTTGTTTCAGTTTGTAGATCATTTATACGACTCGAAAAAGCATTGGCAAGTTTTGTAACTTTTTGACACTGTTGTTGCATGGCCTCGTGTCCCTTGGTCATGTCTAGAATACATTTTTCCAAAACTTCCATTTGAGCGGTCTGCGTCTGAAAATCTAAAGTGATTCCATGCTTATCTGTGCCACATTCAGCAAGTTCACTTTCTGGTCGTTTTGATTCCGGAGTCTCGTGGCGGGAAGCTATCAGTTCCTTAGTAGCACAAGCTTCGCGCAGTTGAGCCTCCAAGTCAACCAGTCGAGCAGTATCTACTACCACTTTATCTGCGTCCTCAGCTGCACCAAGTTCAAGTTTATTAAGATCTTTGATTTGAGTAATCAAATTTTCAATATGCAGGTTATGCTGACAACGTTCCGAATCAATTAATTCAGAGAGAGACTTGTAGGCTTGGTTAGAAGCATGCAGATCATGCACCAACTGCTCAACATGAGATTTGATTGGCTCCATAGATGCTTTCATTTCAGTCAGCTTTGCCATCATATTACCTTGTTGATTAGTGGTATTTGAGCAAGCGTCGTTGATCATTTGCTGAACCTCGGTAAACTGGCCAGTCAAGTCGCGCAAGTCTGTTTCTAAAAACTGTGCTTTTTGAGCTGAGGTGTTTATTAAAGTGTCTGCATTATCGAGCTGCTCTTCAAGTAAAGTTGCTGCTCCATTTTTGAGAGTTTCATTATGCTGACTTGACTGCTCAAGCTGTATAGATTGCTTCAAAATAGTTTCGTTTAAATTTTCAATGTCAGTTTCCTTTTTCTGAATGCTAAGATTCAGATCAGTAATCTGTGAGCGCAACACAGCCAGTGTATCGCTGTGGGAATGTAGCAATTCTTCTTTTTCCGAATGATGATTTACAATTTGAGATTCTAGAGATGAAGACAATGTAGATTTTGCTGCTAATTCATCTGCTAGACGTTCTGTTTCCTTACGAAGAAGAGCAAGTTGTTCTTGCAAAGTGTTTTTTTCAGATTCTAAAGCCAATACTTTGTCGCTGACTTGAACAGTCTCGGATTTTGCAGATGCAATTTGGGATTTAAATTGATGCACTATGTTATGGATTTGAACCATAGTTTCCTGGATGTGTGACTTTGCTTTAATGTGATCGGTTTTTACTGAAAAAATATCTACCTTCAAGGCTTCCACGATTGTGTGATGCTTTTTAAATATCAATATTTTTTCTGATTGAAGGCTATCCAGCTTCTGTTGCAATAAAGCCAGTTTTTTAGTAAGGTGTTCTATTTCTTGAGAGGCCTCAGATTTTGTAGATGCAAGAGTGTCAGTTTGTCGCAGGTCCAGGGTTTCTTGTTCAAGCATTTTGAGCTCAGCGTTGCGTTGTTCAAGTTCTTCTTCTAGAGATAAACATTTAGATTCGGCCTTGCTGAGCTTTTGTTGAACAGTGCGAAGCCGAGCCTCAAGGCCGGCACTTCTTTCGCGATTTTCTTGACGAACCTGCTCAGTAGATTTTTGACTACCACCTGATTTAGACAATTCTTTAACTTGAGAACGAAGGTTTTCAGATTCTTCTGCAAGCCCAGTAAATTCATCATTAAGAGACTTGTACTGTGAACGCAACTCCTTGACGGTACGTTCCAGAGTTGTTTGTGTTTCTTCTAGTTCACTGACACGATCAATGGAACGATCATTGTCTTCACGAAGAGCAGCAACAAGTGATTGAATGGCAAGTTGAGCGTTGTTGGCTTTTTCGTATTTGGCTTGCCATTCCTGATTTTGCGACTCAAGTTCATGGATACGAATATTAAGACTCATTTCGGCGCTGTTGCCGTTGGGAGATGTAGGTGCGGTAAAAGCAATATTTTCCATAGATCCAGTAGATGCAAGAGTATCTAGTGCATGGTTTGAGCCCATTCGGTCATCAAAGGAAAGTCGAACGGCGGTTGTAGGAGTTGCATCTTTTTCAATGTTTTTGATGTGCTGGAGTGCCTTGTTGCGCTGTTCCGTGGTTTTCTGAAGAGATGTGGTAAGCTCACGAATCTTGAGTTTAAGTGAAAGAGAGTCCATGGATGTGGTATGCAAGGAGGATGGTCCATTCTGATGGCTGGGTGTCGACGTACCCGTGTGATCACTAAATGGTGTCGAAGCCCCTTCTGATGGTGCATTGCTTCCTTCAAGTTTATGCAGTTTGTGTTTAAGACGGTTGATTTCCTAAAAATATACATGGAAAGTTTAAACTCGAATGCTTGTATTGAGAAAGTCTAATTTGATAATATATCTACCTCTTCTCGTTCAACCAGTCGTGCTTGCATAGATCCGTACATATCTGCGTGTGTGCGAGATTCATCATTGTGAGATTGCTTCAGCTGTTGTAGCTTTTCAATCAGCTTGGTCACTTCTGATCCAGCCTAGTATAGATCAGACCAAAATAAAACTATAGCGTTAGTTCAAATTGTGCGATATATGCGAGTAAACTAAATGAAAACATACATCTTGATTCAAAAAAGCATCTTTTAAATAGGTTTCTAGATTGACAAAATCATCTGGCTTGGTAAAGCTTTTGACTGATGTATGATTGATGATGATTGTTTCAAGTTGTTGTTGTTTAGACTTAAGAGCCTTGTATGCCTTTGCAAGATCTAAATTAATTTACAAACTTGATTAATAGCTGAAACACTAGTATCGAAAGCAGAACGCCTTTTCAGATAAAGAGGATAGTCAAGGTTGAACATACCAGTAAAACGGGATTCAAACTTTTTAAGCCGATCCAGTTTTTCTTGTATTTCTTCTGGTGTCAAACCAAGTCCAGTTTCAGATACGGTTGTAGAAATTGTTGTTGTTGAAAGGGATGGTTGTGCTGGTTGGGACAACAGCGGCAGGTCAAGAGGAATGGTGGAAAACCCACCAGCGGAATTTGGAGGAGCAGTAGTAGTTTTCATGCGTTCTGGAGATGCAGTGAGTGATGATGCCAAAGAATATGGTATAGCAGGAGATTGAGTCCCAAATGGCAAATTCTCATCACCAGTAAGCAAATCCATTGGCAGTTTAGTAGATAGCGATGCAGTAATGTCAGTGTTGGACGAATAGGATCCAAAGAGACTTCTTATAGGCGAATTATCAATTGGGTTTAATCTGAGGGTATTCCCAGCCATGTCGAAGCTGTTGTGAGCAGATGGAGGGTCAGACTGCAACCCATTGATGGTTGACTGAGTGTGGACTGATTCAAGTGTAACAGGAACGAATGCATTGCTGGATGAAGCATCAAAAATAAGGTTTTTTTCCAAAGAAGATCTGCCAGAAGTTGTTTCTGATAGTTTAGCAACAGGATGGTTTGACGGGATTAAAGAAGAACTGGCCAGCGAGGTTTGTAGAGTTCCAACAGCATCTCTTGAAGCAGCAAAAGCCTTTCCAAAATGAGACTGAAGTCCAGTAAAAAGACTAGATGAATGGCCAGCTTCAGGACTATGTCGGGGAGTGGTGATTCGTGCATCCTTGTCCATGCTGGTGTTGCTGGATTCCAACTGTTGAATTCCAACTGTTGAAAGTCAAGTTTTGAATTCAGCCAACGTGTCGAACTTGTCATCAGGAACATCAGCAATATAGAGTCTGACCACCATAATTATACGGTGTGTTGGTCTTGCTCATCTGCTGTTCTTTAATCATTGTTGAATTATTGTTCATCGATGCTTGTGCTGCGATCGCCATCTCGACGCTGCAGATTGCTTCTGTCTAGTGCTGGATTGTCTTGTTGCTCCTCCCCTTTGACTACTTTATTGCTCCATTCATCTCCTATTTCTTTGCATGCCATTTCCAAGACTAGGTTGATTCATGCCGACTCGCTTCGCCATACATTATTATTGCAGCAACAGATGGTCTTGAAGGACGCTCAGCAGCATTCTAATATATCTCTTAGAGATGCGTTTGACACTCCTCACATCTCTCAATCATTAAATATTAGTCCTTATTCCGAGTTTGTCGGTCATACTAGCAAAATGGGTCTGTTTGGATATCTGGGTTTGCACCATCCAGCTGGCTTTGTATCTGCTGCTAAAAATGCAGTTCAACGAGCTCAGGGAATCGTTGATAAAGTGTGTGCTGCCACGACTGATGATGAACTCAAAAAAACTACAAAAAGACTCGATACCCTTTCTGATATTCTGTGTTGTGTCGTTGATACTGCAGAGGTAATTCGTAATGTCCATCCTGATAAAGAGTTTGTGAATGCTGCCAATCAAGCGCATTCAATTTTGAGCAACTATCTCAATCAATTGAATACCCACCAGGGACTATACAAGGTATATTGATCCATCTCAAATATCTGATCTGTATTTTTCCGAAAACAATCCTAAATATTGAGTATTATTTCAATCATTAGACATTGAAACAAACACTTGACCGTTCAAATATTGTTGATGCCATGTCCGAGGAAGAGAAGCGAGTTGCAAAGCTACTCATGATTGACTTTGAAAAGTCTGGCATTCATATGCCAGATGCAACACGCGCCGAATTCGTTCGCATCAATGATCGTATTTTAGAGTTGGGTCAAGAATTCACCATGAACTCGTTTCCTTCTGAAGAGTTTGTTCAATTTGATGACGCTCACAATGATCTTATTGGAGTTCCAATTCCTCTTGTAGATGCACTTTGCCGAGCCAGCTCTCGTGCCAAACGTGGATCTCAATCGGAATCTTCAAATAGACCCGCTCGTGCCATTGTTCCTACATCATCAGATATTGCTTCAACTATATTGCGAACAGCACACAAAGAAGAAACCCGCAAGCGAATTTATCTTGCCATGAATTCAGCATCTTCACATCAAATCTCCGTACTTGAAGAAATGCTAACCTGTCGCGCAGATTTGGCTAGACTATTAGGAAAACCAAGCTATGGACATGTGTATTTGATTGACAAGATGGCTGAATCACCAGGTATTGAGTTGCCTGATTATCATGACAAGATATGCATGACAAGTAAACTTATGAAAAACCTTACTATTTGGATGCTTAGAAAAAGTAAAGTCGTTTTTAGAAACTCTTTCATATGCTAATAGACCGCTTTGTGATAACGAGTACAATCGGTTAAATGATATAAAGCGTGTACATACTGGCAGATCAGAAGGCATCCGTGGATGGGATCGATCTTATTATACTCAGTTCTTAACCCGACCCACGTATGAAACTACTCATCCGAGTTCAAGTACTCCTACACCTTTAAGATCGGGTGCTACTTCATTACGTCTCAACTCACTTTCTTCATATTATTCTGTCGGATCCACGCTACAAGGCTTGTCTGATGTGTTTAACATGCTATATGGAGTTCGGCTCGAGCCAAGTCAAGTTCTTCAAGGCGAAACATGGCATCCTGATGTACGTAAGCTAGACGTGGTTCATGAGACTGAAGGAAAACTCGGTACAATTTACTGTGATTTGTTTTCAAGAGAAAGTGGAGGCGGTCGGAAATATGAAAGCGCTGCACACTTTACTGTGAGATGCTCAAGACGCATCGATAACGATTATGACCATTACGAACCCAATTTTGATACCATGAGCAATCCAAACAATGAGCAAATTGTGTACCATTCACAGGGAAAATCTTCCAAACTGTATCAATTACCCATCATTGTGCTGGTGACCAGCTTTCAACGACCGCAAGAAGGGCGGCCTGGACTATTAGAACTACACGATATACAGACACTTTTTCACGAAATGGGACATGCAATGCACTGTATGCTTTATGCTTGAACTGTAGTTGCAATGCTTTGGGTTATAATTGAATTTTCAATGTGGCTTGTCAAAATTGTGGATAACTAATGCTTTTAAATTTGATATCTTGATCATGTCTGATATGATTCTATTTCAGCTATGCTCGCTAAAACTGATTACCAGCACATTGCAGGTACTCGAGTTGCAATGGACTTTGTTGAAGTGCCTTCTATTTTAATGGAACTTTTTGCAAAATCTCCACAAGTTTTGGCTAAATTTGGTCAGCATTACCAAACTGGCGATCCAATTCCTATGGATCTACTTGAAGCACAGTGTTTGCATCTCCTCACACTCGAAGCTCTTGAAACTCAACAGCAATTAAAAATGGCGCTTCTTGACCAATTATATCACTCTCCTTTGGCCATGTCCAAATCAACCTTTAACACCACATCAATACTCGAAGATCTTCAAAATAGTATGTTTCCAATTGCTTTTGCGCCAGGAACTCATTGGCAGATTCAATTTTCCCATTTGTTTGGATACAGTGCAAGTTACTACAGCTACATGTGGAGTCGCCGATGGGCAAGTAGGATATACCATAAACTGTTTCACGGTAAACCTATGGAGGAATGGCGTGCAGGCGGTGAGGAGTTTCGTCAGCAAGTGCTACGATGGGGTGGAGGTCGTGATCCATGGATTGGACTACAGCACATTGGTGTAGTAAAAGAGGGTGAGAGGGATGGACACGGATCTGGCGATGTCAATGATCTGTACTAGGAGTTTTTAAAATACCATGTTCCAACCTTGAGCTTTAAATAAACCCAACTAATCAAATGTTAAACCTCGGTTGGCATGGAAACAATAGATGCACTTCCAAGATTCAATCCTTGTTATCTCGAACCAGAGCGCAAACGTGTCTGATGTGTTAAAATACAGAGAAACGACTCAAAAAAGATCATGTCAGTTCAAAACTATAGTTGTGTATGCATCATATAATGGATATCGTGTTTATTAAATTGAAAATGTTCATCCAACAAGAAAACGCAGCGAATATTTACAACTGCCATGGCAAAATGTAAAAAGTCGCTGCAAGATAAAACAAGCTTTATTCTACGTGAACACAAAGGAATGCAAAGCAACATTGCTCAGTAAATCAACACTCGTAATTTCATTAAACCGATTGTTTATTATGTATTTTGGCATCTTTATCTAGTGTTTCATTTTATATGAATACGGTGGTGATAGAGATCAAACAGGAAAGTGAAAAGAAAATACAAATGTCTACAAGAAGAAAATAATTCAAGCTTGACTACAATCAGCAAAAATAAACATGTTCAATATCAAAGATTTTAGAGTGATAAATCCAATCTAGCAAGCCAAGACAAAATTCACTTGATTTTAGAATGCAATGAATAAAAAACTTGGTATTGCAAAAGCAGGAAATTCTTGGTTATTTTAAATCTACTGTATAGAGTTGGCTCTGGTAACAGGCTGGTCAAAGAAAATCGAGCCAAAAGGCTCAGATAGCGACGTAGCCGACGAAATAGGTCCTAACGAAGATTGCGAATCTGTGTTTGACGAGTTGATGGTTGAGCTACTCCAGTCGCCTGTATTCAGCCCAAAGCTCTCTACGCCAGTAAAATGGTGCGGAAGAGAAGACGTTAGTGTGTTTGCTGAAAACGAAAGTGTAGACGGTCTAAACTTTTTTGTAAGTGTATCTGGAGAAATAAAAGTATTGAAGTTGGGACTTGTAGTAAGTGTTGGTAGCGATTGCTTGTCCACTGGCAATTGCGATGTGGGTGCGCTCAGCTGAGGAGAGAGACCAAAGTAGGAAATGTCGGCACTAGTGGTGGCTGACACACCTGTATTAAGGGCGATTGGAACCTGTTGGTATACTTGTCGTCGTTTGGTGGGATTCTGGTATGTCTGGAGTGCGGGTGAATAGTTTTGCTGGTATGGTGTTTGTAGACCAATTGACAAGGGAGATGATTGTGCTAGAGACGTATTTGCCATTCCAGAAATTCCATGAAACGAGTTTCGACGATGATCAAGCTCACTTTGTGGCTGAAGCTGAGATGGGTATGGGAGGTATGTCAAAGATTGTGGAAGCTGACGGAGTTGGTGATGACGAGGCGTTTGGTATGCACCCATTTGCTGCTGACGAGAAGTCATAGATTGACCCGAACGCAGTGGAGTGAAAGTCTCTGTACAGTACATATTAGGAGATGAGATCTGCGAGTCATCCGAGATCAAAGTAGCATGCATCTGAAGTGGAGTAGACCCATTCATGTTTTGCTGCGACAGCATTGGGGAAGGAAGTTGATGGTTCTGTTGGTTTACCAGTCGCAAATCATCCATGGATGTATTGGTCAAAACACCAAAGTTTATGTCGTCATTAGAAAGCGACGGGAAGATACCAGAGTTGCTCATGGGAATACCAATAAGTCGAGGACGCTTTGTACCACCACTGCGGAGTTTTGCTACAGGTCTAGCAGATGCCAAGTTGGTTATACGTGGAGTACATGAAGGTTGAAGACGAGAGGTAACCGTGGCTGAAAGAGAGCCAGATGGCGAGCAGGTCTTGAAAGCAAGCACAATCTCATTTGGTAAAAAGGCATTGGGATGCATATCCGAACAATGAATTCCTTTGAAAGATCCTGCACGACTCAAAGCAATATACGCACTGCCAGTTGCCCAGTGTCGAATAGATGAGATTTTAACATTGGGAAAAGCTAAACCGCGAGATTTCTGCACGGATACAGCATATGCCAAACGCATCGGAAGATGGATTCTCCAAGAAACCACCTTTCCGTGTGCTTTTACACACCAAATATGAGGCTCAACGGTAATAATTTGTTGGTGTGTATTTTGAACCGAACCATTCCCCGACTGATGCAAAAGAATTTGCGGAAGAAATTTATGTTTCTTGATCCACTCCAGAGTTGATTGGGTGACAGCCTCGTGCTTACAAGAAAGTTTTGCTATCAAATGCTCACGCATAGCATTGTCAACAGCCACAAACCCATATACTTGGCCAAGAATCGGAGTGCTGCTGTTAGTTTTAGGAAATAGAAATACTGGGGCACCTATTTTAAGGTCGAGACGATCGTCGGTAGGACCATCACGTAGCTGTCCACGCGAAGTAAAATCAAAGGTCTTGAGAAGCGTATCTTGTGCATCGAATGTCACCACGTCATTAGCAACACCTGCTAGATAAGCATCATTTATGGTGGCAGCGTCTTGGTCGGTAGGAACAATTTCAATGGCATCAAGCTCATTTAATGATCCATCATTGTGCAATGATTGCAAAAGCTTTCTGCTGTCAGCGGAAATGGTAACATCCAGCAGATCATTCATGAGATTGTCAAGCTGCTCATCGCTGTTGTAGGTTTGCTTTAGTTCGAAATGAATCATATTGGCAGTAGCCCAGCTGTGTGCCTCAAAAGCAAACATGGTCCACATATTTTGAAAAACAGCTCTACAAGATTGGTTTACGCACTCGAGGATAGCTCCAGGAGCGGCCGTATCACCGATTGGGTTTTCGGGATCTGGAAAAATTTTATGACCTTGTCCACATTCCACACACGAAATTGTTCCACTAAGAGACGGTGGAAGATCAAACAAATCTCCACAAAGTATAATCTGCATCCCACCAAAAGGCCGATCAAATTGCTTGCGCAACTGCCGTCCCAAAAAGTCTGCAACATCAAACAAATGAGCAGAAAACGAAGAGGAATCTAGAACAATCAGCGCGTCGCTATCAATCCAATTCTTTCGTGTAATTGGGTTTTTGCGGACCTTGGCCAAAATCTGCTTTCGAGTTCCAACTGCTTTTCCAATGCCCATCCAAGTTTGAGTGGATTGAACATCTTGCTGAAGCGAGCGAATACTACATGCGGAGGTCACGGCAAATGCCTTGTTGGATCGAGCCAAGAATGATTTAATATGTAGCATCAGGGTTCGCTTACCAACACCTCTCTAAAGTATGCAGATTATCAAGTAAAGAATTAGTTAGGAGAGCTAAAGCGTCATGTAAACCTTGAAACAATTCAAATCAACTCACCTTTCCGGAAATATAAACATTGGATCCATTAGTAATATGAGTCAAAATAGATTGTTGATCAGCATTCAAAGTATGCTGAAAACAAAGATCCGACTCCCAAGCCTGTACAGTAGTGGAAATATCCGCAGGCATAGCCTTGATATCAGCACTTTGTGTGTCGAGCACAATTCCACCCAACTTGTCTTTTTTTGCTCTTGCCTCTTCGACAATCCGATCTACTACAGACGAATCGTCCATAATATACTCACCATTCTCATTCTGTGTAAACGTACAGTCGGGAAATTGCTCACGGATAAAGTCCACAGCCTCGCTAATGGTAGGAAAGCTCTTGTACCTGGCTCCGGCACATCCATCAATCAATGACTTGGCTTTAGCCCATGTGCGATATATTCCCGGACACCTGGAAATGCGCAACGCGTAAAATTTACTTGAAGCTCGTGAAGATGGCTGTGCAGTTGATGCAGCTTTTGTTGGAGGGTGAAGATACATGAGCATTTGTGCGCTGCCTCCATCTTGCTTTGGAAACGTGCATGGCTCATAGATACCCGCAGAACCAAGACTAGAATCGTACGGGCTAACAAGATCTGCGGATATTGGGTTGGATTCAATGGACGTGCCAGAGGTGATGGAGAGTGGCAGAGCCAGTGGAATCGTCAACTGGGGAACCTGCACTCCATTAGAAAACCCTGCAGATCGAAGAGTTGCATCAATTCTTTGCTCGACTGATCCCGACTGGGAATGAAATATATCAACCATAGGAGAAGCCCACGTCGAGTCCTTGTCTGAAACCTGACTGGACGGATCAGTAATCCAACCAAGATTAGGCGTACTTCCCACATCAAGCAGTTGAGTAGTCAAATGCTGGCCGTACGACATCAAGGGTGGAAGGGAGTTTGTTTGTCCCATATTTCGAGAATGACCCAAACGATCATGCATGGCAGCAGATGCACTGTCGTGTTCACCACCTTCTGCTGCAGCAGCGGCTGCCGCAGTAGTAGTGATGAATCCATTAGGATACATGCCTTGTGAAGGCAATGCTGATCCAGCCGTCTTTGTATACAATGATTGGGAGGATGACATGCATATAGGCAGCGTAGAGAGCGATGCAGTGGTAATCGGTGGAGAGTCGCTCGAGGCAGAGTATAGACTGGGCACTTGATTCACAATAGGAGTATGGATTCCACCAGTAGACATCATGGCAGACGCGCCTGCAGTAAGAGTCTCCGAGGCAAATGCCATTTCGGGAGTAGACGTTGTCTGCCATATCAGCTGGGGGTGCTCTAATTGCTTAAGTGGTGGGTGCTGCTCATGATTTTGATGTCGTACCCACGACCCGCCTGATGTAGGATGGGATCGTTGTGATAACTGTGACATTGATTACAAGTGTAGCGTTGGATTCTCCTTAATTTACTACAGACTAAATACACCTAATGGGATTTTAGATGTTGAGGGGTCAGGGTTGTTGTGTACAACGAAGAATTTGAGACGAGTAAAAGGAAATTAAGGCGGATTAAGAACCCATACATATACAAAGTTGGGATTGCATTTTTTATAAAAAAAAACAAGTTTGGTTTGAACAAATTTAGCCATGAGGCAAGGACATTCCTGCTGATTTGCTGCTTTGTTGCGAATAAGCGTCGGAGTTGAAGCCGAGTTTTGTCCTATCAGCGAGCAACTTTTTTTTTTCAGTAAAGCAGCCACGATAGTGCGGATTTGCATTAGCTGATTTCACTCTGCATTGCCTTTAGTGGTACGTATGCTTAGTCTTATAAGATATTAACAAGGTTCTTGTCCAAATAACTTGGATTCAAATCTACCGTCACTTTCCCATTGTATTTCATCATATCCATATCTTGACTCTATGGTCAGCTACAAAACTATCTTCACATCACCACTAAGCAATTAGTCTTTATTTCGACTTTTTAGCATGTCTAGTGTTTGCATGCGTACTGGATAAAGCTACCGCAGTATAATTTCATGTTGCATAGCATTTTTGAATGAATGTTATCAGATGCCCGGCTCTTGGTTGTGCATATAGCCCCCGTATTCACAATCCGCCACGAAGCCATATAATGCTTGTCGTTTGTTTTTCTTGGCTTGTGCTATCGTTTATCAATTTAATGACAAACATGAGGCTGAAATAGGCTTATGACATGAATGTCTTGACACATATCTCATACCAAGCAAATATGGTTGAATTTGGCTTATTTCAGGGATCCTTGCTCACTATTTGCTGTGTGGACAGCAAATGATCTGGGCGTGCTTTGCCGCAAAAATCCCTTTTGATAATGCATACCTTTGTCAAGCTTTTCTGTAATGTATATTCTTGAACACCAAATAAACCGATTATACAAACAAACTGTTGGATTTGCGGCCGCATTCATGTAAATGAAGCATTTTTCTGTATTGATCTTGCAGTCACTGCCTTTATTTGCTTTGGAATAGGTAATGGCTAAATATTCATTGCGCTCTCTTGTTAGATATTGACTTGAATAGACACTCTCAATTCAATAAGCAGCATCCATCATATGATGCATACACAAACTACAGTTTTGAGCTGATTATCCCCTCCCGCTCATTTGGCATAATCATGTATTGTACAATCACCACGTTTAAAGTCGGATTTATTCATTGCAATCCAAACATTAAGCTCAACTGTTTTGGTATTGTCAAACTCGTCTCCTGTATCCTAAATCTCGGATACGTTCGCGCTCCAGTTCAACAGAACAAGGACTACACATCTTATTTACATTCAACACTATAATGTCCAGCTTGGCTAAAACAAGAGTTGAAGATTGAACAAATGCCAGGGATGCGGAAATTACTAAAACTAGGGTGTGAGCATTTATTTAGTCGTTTGTGAAAAATGACCACGAAAGAGAAAGATCAGTAACTTGCCAAGGAGGTCAGGGGACAATGTCCAGTAAAATTGGTGGAAATTGTTACTTAGTGGGAGACTGTTTATGCACCTTGACATCTTTATCGTGCTCTATTTTACGTGAATATCGCAGTAAATTTTACCCATATCAATTGACTTTCAAATAGCTTGCATTGGATCATGTCCATGAGTTTAATTTCAAACCAGATCACATGGTCTTTTTTGAACTTTTAACCGCAATGTCGTCATGCACTTGTTGAACTATTCCACTCCATTCCAAATCAATCAAATGTCGGTTGCCATGTATCATCAACTGTGATACATGGCAGACAATAGAGAAAAATTAAAAGTAAGAGATGGCATTAACCATCACCCTTGGTGATGCTATTCTTTCTCAAATATTGGTAGATTGTTTATTTGCTGATTCAAATGACAGGATCCTTGATTGCTTTTGCTTTCTATACCACGGCAATGGTCAGATTTGTTGACAAGGTCTGCTGCTTCACCGATTCAATATAGGAAGCATCGCTTATTTGATCTAGCAGCGGCTGCTCGCTGACTTTGGTGTTGGTCTTGTTTGGACAGTCTTTAGCGTTGCACCTATATGATCTACGTTGACCTAGAACAATATGCAGTTTTACAAACGATTTTTTAAAAGCGATTGCTTGTAGAGTTGTGAATGAGTAGCAAGTCTGAGATGCCTAAAGTTCAAGCTATACCAACAAGATACAGCAGTAACTGCTTGTAACTAGTATCAATTAAGATATCAAAACAACATGACGTAGCAATATAATGGTGAAAACATGGGCGGGAAGCAAAAGGTATGTGTGGCTTATAAAGTCAGAGTTGAGGATGGTATAACGAGTATGGTAAAACGACGATGGCTTCTTGTTTGGCAATGCAGTCAGACAATTTACAGCCATATTCATGTGAAATGAAACATTAAAGAGTACTCGAGTGCATAGTAAACAGTCAGTCTCCTGAAATGATGATCTACTAACCTTGATGGACAGCATGGTTTGAATAAATATTCAAGTAGTATTCACACCAGTTTCAATAAACCCCACATCTGACACTTGTTTAATCTTCAACTCTCTTTTTATTCAAACTGAATATTACAGCTAAATATTGTGATGGATATCAAAGCCACAGTTGCATTCCTGAAATATGCAATTTTTGTTCTGTTGAACTAGAGCAAAAGCATATCCGAGATTTGGATAGAGTGACGACCATCGAGCCTAGGTTTGGATTGCAACGAGCAAATCTGGTTTCAAACTTGGCGATCGTACAATGCATGGCTATGCAAAAAAGGCAATTTCAATCCAAAACTCGAGCTTAATTCGTGCATCATATAATGGTCGCTGTGTCTGGAAGTTGATCAAGGGTGCTTTAAATGCTTTAATACTTCAGGACTCGAAACAATGGCGTTGAAAAGATACTTTCTAGTCCTAGTTTAATTCTAGACAACATATCATTTTCATTAGTGATTCTCAGCAGGGTTTAATCAGCAAATCTGTAACTCCATACCTTGCGACATTGCTGTTTGTTGAACGATTGCAGACTATGCTAAATCAGCGAATGTGTAGCTTTGCGAAATGGCTTTGTACGACATGCGATTTCAGACACTGAGAAAGGGCTGAAGTGCCAATTGAAAAGGCAGTGCGGTTGACTTTTAGTAGTAAAGCACAACGAATTCAAGTTGTTTATTCCAAAGCATAATAGAAGCAATGACGAAAGATAAATAAAGTTCCATTATATGTGAATATATCTTGGCACGATCAAATTAAATTGCTTATTCTTGGCTTGACTTGACATCTACAGCCGCTTTTCATCAGATTACAAAGTGTTCAAGTGTTAGATTGAAATTCTTTGTAAATGCAAAACATAATGAGATCGTTTGCAGCTCCAACAACAATCAGCATCGATACAAAGACTTTGGAATCAAATAGTAGCTACAATGGCAGTAATCCCGAGAATAACTTTTTAGAAGCTCTGAGATTGCGTCTACAGTTTATGGAATGGCCAGTCACTCATACAATTATTGTTGGATTGGCTATTTTGGATTTTTTGATTTGTGGTAAGAGCTTACATTTCAGTCTGTCGAGAAAACTAGATCTTCAAACCAAACTTTACTGAGAGTCAGTTGGCAGCTTACTAACAACATGCACTCTGAATATTGCGATTTTTAACTTGACTGCAATTGATTGCGAGTAGAATTATCTTTGCTGGAGACCTTGTTTGATACAGCATCACCTTCTTTTGTCAGTACCACGAAACAAATGGTCTATCTCTTAGCAACAGACTCTCAGGCCTTTACTATGATGCGTATGATATTATTTTGGTCATCCATGACAATCAGAATGGTTTTTTTGATTGAGCTTTTTTTGCGCGTGCTATCTCGCACTCCATCAGCCATGTACAATAGCAGTTTTGAGCTACTCGATGGATTGATCATTATCTTACTATTTTCGTTGAAATTTGGGTTGTACTCTCGCGATGCCTTTGTTGCAGACCTTATAGTTGTAGTCCGAATCGGTAGAATATACAAAGTGTTTCATATATTCAATCTACAAATGCATAGTCAGTTCGAAAATGAAAAAAACGAACTGATTAATGCTTGGCAAATGCAGATGAACGAAAAGGAAAAACGAACGACAGCCGCATTCACGTAAAGTGGACCACTTGCATTTCAGCGACTACATCTTGCTTTGAAATAAACAGTTTAAATATTCGTTATGCTTTTTTGTTGGATATTGACTTGAATGGACATTCTAAATTCAATCAGCACAGCGTCCATCATATGGTGCGTACACAATTGAATGGTGGTTTAAGCTGCAGCTGTCCTTTGCTATAATAATGCATTGTACAATCATTAAATTTGAATTCATATCCATATCCATCCATTGCAATCCACGTTTTACTGGCAACATCAAAACAGTCAAACCCAACACTTTGCAAACTCGCCCTTGTATTATTCTGTATGATTTCATGAGCAATATTAATGCCTCAGTACAACAAATTACTAGTGTAGCATGGGCTCACAGTTTATTTAAAGCTATGCCATGAACGTCGTATAGTCGATTCAATAAGGGAATGAGATGGTAGAAAATATCCATTCCAAAACCAAAACTCGGACCATCATCACTATAATGGAATTTGCTGGACAAATCCCTCTGTAGTTCCAACAACTACATAGCTCATATCTCTGGGAAATCGGACACACATGATACCCAAGTTGAAGGCTCTGATCTCTCTCATCTTGGCAAAATCATGTGTGCGAAAAATAATAATATTGTTGTCAAAAGAGCCTGTTGCAAAATACTCGCCATTGTTTGAAAAACAGACACTACATGCCCATGATGGAGCAAGGCTAAATGAATGCAACTCGTGTCCAGACATATAATTAAACAGTCGAATGGTAGAGTCTCGTGAAGTAGTAAGCAGCAGCGATGATTTACACATGGCCATGTCCAGCACATAGTCTCCAAACGAATCAATGCACCGTGAATGAGTTGGAGATCGCGAGTTGGCAAGAATTTTAATGTCCCAGATATATACTCGTCTATCCAACCCGGCAGTTGCTAAATGACGACCATCTGATGAGAATCTAACAACTTTGACCCAGCGTGTATGCTTGCGAATAATTGTGATGCACTCGCCAGTATTATAATCCCAAAATCGCACCGTACTATCTGTAGATCCAGAAGCAATATATCTTTCATCAACACTAACATCACAAGATGTTACTGCATCAGTGTGGCCAACAAGAGTTTTCTCCACAGTGGCTTGCTGAGCATTCCAAATCTTGATAGTTCGGTCAAATGAAGACGAAACGATTTGAGAATCTTTTTTGGTAAAGTGCACGTCGGTAATGATAGACTTGTGTCCAATATACTGTGCCAAACAAATATGATTGTTTGCACTTCTAATATCACTAATTCGAATCACACAGTCGTATCCGCCTGTAAGCCACAATGAGCTGTCAAATGCCGAAAATACAGCACATTTAGCGCCTTCTTTATGGGCTGATATAAAGTTGGGAAATATATGGATATCAGTGGATCTAAAAATATCATGAAGCGATAGAAACTTCAAGTAAAGTCTTCGTATCTTGTTCTTTGGGGCATGCGCTATCTGTTCGCGAAGCCCAACGATTCGTTTCAGCATATCGCGCAATGTGTATGGATTTCGCAAAAGAGCCAAAGTAGCTTCGCCAGGAATCTCCTTGTTGAGCAGATCCCATACAGTCTTGAGTGTATTCGACACAAAATCAATCGATAGTTCGTTTGCCAGATTACAATGCTTGGAGTATGTATCCTTTTCTCCCAATAGCTCTGCAAACGATAGCACCACAAGAATGCTGGTCATGCATACTAACGTGTATTCGGTGCACCGATCAACTTCAGCAAATACATGATTTACATCTCGCTGTAGTGCTCGCCGTGCATCATCCAACGTATCTCCACTTATTAAAGCTGGCATACCTATAGCAAATGCATCATTTGCTGATTTACCCAATTCCTGGGACTGCATAAAACTGAATCCACCTTGGTTGATTTTTCCCGCAGTTTCTCGTGCATCCAGTCTGTCTTTAAATGAATCAACTTTATCTGCCAACGACAATCCTGAATTTGGGTTTGATAAACTTTTATGATCCAGAGAATCCAAAGTTTCGTTGGTGTTTTTTGGCTTTGCAACAGATTCACTAGTCTTTCCAGAATTTGAAATGGTCTTGTCAATGCTGTCTGCAAGTTCTAGATTCGTTTCTAAATACTCGTCATCAATAGTATCTGCTAGCCTTTTCCCTACATTATCGCTGTGCTTTACTAATTCGAATCCCACTTTGCTGCGACGCCGGACTTTCATGCCGCTATTTATAACCACATTCTGATTGTCTTCATCAGTATCGTGATCGTCATCCTCTGTCTGACTCTCATTGCATTCATCACTATTCTCTCCATCGTCCTTTTGGCGGTCATCTGTGATTCCAATGCCGTTTCGACCCAAGAGCGGATTATGCTCATTGTTATTGATTGAAAAAGCCCATACACTTTCAGAACCGACATCATCCACTGGCTCTGTGTCATCCATGCCACCATCACTTTCATGCTGACTATCGCCTTTGTTGGTTTTGTTGGTGAATGTATCTAGTCCTTGGCCCAATCGAGGTATTTCGGCTTCAATATCCATGTAAAACTTTTTCAAACTGCGTCTCGAAAGTGAACAGAGCGTTTCGAATGTTTTCATGAGCCGTATGGCTTCGGCTCGTTCACGCTCCAGCTTCATATCAATATCTCGAGGAACACGTCGTTGTCGAAAATAATCCGATGGGGAGGCAGTCAAATCTGCATAGTCTGTCGCATCTGATACGCTCCAGCCATATAGCCAGTCACAGAATTGATGGTATGCAGAGCGGTAATCAGATGATTCGAGTTCCTTCATGTTGAAAAACCGGATGGTCTCGTGCAGCGACTTGGAGCTGGAAGGGTTAAACTGTGTAAAGAAATGCTTGAGAATGCTGATGTTTAATGGCTCAGACATTTGGGATAGGTCATATAGAAGCTTTAGACACTCACTCATATTGGACTATCAAAATGGCTGTAGTTTAAATTAGATGCGCTGTGTTAATTGACAAAATGAAGGAAAGTTTGGCAAGATTACTTTGTAATTAGACGGCTTGAATTCGCACATGAGCTGAATTGCAGCAGCGCGTTCAAGTTCATTCTTGGCCAGTCTATTTTCTTTGTAGAAATAATTGTCTTTCCATATAATCATTTGACATAATTAAAAGGTATCGAAGCTTAAAAATCATATACTTGATAAACAGAGAATATGGCAGCAATTCCGATATTACCTCCGATACCTGGACTGAGGAAGCCAAACTCTGGGCTGTCATTGAATGGCGCCATTGATGCTGGCAGAGGTAAATTGCGTATCTAATTCAAATATAACTGTTAAAGTATTAGTCATGAATGTCATTTATAGCCAACTTTAAGCGTACTAACACAGCTAATTCATACTGACATCGCCATGGGCTACAACTTTCATGACACCACTCAAAAGTAGAAAAGTTTGTGTCTATTTGCAGCGAATCGTTCCCAAAGCTAAATGGCAAACCAGGACTATTTCATCAAAACTCTAGTATGATCACGGCATCTCAACCATCTTGGCAAGTCGCCGATTCCGACTTTTGCAAAAGTCGACAACTTTCTGATGTCTCTGCCTCGACACAGTTTTGGCCGCGTGAAGTATCTGTGGATGGGTCAGCTTCTGCTCTGTTATCCAATGCCTCGAAAGATCAAACTCAAAACAAGGATACTCGTATCATACAGGAACCGGCCATCACCGATATTTCCTGCGCGACTTTAGCAGTTTCAACAAAAATGAACGACGTCCAGGAAACAAATCAAAGTCATTTGCAACAGCTTCGGAGAACTGGGTGGTGGAGAGCAGATGAAGATAGACAAAAGCAAATGAGTTTTGTAAAAGATCTTTTGCGACAACAGCCAGTAACACACGATCCACATTCTGAGCATCACAGAGTTAAATCTACTGCTGAACTCAGCAATACATCTGAATTGCCAACTCGACAACCCACTCCACAGCTTCAAAAATTCAAACCCTTCAAAACAGTAAATAATCCAGAACCATTAGATCCTATTTCCTTGAATACGCTGCCAACAAACATTCCTGCAACTACTTTGACTTTACAGCACTTGTCTAATTCGTCACAGGAAATCAATCAGCAGCAAGATCAAAACATCGTCAATAAATTAGAAAAACAGTCATCAGTAGGATCTGCTCCAGCTGCAGAAGTTTCAGCCTGTGAAACTCCAACTACTCAAATAGACTCTACTACATCATATTCCAAACAATCGCATGTATCTTCAGCATCTCAGCAGTTAGTTAGACCACAAGCATGTAAGCCCAAATCAGTGGAAATACCAGATTTGCAAAAGCAATTGGACTTGAAATTAACCGAGTCGAATAGCCTAAAAGTATTGCTAGCCAAGGCAGAAAAACAAGCCAAAGTGGCATTTAAATCAAAACAAGCATTATCTGATATAAATACTGCATTGTCACATGTTCAGGTAATATCCATTTAATCCTCATGTTTTGATTACTGGACAGAGTAGATGAAATGCATTTGATCAAGGAAATAAATTAACCAACATTAAATAGGCAGAGTATATTGAGGAGGTCATTCCAGATGCCGGACTGGTAAATTACTTTTTGAAGCGCGGACTGCAGAAAACATTGGCTTGTTTTTGCAAAGAGGCAAAACTGTCTTGCGGAGAAAATATTGGTAATTATATCATGCTCAAGAACAAGATGGCAACACGTCAATTTAGTCAAGCAATCGAGTTTGTAAAGTTTGTTATGGCAAATTTGATTGAAGATCATGCTCAGCGCAACATGACATTCAATCTTACTACATGTGAGTCTGGGAATTAAATGCCAAACGGGCTGACCAATCTGTTTTAAATGAGCTAACTTGGTTGATTGTAGCATTTGATGATTTGATCTATGTGTTGAGTAAATATCTATTGATACATATGCATCAGACTCAGCACCAAGCTGCAACCGTAAATACTCTAGAACAAGTGATTGCACCACTGATAAAAAAAGAATGCGAGCTTTCTGGAACCCGGGCAGAGTGGTTTTCAGCAGGTACCATTGTCTACTGACACATTATTAATATTATGAAATGCTTTAAATCTTGTCTACTAAATCATGGTTTATTTTTACCAATCAATATAAACTTTAGATTATCAGCTATTGCACGATCTCATATATGACAGCAAAGTACATCCTAACAATATATATTGCAATTTTAATTGGAAAACTGAAATATCAAAGTTTTGGGATAGTGCCAAATCTATTGTAATGTTTAAAAAAAATTCTAAACGCTTGGAATCACCACCACTATTTGCATTTGCAGTGGCACAGTACTTTTACGCAGATGATAAAATCCTTTCTAAAGCAAAGGATTTGGAGCAAATGGCAATTGATGCTGAAAGATGGATTCGCGCAGATACTATACTAAAATCACACAGTTTTCAAAAATCAAATAACAAGCAAGATGCGGATACGCCAAATGATAGGATTCCAGATACTGATGATCAGCAGCCTAAAATTGAAATGACGGATACGATGGCTTGTGGACAGGTTGAAACTAGCAAATCAAGACGCACGACCACTGAACGAAAAAGAAAATCCAAATCTGCTCAAATTGAATGGCAGAATGTTGATATTCAAGCAACTGTTGAAAATGACTCGGAGCCAAAACCAACCATTCACAACCAGCAATTAGCTATGCAACGCGTTGCTGTAGTCAAGACTCAGCAATATCAAAAGTATCAGTCCTCGCATGCATCTAGTCCGACTATAGATCGTGCAAGCCGTACTTCTACAGGAAGTTTTCAAGTTGATCCAGAGGTATGGCTGTATTGAATCAGTTTTTTTGATATTTATGTTTTTAATCAAGCTTCAAACTTATATCTTGACAAACAGCTTCCTCCACAATCTGCAAATGTTTCCGAAAACTCCAATTTTGCTCTATCCAATATTTGCGGACCATCTGTAACTCAAGTTAAAGTATTTGATCTTCAAGATATTCCCGATACCGGCCAGTAAGTGAATCTGCTGGCATTGCATTGTTTTAAATATATATTCAAAACCATAAGCCACCATTGTGAAATAACTCACCTTTATTGCTTAAATAAACAATGCAAACAATAACCCAGAGTTGTTGTGTGCACTTCCGGAAGTGAAAATCGGCATGACAAAGGAATCACGTTATGGGAGATGCGATCAGGATCATTGCTTTCACATTTAGATAATGGCACAGTAAAACCAGTGACATCTTTATTGTTTCATCCCGGGTTTCCAGAACTGTTATTGTCGGCAGATATGGAGTTTGACGTAAAACTCTGGAATTGGAAAGAAGGAAAAATTATACGTTGGTGGCGAAAACATCATTCAAGAATAATCAATCAAATATCATGGATTCCTGGCGATGATACAAGGTCAACATCTATTCAATTGTTTTGGTGCAGTTGATATATTTTTTACTGACTTGATAGTAACGAATTCAATGTTTTAGAGCGGCGTCGTGCTCTGGGGATCAATCACTTAAATTTTGGAATATTCATGCCGAAAAGCCTCATAGTGGAAGCATTCATGCTAATGAGCCAATTACATCGTTTGTGTTTAGTGGTAGTACCAGCGATCCAATGCAGCAAAAAGTGATTGTGTCGCTTTCATACTCTATTCGTATTTATAAAGTGCGCACATTGGCCATGTTAGTCACGATCCCGCTTGGAGATCTTAAACTCTGGTGAGTATTTGAAATCAACATTTTCAAACTTATCAGGTTATATCCACTAACCAAAACTTGTACTTGTTTACACTTTTTAATTTAGCAAAACTCCAGTGACACATCTTTCATCGCATCCAATTCATGACATGTTTGTTCTTGTTTCTACAGACAATCAACTTCGTATGTTTAATCTCATTACCCAAGCATTTGTAAAAACATATTCAGCACGATTGATTGAAAATGGGGTATGTACGATTGAAATCATACTTGCTATTTGATGAGTGAATGCACCAATGATTTAACATGGTTGATGATTGCATTATACTAGACACGCATCAAGGGAGAATTCAGTCCATGTGGAGTGTTTGTGTATGCAACACCAACTGATGCTCGGCAGTCAGCACATCGTGCAAGCACCAAGGAGCATATTGGTAATTTTTCTGCTCAAAATCAGCATCATGAGCAGAATAAAGGGCAAAATCAATCCGAAGATGCTGCAAACGGAGTGTTTATCTGGCGGGTTCAAACAGGAAACTTGGAAAAGGCAGAAATGCGAGCCATGAATGATACTGATGGGTGGGAGCATGCCGGAGTACCTGTGCGTCCCAGTAAAATGATTTGTGCCAAATGGTAGGATTCATTATTAATGCATGAGTTGGAGTAGAACTATTTAAAACCCCGTGTATTAAATTTAAACTTTTTCTTTTAAACCCATAGGACAACAATTCGAGACAATTCCAAAAAGGGAAAAAGTGTGAAGCGCAAGGCATTGCTAGCCGCTGGACAAGATCAGCTAATTCGGTTATATCTGTGAATAGACTGGCATTCTTTTATTTGATAGAGACTACAAAGGCCAAATGTTTTTGTAATTGAAGGAGTTGAGACTGTATTGATCTAAAACGGGCTCAGATGAAAATGAAGTGACCAATCAACATGTTGGTTCGTGGTATAATTAGAGTTGTGGTAGACTTGGTATGTTAGGTTTTACAAGTAGCTAGTTCATCAGATTAAGCATCTACCATATAAATTCCTTAGCAGCTACAAGTGTATTCAGCTTTGAACTTGAACTTGGATCTTGCTTCAACTTTATTGAAACGCGCTTATTATGAATATAGCCAACCCATTACCAGCCAAGTTGCCAGTTAAAATACATCCAACCAAGAGTAGTACGGCAACAGATTATGCAACTTTAGGCATTTGTGCATCACAGCCAACACAGCCAAAACCCACCGAGGCACGCCGTCCTCGAATTCTGCTTGCTAAACGACTCCCAGAAGACTATTTTGGACAAGGTAGTTTTATTAAATTCAAATATTTCATTCCTATATAAACCATATATATGCACAAACCAAACTCTTGTGCTGTATTATCCATAAAAACTATTGCTAAATGGAAATTGCCTTAGATTCTGTGTATGTTGCACCTGGTGCCAAGACCGTGCCTATAACGCTTATTCGACCAAATCAAAATGTGAGATTGTGCATATATATTTACTTGCTCATGACAACAGATACATCAAACTGATTCTATTTAATTAGTTTGGACCCTTAAAAAGCAGTACAGGGACACTAATCGAGCACACAGTTCTAGGAGATGTTGACGATTTTGAGGAATTTGACAAGCTTTACAGCAAATCTCTACCAAATTTGGATGAAAAGGCAGATATAATCAAAAACCAAGAGCTTCCCATAACCAAGCATGCAGAAGTTAATAATGAAAACCAAAAAAACGATGAGAAAGTCTCATCAAATGTAGAGCAGACTGATGAGCGAAAAGAATGGTTGCAGAAACTCCACATTTTCCAAAAATATCGGTACAGATTTAGTGCAGATCAATGTATTGAATTGAATATACGATATAAGACAAAGTATCGCACTAAATATTGATTGCACTTAATTAATATTATTTAGGGAGATGCGAGAGGAAAATGCCTTGTCAAACTGGAAACGACATAGTATAGAATGGAGTCGCATTGAGGAGCGTATTGGGAAATCCATCAAAAAGGTAATCATGAGGCATATTAAATTGCATGCGCTATTCAGCGAATACTTTGAATTAAAACGATGGTATGTTTATGATTTAGCCTGCAGATGAATTGCTCATGGCACGGTTGGGGGAATATCGAGAGTTTGTTGAAGAGCGCGATCTAATCGAGGAAGCTCTTATGCTGTTGGAAGAGCATAATGTCAATTTTTGGAAAACTGGATTGCGTCTTGGAAGCGATTTACTAGGCTTATGTTTTCAAATGCCATCTGGTGGTCCAAGACAGTAAGCCGTAGTTAAAATTGAATAGTGTTTTTGCATCAATATCTAATATTTTCAATTTAAATTGGGTGATTAGACAGGAAAGGCTTAGGACATATGAACTCTATAATGCTAAAAAAACCAAAAAACCATCAGAATACCAGGAGTATCGCAAAAAGGAGCTCGAGCAAGTTATATCTCATCTTGACCCCTTCTCCAAGGTAGAGTTTCCGAGTACCACTCGCATAACTTCTTGTCAACTCTTGGTAGCTTAAATTACTACAAATTGATGAAGCACTATTAATCATACCGTCAATTGGAATTAAAAGCATGACGATGGTGGATATCTGGAAGTGGTTGGCCGTGGCACACAAGATAATTCCAATGTCGAGTTAACTAAAGAGTATATGGAAAGACTTGATCGACGAGCCAGGTACAGTATTTTTGTAGACTGGATCAATTCAAAGTATATATTAAATGTTTTTGTGATTTAGCTGTAAATCGATGCAAACATTGGGGACGCAGCCTACCACTCGAGCAGTCACACCCAAACTCTATACTCATTCTGACAAAGAATGCTCAGATATTGAAGGGTTGGTTCATGGAATGCAGCTGATGTTTTCAACAAAGCGCATGTACTTTAGCGTGTTGCTTGATCAAGTTGCAACATCTGTCTTGACTATACACAATTGCGGGACAGTAGCAATTCATTTTACTTGGGTTTTGATGCGCCATAAAAATCCATTACAGGTATTACTATTCAACTGAGCATCTTTAAATATTTTTGTTTAACAAAGGGAACACGATGCGTTTATAGGTATCAGCAATTTACGATAACGCACAAAGATTCTACATGAATTACCCAAGTGGAGTTATTTTACCTGGAACAGCATACGATTTTCCAATCATATTCAAATCCAACACCCCAGGTGTAAGTAGGATATGCAGTCTTTATTGGATTAATGGAGATGCGTAAATACAGGACTTGATGGAAAATTCTGACAATTTTTACCATTTGTACTTGTTCATGCATTTTAAATTTAGCTTTTTACAGAGCTGTGGACATTGGAGACGCATCCAGCAATGAGCCATCAGCAGGATCTCACTATTACATTACAAGTAAATATACATGGTTTTGAAAAAATTGCGATATACTACTATTTGCAATTCGTTGTTTAATCATATAATTGCTAGGGTTTGGCTATTGAGAAAAACAACTACCAGCAAAAATGTCTTGATATTGAACAGTTGATAAACCGAAGATAGCAAGTATTTAATGCATTGTCATTTTTATTAGATGGATGTGACTGCAGTGTTTTCTTACTGGATATTATAAAATTGGTATTAGTGCTCAAACCGTGGCAACAAAGGTTATTGATAAAATCCTTTCTAATATCAACAAAGGTCTTAAACCGAAACCTTATGCTCTTGATCCCAACCATACGTCTTTTGAATTACGCAACAAGGACATGAAGGCAAATATTTGTTTGTTGTTCATGGCTCACCAAGTACTGCTTTAGTAGGGTGAAGTGACCAACTGCTAATTAGTATGTTTTGTTTAGATTCGATTCCAACAACATATTTATGATCAATTGGTACTGCTAGCAAATTCAACATTCCATATTCTTGGAAAACAGATTACTTGGGACAATTCCCTTGTAAATCTATACGAGGTGGATAGCAATTGAAATCCAAGTTAAAGTTGAACAAACAGCCTTTTTAACCTATTTTACCTGCGTTTTATGCAGTTTATGCTAGAAATCAATCAAGCGGATATTCGATCGCAGCATATTGAAAAACTGAATAGCTTGGTACATGAGGCTACACTCGTAACAACTACTCCTCGACATTCCATGCTTTCAGCTTTATGGTAATGCAGTGCATTGACAAAATTGGGGTTTCGAGTTTTCAAATTCCAACTTTATTAACATATTGATTGGTATGCTAGTTATGATATGCTGATTGACATTGCGTGTAAAGTTTCAGACAATTCAGACCAATTAAGAAGTCAGATGGGTCTCCCGTTAGCTGTACGTTGAGATTGCTATATCTATTTACTGTGATAAGATTGTTTGGTTGGCTTTGAATTGACGTGCTTTCATGGCGACACATTTACAGCGTTCAGCTGCCAAATTTACAGTTACAGATGAAGTAGTGGACGATATTTCTGACAGACAAGCCGAAGGTGGGACTGAGTTTGCCTAAAAGTATGTAATTTAATTAGCAATTGAATGTAAGCACTGACTGGCCTTTTTTATTAGTATCCAAGCCCACAAATTTTGTTGCAGATGCAGCGAAAAAAACAGGTGTATCTGGACCACCTGTGGCTGCTCCTGTCGCGACTGATTCAAAACGAGCTCCGCCGATCGCGGTATGTTGTGGTTTGTGTTGTCTAGATTCAGTCGAGTGTTGTGGAAAAAAGTATGTCAAACCATGAAATCTAATCACTGCTATAGACGCCTGCTCCAGCCAAGGATGCTAAGAAAGGATTGGTGACTGCAGCTCCTGTCAAACCAGTAGAACCGCCGAAAAAAAATGGCCTCATTGTGAAAAAACTAAGCGAAGTCCAGGCTGGTGAGATGATTATTAGTTTTGGCTGTTATTCCAGCCAGAATGCTGATTTCCAATCTGTAAAATATAGTTTCTGATATAGAAGAGACTGTGCACCAAACCATCATTCCCAAGGCTGTTACAAAAAAGGTACGCTTGCTGCAAGTCCTATTAGTTTAATGTACATTTTGAGTAATTGTGTCAAAATAGAGAGCTGGATCACATCCTTCTTGGAAAGTCGAAAGAAGGCTAAAAGAAGATGCCTACATTGCAGAATTTCGCTCAGTGGTGAGTTTCCTACCGAGTTTATTTGAATGGTCGACTTTTGTCTAATTACTGGTGTCGAAATATACTAGATTCGATCAGTGGTATTGGACTCGATAGATCGACTTTGTGGACTGTTTGATGAAGTGACTGCATCAGGCTTATAGTACTGACTGAATTTGAAAGTTTGTTTAAAAGACAATAACGCATCTTTGCAAGTATTGCCTAATGGATGCTTGAGATGTGATTCAGCTGTAATAAACTGAATGGTTGCGCCAATTCACTATTTATCCACTTTGGGCTGTAAATGATTGGACTGGACCCAACGGCTTTGAATATTTTACTCGTGATTGAGTGTTGCCCAACATTTGATTTCTTGACATCCTCGGAATATAAAGAAGCCCATTTGGGAATGAACATTCAAGCACATTATGCTCTAAGAAGACTATCAACACTACAGCTCCGTCCATTGTTAACTACATCAAAGCGATGCGGATTGTTAGCCTCATCAACTATCCTTTTGCATGTGCATTCAAAGCCATTCTCTACTCAACTACGATTTTTTTCAAATACCCATACTTGTAATGAATTGCAAGTCAGTGCGAGTGTTCGGCAAGCTTCTACCAGACCCACCTTTGCCCGCAAGGCAGTACTTGCTCTAGTAAGCAAATATTGTATATTTCTAGTGTTTATTACGGTTTGAAGTATCCTTGGCACAGTGTACTACTGCTGGTCTCATGACTGGATAATTGAAATGGCAATGACCAACTAACCTTTATCTAATTTGAATTCCATCAACAGACTCCAGCTGCGGTAAATAGACTGAGGCTCCTCACACTTGACTTGAATGGTCCAAAATTGCTCAAGGTATCGATTGGACTAAACTGTATTCGTATGATAAGCATGGCTACCGATTCATCCAATACATTTAAGCTTGGATTGCATCTATCGAATTGGAATGTTTATCTTTGTTGTGCGTGCTGTATTGAAAGTGTAGCTAATCTGCTGCTTTTGCCATTGACCATTTGTATATCTGGTTTTCAGGTAGGCACAAAGAAAAAGGGATGCTCAGGACAAACCTACACGCTCGAATATGTCACTGAAAAATCCAAGTTTGACGAAGTTGTTGTGCAAGATGGCGTCCAGGTTTTGATCGACTCCAAAGCACTTTTTTCACTGATAGGATCTGAGATGGACTATGTAGAGGACAAGCTATCTGCTCAATTTGTTTTCAATAATCCAAACGTCAAGGAAATGTGTGGATGTGGCCAAAGCTTTATGACCTGACCGGTTTCGCATAGTGATACACGCCAGTTTTCAAAAGGCAATCGACAATACCAATAACCAATGAAATCATTATTGTTTTACAGCCATATCTATGCAGAATGTATCACTTTTGTATTTATATTGCAGTGATTATTTCAAAATATGCAATGGTTAATAATCGTTGTGTTTTCCTGCCAGAGATTGATTACTTTAATAGACATTCTCAATTTTTGTGTTTAGAATTGCTTGACTGGGCCATTTTCAGCAGGATTAATGAGAAATATAGAACAGTGTAGTGAGACTCATGCTTTGGTGAATGGCTAATAGACCGTGTTGACTCGGTGAACATTTAGCTTTATCAAGAAGTTCATCAAACAATATTGTCTAATAAATTGATATCCACTGTTCCATGAGATTGACTATATCATGCACTTTGACACCTTTATCTGTTTCATCTGCATGGATACAGCGTGATATATGGTTTTTAATTTAAACATGAAAGATTTTGATTAAAGATTATGCCATCTAGAGTAATGTGTAGATATTTTCAATAGACTGTCAACAGTGTTATCAAGCCTAGCACAGTTGATAAGTTTGGCAGACAATACAATCGCGCATTATAGTAGCATTTCATTAGAATGGCAATGAGGGCCGATACTTGGTTTGAATAGTCGGTTTATTGTAGCAAGACACTCAAAGTCAATCGCTCTTTCTCAGCGATTCAACTGGTTCGATTCATTATTGCCAACTCGACCAATTCCAAATCTATAAAATGTGTTGCTTTCTATTCAACCATTCCATTTGTCGCGGACAATGCTCACATGATCCTAAAAGACCTTCTAAATCATCGAGTCGATCGAGTAAAAAATTCTTTTTTCAATTCTTGACATCCAATTCATCAGCATTTAGTTTATCAGTCATGTCTTTTCAAACACCTTCGAATCTTGTCAAGGAGTCCACATCCGCCAAGACTTCTACCGATGCCTCTACCACATTTATTCTCAAGGCTGGTCTTGCACAGAACCTCAAGGTATATGAGAATTGAGCTTATGAATGCAGTATATGCTATGCATGTGGTTTACTTTTTAGTTTGAATCTCCTTGGTATTATATGGCATGTCGTTCAAAGAATACTGCTACGATTTACTAACTATTTTAGCTCTGTATTACTACTACTGTGAACTTTATTCGATATCTTTTATGGCTGCGCTTCTACTTTTATCTTACCACCCATCAATGTTGCGATGCTCTCTAATTCCATACTGAACTGGGCTGTATTTTTACACTGATCGGATACGATGAATTTTGATGGAATTGTTATTTTAATTCCTTGTGTGGCCCAATATGCATGTTGGGGTTTTTGGACTTGGTGCTACCATGAATAACTAGGGAGGAGTGATTATGGATGTGATCAATGCTGAACAGGCACGTATTGCTGAAGAGGCTGGTGCATGTGCCGTCATGGCTTTAGAGCGAGTTCCTGCTGATATTCGTAAAGATGGCGGTGTTGCCCGTATGTCCGATCCCGACATGATCAAAAAGATTATGGCAGCAGTCACCATTCCAGTTATGGCCAAGGTTCGTATCGGACATTTTGTCGAAGCTCAGATCCTTGAGCACATTGGTATCGACTACATTGATGAGTCGGAGGTGCTCACTCCTGCTGACGAGTCCAACCACATTGACAAGAACAAGTTCAAGGTTCCATATGTATGTGGATGCAAGAATTTGGGAGAGGCTTTGCGTCGTATCAACGAAGGTGCAGCCATGATCCGCACCAAAGGTGAGGCAGGCACTGGAAATGTTGTGGAAGCAGTCCGTCATGCACGAACTCTGTTTGGTGAGATTCGACGTGCTCAGGCCATGACTGATGAAGAGGTAAGCATTAGACTCGTGGTTATATTTATTGTATTGTTGCTAATTTACCGGTTTTAAATGATCGCTGTGCGCTAGCTGTATACATATGCCAAAGATATTCAAGCTCCATACCATCTTCTCAAAGAAACTGCCCGTCTTGGTCGTCTTCCTGTTGTCAACTTTGCTGCTGGTATGTTTATATCTATTGATATGATAGTCTTTTGAATTTCGTTGTCGAACCAGTCTGCCAGTGTCATTTGGAATCTAACAGTTTTTGCAATGACTCGATATTTTTAGGTGGTGTGGCTACACCTGCAGATGCAGCACTCATGATGCAGCTTGGTGTTGATGGTGTATTTGTTGGATCTGGCATTTTCAAGTCTGGCGATCCAGCCAAGCGTGCACGAGCAATTGTGCAGGCAGTCACACACTATAATGACCCATCTGTCATTGCCAGTGTTTCTGAGAACTTGGGAGAAGCTATGGTTGGTATCAACTGTGACACACTTCCAGCTGACCAAAAGTTTGCTGCTCGTGGCTGGTAATCATCTATATTGGTTTATTTTTATGTTGTAGGCTTTCTTGTGCTTCATCTTTGATTTTCTGTGCAATGAAAGTTTTATCAGCAAGATCATAAACTTTACAGTCGTCTTCATATAAATGGAACCTTGTATTTAACTTGCATTGACTCTATTTTGGAATAGATAATGGTTAAATATTCGTTTCACCTGTTAAAAGTTGATTATTGAATAAATGGTATCAACTCTTTAATAGACAATGGCCATCATATAATACAGCCAAACTACAGTTTTGAATTGAGACTGTCCTCATTGTATAATCTCAAAAACTGAGTTTATTTTGATGTGGTTAATCAAACTTGTGTGTTTTAAAAACCGATACGTTGTGTTCTGGTTCAAGAAAACAGTGATTGTATGCTTCAGGAATGCAATACACATGCCAATCATTCAATGTTTGGATCAGGAAAGAATCGGAGATTGACTGAAACTGTAGTGTGAACATTTCATTTTTTATACAAGATAAGCATGGAGAGAGACCAGTGAATCAAAATTTATAAAACAATATTGTCCAGTAAGATTGGCACCAATCAAACATGACTATTTATTTGCATCTCAATATATTTAGTGTTCCATTTATGTGAATATGGCTGAAATTTAGAATGTCAGGTGTAAATATTGTTTATAGTAAAGCGTACAAAGTAATTGCAAGTTCGCGTTTGTTGAAACCCGGAATAATGGCAAATAAACGGTAAAGCACATGCGAACTTTTCGAATTGGCAACAAATAAGGATCGTAAATGGCCAATAGAATTAACTGAAAGAATCAACGAAAGTTTCTAGTGTTTTATAGTTTCAATAGGGCATCTGTAATCATACCAGATCAGGCTTGTAGTAATCCGTCAGTGAAGGAATTGGGTTTACAAGTCATACAAACAGGTTCTGATTGGGTGGAAACTACGTGGCTGATAATTCAAATTGCATTAGATAACCGCCATTGAACCAAACTGCTTTACCCATTGGTAGAAACCATCTACTATACATGCCTGCTTCATTGCTCTTTCCTGTTGTCAAGGTTTCCCCACTCTTTGTTGATACTGCCTATGTTACTCGCCATGACAAGTATTCCGATTCGTCGTTATCTACTCAGGTCTACTATACTGTTCAAGTGTGTCCATCTATTCATGACATCAATGCCAGTGTCGAGAATCATCCATTAAGCCATCTCCAGTTGCCTGTTGCACCCACCACTCTATACAAAATACAGCGTCGTTTTGAGGACTTTGTCGGTTTCCACGGCTTACTCGCAAACCATTTGAGCAAGATGTCGTCATATGGAGCATCTATTGCCAAGTCCTTGCCACAACTGCCCCGCCGTCGTATCTTTGTATCTGCATCTGTATGTAATGACAGAGTGGTGCTACTGGACCAGTACGTCAAACACATTTTTATGCTTCCCTCTATCGCTACATCTTCACCAGTTGTCTTGCAGTTCTTTGGAATGTGGCAGATGGACATGAATCCTCGCCAATATTCAGAGGAAGCCAATGCCATGGTAACCAAAAAAGCATCTGCCATTCATTCGAAGCTGCCGCCCTTGAGGAAATATATTACTGCTCGAAATAGCAGTTATTCTCTACCAAACACTGCATCAGATGCCTTGAATGGTGCTCATAATAATGCTACGGCATTCCCATCAGACACTGCTCGTAATGCATTTAAGCTCCCCGCGTCCAATCTTAGTCTTCAAGCCACTCCAGTCGTAGATATCTATAACTCCGACTCTTTTGCCCGTGCACATTCTGATTACTATCCGACTGGAAAGAGCCATCTAACTGCATTTGAAAATTACCAGCTTGCTTCCCCCCTGGTTACTGATCAAATGGACGATTTTTTGGACGAGGACTGGCTTGAGCCAATTATGCAAAGACGTATGTCGCAGCTTACTTTAGTTAAAAGTGTAACTGACCTTTCATCTCAAGCACCGCACACTACCCACCAGGATAGTGTCCAGTCTGTTCGTCTGTCCGAGAGCTATGCCGAATCTGAAATTGATGATGTGCTTGACTCCTACTCACTTTCTCAATCCCAGATTGCTAGTTTAGCCGTATCTGCCAAATCTGGGCTAAATTCTATGCAATACGGTGAATCTAAACCTAATCTGAAACTATCAGAAAAACTGACTCAGCAATCATCTACTGGCTCTTCACACGAGTCCTATAAAGATTTTGTGACTAATTTGGCTCGCAACTTGGGTATTGACACACGCAACTCTATTCTAGATTCCAATAATTCTGTAAATGATCAAACAATATTAAATACTTCAATCGAAAAGAGGCCAGAGTTTTCAATACTGGCTGGAGAACAGACTAGGTCGCCATATGTCAGCGGCACGTCCACGGCAGTAGATCCCAACCAACCATCCCTATATCTTTTGATGACTAACTCTGTTAGTAAGTCTGCACCAAAACCCTCTTTATCTGATGGTCGAAATGGCTTATTTAGGACTGCAAGCCCAAGTATTCCTTCGCGTGGAAATTCCAAATTCTGGAGGGAAGAGTCGACTCCAATCGGACAGTTCAACTCCTTGCCAAACTCTGCACCAGTCAATCTGCAAAGTCTTCCCTATGAACCCATTGTTGAGCGTAGGCGCATTCCTGATACTGAGTACGCTACAGTAGCTTCTCGAGATAACTTGCCTACATTAAAAGGACGATCCAAGTCGCACGATCATAATGGCTATTTACTTCCAGCTTCCAATTTTACCTACAACAATGTTGCACCACATCGTTCTCAGGAACAATTACGCACACGACCAAGTCTTTCAGACGTCATGTCGCCTATTCCACGCTCTACAGAAAATATAGAGTCTCTGAAAAGTACACTGAATCTTCTTCGTGATCGGAAACCTACGTCTGAGGACAGTGCATCAATGTCCTATACCAAAGACAATTCACAGTCTTTTTCATTCCAGCACTCTGCTCAAGAGCAGCTTGGAACCGCTCCAATATATTCTGAACCAGCCGCGTCTCGATCTGATAAGATTGTGTCTACATTGATTCGTAATCTCTCTTTCAAGCGCACTAATATACTGGCAGAGAATGCACTTGTTTCTGAGCCAGACTCTATAAATACTCAAAGAAACACTGCTCCATGGAATCGGGTTCCTGGTGCTGCTTTACCTGTTGCATCCAACACGTCTTTTGCACTGCCATCTTCAGTGGTTTCTGCTCAAGAACCACGGCAAGTTCGAGCGGGAACACTTCCAAGAAAGTCGTCTTTGCGTCGTATTATTTCTCGACAAAATGTTGCTAATCAATCCACTCAGTCTGCTGAAGGTGTAGTTCCAGTTAATGTTGCGTCCAGCAGTCTCATCACTACTTTGGTTCGTAACTTGTCTAAAAAAAAGAATAAGCGGTTTTCTTTTAACAACAGTGATAGCACTGCTATTCCCAATAGCTCTGCATCTGGTGACATTGCTGCTACGTCAACCTCTACTACCCAGGAAACTGATCCGTCTATTGCTCCTTGGAACAGACTACAAACACCACCTCCTACAATTGGTGGAACTCTTTTGCGTGGCCTGTCGATTAATCGTCGTAACAAATCTGCCAATGACATCAAAACTTCTTATACTGCTACTGCTCCAAAAGAAGAGCCTGTACCTATTTCGTTTTCTAATTCATTTGAGACGATTAATGCTGAGATTAATGCGCGGCGTACCGAGGCAAATCTGGATACGAGTGATTCTTTAGGCGTCCGTTCCAAATATCAGGATGTTAGCCTTGCAGAAACCAAAGGTAAAACTATCAAATCCAAGGTCAGCTTTGGAAACGGACTAGCATCTTCCAATGCAGATTATGATGACATTTACCTGCCAGCAGATTATAACGTTTCGGCCATTGCCAGAACTGCCCGAGCCATTATGGACTCTGAAAAAGGTGCTCTGTTTAAAAACAGACAAATTGTTCCTATTGCTTTTGAAACACAACTTCTTCAAACGAACATGCGGTATCGCACAGACATAATGCAGGACGCTCGTCGGAAGCCGAGTCTAAAAAGTACCAAGATAAATTCACCCAAACTTTTCCGAAGCCATACTTTATCAGCAGGTTCACCAGAAACCGAAGCGCAGCATCATTTTATTTCCATTCGAGCTATTTCAGATGCCTCGGTAGTCGTTTCTATCAAAATTTCACGAACGGTAGATTTTGCTGCTGTGCTGGACAAACTAGCAATGCGATTTGCTACTCACGAAAATAGCTTGGCAAGATGGAAACGGTTTCCTGGACATTTTGGAAAGCAGATTGTAGCTATAAAGAGCATTACATACAAAGATGTTGATGCGCACTTGATTAATATCAAGGATGAGGAAGATTGGGTTGTGTGTTTGGATGAATCTATTCAAAAAGAAAAACTAACGCTTCTTGTCCAGATCGAAAGCATATACGATACAGAACAGTAGATCTTTTTCAAATTTTTACTTGTTTACATATTATAATAAATGACCATCTAAATTGAACATTGCAGTATAGGATTGTTTTTTAAGCTCATGTATATCAGTTTTTTAGACAGATTCAAAATCCGCATGTTTATTGTTGATGATTGAATCAAAGAAGTGCAAGGAGAACAGCAGCAACAGCACTCAAACCAAGAACAGTATAGCCAGAGTTGTAAACACCCTTTAGGTTAAGAAGCGTTGCAGTATCCCAGATCTATCAGCAACACTCGGTACGATTAGTGAACAGTAAAATAAAAAGGCTAAAAGTGCAATGGCATATTTATTGAATGCAAACTTACCAAATGACGCAGACCGTTGAACAGATGGAATGAGATGGGAGCAGCAAGGGTAAATTTTCCTAGGAAAAGAGCAGCGGCAGGAAGCGAATGAATGAAACTGGCAATCGCAACCGACGAAATGGGTAAAAATACATAGGCCAATGCAACGCCGTAAAAACCTTTAAACATGGCAGGGTTTAGCATTGCTTTCATCTCAATTATAGAAAATCGTTGATCTATACAAATGGGTATGGCTTCTTACCAACTGCAAGAGCACCAGACGTGGCACGAAACGCAGCAGAAAGATACCAGGTAAGCTGTGGTTGGTATATAGTCAGATGAGGAGAAATAGGACGATGCAGACGCTCAGATTTGGCAAATGGCTCAATGTCAAGCGTAGGTTTAGAAGCATCAGCTCCGAGCATCTCAAGTCTCTTGGACATGGCAGCTTCAGTTCCAGCACTTCCAGATGAGGACTGACGAAGCTGTGCAAGTCTAATTGTTGGAACATTCAGTCAGTGATAGAATTCATGACATGGACTAATGTATTGCTACAAGAGTTGACCACGCCTTGCTTTCAAAGACTGCTTGCAATGGTACTTACTGAACAGATCTTAGGAAAGCACTAGGAGTGCAGCGATAAACAGCAGCATTGATTAGACAGGCTAATTGTCAGTAAAAGTGCATTGCAGTAATATCGGTTAGTTTGAATTCTGATTGACGCATTGACAATAGCAAGCAGACGGACTACAGGCTGGTTTATATTCAAAAGATGCTGAATAACACAAAGATATGGCTATATAATTCAATGACTGTGAGACAGAGCACACTACTCACAGCTGATGGCCAGTCTAGTGGCGGATGGCTGCAGGGCAGAGATTGCTCGGCTTGCAAACATTTTCTGGTAAACTGTCGAGTCAAGTGTCGAGAAATTCATCACGACAACTAAAATACCCTCAGGTTTTGATCCCATTGGCCAAACTCTTGTCAGCTTACCCAAAAGGCTTGTGTTGATTCATATACAATATACACGAATGTGAAGACCTGTGAATAAGATATGCACTGGATTGTTCATTCCAAAGACTTGATCAAACAGTTTATCTGTCCTGAGGACACTGTAGAACTAATTTGGATTTGAATGATTTTCAGATTGAATCTTACTTTTGCAGTCCAAGATGTTGGACAGAGTAACTGCAATGGGTAGCAGAAGACTAGTTGGATTGATTGAAAATTCTATTTCTAATAATTCCATGACTGGCATGAAAGTGTCTGCTCGACTTGAATGCAAGCTTGCAAACCGACCACATCATAATCAGCAATCTCGACTGCATTCATCTGCATGGCTAATGCATTGTCTAAAACCACTCTCGCCAATATCAACTCAATCGCAGCAACACTATACTTTGAATCTGTTGAATCCTGTACTAGACAACTCATTTCCTATCAAGACAGTATCTCTTTTTGATCCAGCATTCATATCATATCCACCTGCTCGCTCAGTTTCTATAACCAAGCAATCCAATACATTCCCCATACTGGCATCAATGCGTATCTGTAATATATCCAGAATGCATTTGTCGAATAGAGCTATACGCCTAGTATCATCTACACCAAGTTTTTCTTCATCTGCAACTGTTTCTATTCCCTATCCAACCATCGATCTACCTCATCCACCTCAAAAACCACTCCATAAAAAGAATGATTCAAAAACTGTACAGACCAGTCTTACTGCAGGCTCAAAACTAGACGCCAGTAATCAAAATGCGGTTACTATAAGTTCAAATACCTTGTCAGATTCAGTCAACTCTGAGCATGAAGATTCCAATCCAAGTAACCCTAAACTTTCTCTTCAGCTACGTCGTATTGCACAACTTGCTAGACCTGAAATGTGGATTCTTATTGGCGCTTTGGCGTTGCTATTCATTTCATCGGCAGTTTCTATGGTATGTTGGAGTCATGGGTAATCCAAGATTTTCTCGACTAACCCTGACATCCACTTTTTATGTGCTCGACTTGTTCATATAGTCTGTTCCATTGAGTATGGGTACGATTATAGATATGGTCATGGTTGAATTAGGTGCTCGTGTTGACTCGAGTACTGTTCTTCAAGTATCGCCACGTTTAAGCGATATCATCAAGCAGCATCTATCTCTTACAACGCTCTTTGGAGTTCTTGCTTGTATTTTTGTGGGTAAGACTATGTTGATTGCACTCTATTTTGGTAGATCCATTGCAGCAACGTCAATGTTGACTAAACCATTACATTGGCTAGTTGGAGGTGCAGCAAATATGGGACGTGTAATTTTGATGCGAACAGCTGCAGAAAGGTACATGGCTTTCATTCTACTTTGAATACTCCAACTCTTGAAAAAGCACTGACATGAAGCAATTGCAATCCGTTTTTTATCACTGTTTTAGAATCATTGCAAGAATGAGAAATAATTTATTTTCAAATATCATTCGACAAGATGTGGCTTTCCACGATGCAAATCGTAGTGGAGAACTCATCAGTCGGCTATCTGCCGACACTGTGATTGTTGGGAAAACTCTCACCAATTACATGTCCGATGGGTTGCGTAGTCTGGTTACTGCTTCTGCTGGTGTTACAGCCATGCTATTTGTAAATGTCAATCTCACCGTAAGTCCAATACTATTGGTAGAACTAACTTTCAATACATTGTTAGTCATCGATTTCAAATCCATCAATATTTCCATGTCTAACTCGAGTTTTTTTAAAATCAGATTACAATGATGATGATTGTGCCGCCTGTTGCTCTTGGTGCTGTATTTTACGGTCGATTTGTTCGAAAGCTTTCTCGTCAGACCACTGATTCCACTGCCGAGATTACAAAGTTTGCGGAAGAAAAGATTAGCAATCTAAGAACAGTCCGTGCATTTTCGCAAGAAACAAGAGAGATTTCATTGTAAGTGTTTATTCTACTTTATCAGCATGGTTCTATTTTACTGATTTTCTGTAATAAAGGTATACCGAAAAGGTTCAAAATGTATACAAGCTTGGAATCAAAGAAGCCCTTGCATCTGGAATCTTTTTTGGCGGTGTAAGTAATTTGCTGTTTATCGTAGTATTGCGTTTTTCAGTCTTTAATATGGACTAATCCTTTTCATAATAGGCGGGTCTTTCGGGAAATTTGGTTATGTTGGCCATTCTCTATTATGGTGGAAGTATGGTTCAAAGTGGCGAAATCAGTGTTGGCGAGTTGGCGACTTTCTTTCTATATACTGTGTATGTTGGATCTTCTGTAATGGGGTTGACATCGTGGTATTCTGATATCAACAAGGGAATTGGTGCCAGCACTCGTTTATTTAATCTGTTGGAAAGCAGATCAACAATTGAAGCCACGGGTATGTATCCAGTATTGTGTTACATGCAAATAAGACCTATAGTATTTAATCAGCCAACTCTTGTATTTATAATTTAGATGGCAAAAAAATATATAATCTGTCTGGCAAGATCGACATTAATGATGTGCATTTTGCGTATCCGACTCGCCAAGATGTAAAGATTTTTGACGGTCTTACGCTTTCTGTTAGTTCAAGTGAAAACATTGCTATTGTTGGTCATTCTGGTAGTGGCAAAAGTACCATCACTCAGCTTTTAATGAGGTTTTACGATCCTTCTGTCGGATCAGTGAAAATCGATGGAGTAGATGTCCGCAGTCTTGACCCTCATTGGATGAGAGAAAAACTTATTGCGCTTGTTCCGCAGGAGCCGGTTTTGTTTGCTACCACTATCAAAGAAAACATTCGATATGGAAACCAGGACGCGACAGATGAAGAAGTGATTGATGCAGCCAAGCAAGCTAATGCCCACGACTTTATTTTAGCGTTTCCTGATGGCTACGAAACATTTGTTGGTGAACGAGGTCATGCAATATCGGGTGGACAAAAGCAGCGGATAGCAATTGCAAGAGCATTGCTCAAGGATCCGCTGATTTTGGTTCTTGATGAAGCCACGTCGGCTTTGGATGCTGCATCAGAATTTCAAGTCCAAGAAGCTATTGATCGACTCATTTTAGGAAGAACTGTGATTACTATTGCTCATCGGCTGTCTACTATTCAAAAGGCAGATCGCATTATTATGATTGACAACGGTCGTGTCAGTGAAGTAGGGACTTTTGACAAGCTAATGGGCATCAAGGATGGTGCATTTTACAGACTGGTATCTAAACAACTTTCTGAGCTACCATCGAGCGACTCTATTGAAGATTTGACTAGTTCAAAAAAGATATAAACATTAATCAGTGGCAGAATGCCATGAATTTTGTATTTTTTGCTAATTGTTATTTACAATCATGTTCAGTAAAGTGGAGCACTAGATAAGGATGCCAAGGCGTATAATAAACAGCCAATCATGAAATGGCAAATGACAAATTTACTAGTCAACACTACGCCCTTTAAACTGACAAAGCTATAACTCATGGACTACATGGTTTTTCAACCGTTCAACAAATAGCAATATCACGAGGTATAAAGTTACAAAAGCCTGAAATGTCTATTAAAATAATCAATCTCTGATAGAAAAAGTGCAACACTTATTTAACCATTGCGTATTTTGAAGCAATCACTGCAAGATAAATACAAAAGTGTTTCATTTTACGTGAATACGGCTTAGACCAGTGCTGCTGTATAACGTTGGCAACCTGCACCAAGCAATGCTTTCTTTTAAAATGTATCAACTATTTAAAAAATGAGTATAGAATTTAGATTAGTTTTTTTGCTCCCGTCTAGAATTACCGCCGCGAAATCCGCGCTGTGATTGACCCCTACGGGATCTACCATTCATATGACTGGACGAATGAGATTGATTTCCTCGTCGACTGGAAAACGAATTGTTTCCTTGACTTCCATAATTTCCCCTGCCACGGTGTGCACTGTTTCCAGACGGACTGCGATTGTTTTTACCATGGCCAGTCCATCTGCCTTTACTAGATAGTGTCCGTCCTATTTGACCACGGTCACTATCATCCGATTCTTCCTCATCGGTATACTTGATATCACCCCACGACAACTCTTCACTGCTTTCGTCAGCATCCAAATCTATCGATCGACTTTTAGAGAGCTCAGTGGCCACACCTTTTTTCATGTAAGACTGCCTTGTAGAATTTGTATTACTTTGATACTGGGTTCGCTTTCCACGCAAGGGCAAAACGTTTCGACTTCGTTTTGATGGATGTTCTTTTGAATCTACTTCTTCATCGTCATTAGAAGAAACTGCTACGTAAACAATTTCTGGGTCATCCTCTTCGTTCTTTCCACCACGTTTGCGTTTTAATGAAATGGCTAGATCCGATGTGATTTTGTTTTCCTCGTTCAATAATTCCCACATTTCAAAATCAAGTTCGTGCAAGTCTTCAAATCGCTTTTGAACAAATTCTCGATGCTCTAGAACAGAGCGGGATATAGTGAGGATACTACCAAGCATAGTGACCATTTCTCGACCAGTTCCTGTTGACACATTGTGTTTATCAAGCGCTTCAAATCGAACGTGACTTGGAGAGTTGAAGTTAGGACGAGGTAATTGATTTTGGTGTTCATTCGGATTTTGAGACCCTGCTTGATTATTTTTAAATCGTTGTTCATAGCCTGCACCAATCATGGCCTGTAAAACGTTAAATGCGCGTGAAAACTCGCGCCGAATGGACATGAAGTTGTATGAGCCACGACCAACATCATTGGCTGTAGATTTTGATTGTTGTTGGCAAATCAATGAGCCAAAAGACATGGAAAGACATTAGTCAAAACAGTACAAGTTTTAGTCTATTATACAAGCTAAAACCATGAAATTTTACTCACAGCAATCTTGTGGGTCCAATAAAGTCAAAATACTTTGCCGTGGGCCTCTAGATGGCAAGTTATCATTTGATTTGGAAGCATACCATGTGCTTTCTAGCGAAAGACCAATGCTGACATGTTCGAAATCCATATGCTTCCCATACAACTCAAAAAACTCGAGCAATAGAATACCCAAATTGTGTCGCGCTCTGATTTCACCTGATTGGAGTTTGGGGTGCATCTATGGAAAGCAATCAAGTTCACGGTAAGCAATCGTACCAAAGTAAAGATTGCTGATTAAAAATAAAAGTATTTACCATGAGAAACGAAGACACCATGATTAGCAATCCGTAGCTACCAAGCCCACCGCCAAACACTTCGTTGAGATGTCGTTGTACCAAAAACTGCTTTAAAATCATCATCAGTGGCAGTATTCCCTCTCCATAGTATGGATCATTGATGAAGCGTTTGACTATATTGGCACTCTTGATCCCATTCACCATATTGAATGAAATATCTAGTGAAAAGTGTGTCAATTTGTCTACACCTTTGATGATTGGAACCTAGTTTAAAACAATAATACATGTTATGACTGGTATCTCAACTTTATAGCAATTTCAGATTTTGGCAAGTTGATTGAAAATGATCTACCTTTGTTTTTTCAATAACCTCCATTCTACTCAATGTATCTGCCTTTTCAAATGCCTTTGCTAGTTGCCGCAAGCACTTTGGAAGAACACACGAGTCGCCAACAACAACAATATCTACATCGCTGCGTTTTAAAAGCAGGATACAACAGGTTCAACATAAATACTGTAATGTTAGTTTAAAGCACATTTAATCCAAATAAACTATGAATCAAGTCAAATATTACCTTGAAGGAAGATATAACTTGGTTTGGAAACTTCCAAATACATGAACCTCAGCATCGGCCCAGATTTGCTTTACAATCTTTCGTACACGAGCAATGGTAAGTTTTCGTAGAGAATGCTCTGCTTCAGTTGGCCTGACATAGTCCACATAATCATCAATTTCCTGGTTCAGCCTAAACAATGAATTAAAAATGAAATATTCATAGTGATCAGAACGCATATCCAAACAAACAGCACGAATGGAAGTTGAGTATCTTGGTCTGATATTCACCACAAAACCAGTACAACAGTCACGCTAGAGCTAAACAGGTGAAACTAAAGTAGAATGACCCAATCTGCACTGGACATCAATACTGACATGATCAAAAATCTTACATTGTGAGTGTATCGTTAGAATAAGGACGTCTGTCTGGAACCCATGGCGGGACTGGCACTGGCGTCAATGGATCGACACTCATAAACTGTCTTGTCGAATTACCCGGCCCACGACCACTGTCGTTTACAGACGCTCCAACACCACTTACTCGTCGATGATCTTGTCCAGGAGTGTTTCGGTTTTCACGACCAGTATTTTGGTCTGGAGCAGCAGTACTCAGAATCTCATCAGCAGCATTTAATCCAGTTGAAATATCTGCTTCTTCGTCAAACGTAAACGAAATAAAATCATCTTCGTTGAATGCAGATACAGATGACTTTGATGGTGTATTAAGTTTGGCTTTTAGTTCTCGTAAATGAGTGGTGATGTTGGTGCCAGTAGGAATATATTCATCACCCGCAATATCCTGAATGGCAGCAACAGCAGATGAATGCCGAGTTTCTGGAGTGATATGCTGCAAATCCTCGCTGATTTCCATACTCTCCCCATCACCACTCGGTCCAGTATCCTCGATTCCTTCGAGGTGCATTTGGCTGCTTTGGTTCCAGTTTTATTCTGAAAAAAGTTGTCCTTAAACCCAAAAAGAATCACGTGTGCAGTCCAATTACAACCGAAGCTTCCAAGTAAAAGTTTATTGAAACAATCATGAGGGCTTGAAAATGGTAAATGCATTGAAAAATAATCAAGAAATATAGAATCACAAGAGTTTGGCTAGAAAGACAGGTCAATGAAAAATTATTGATCAAGACAAGCTCAAGAGCCTGCTTTGAATGCCTCTAGATTGCTATGCCATTATCTCCTAAACAGTGAGTCCAGAATATGGTAGATTGCGACCATCACGAAATACTTGTTATTGGGAATGTAGATTCTCTGTAGTGGATGGTCCATTTCCATTCAATGCAGTTATTCCTCCAAGCGATGCGCCAGCAGGTAGCGTGTAGTTGCTTGCGCTAATTGCCACAAGTGCATCGGGTGATCCAAACGAAGGGCGTCGGTTATGAGCAGCATGTGTAGTTGAAATATTAGTCGAAGATGCAGAGTGGTATAGCGTAGACTGCTTAAGGTTTGTCTGCAACGTGCTCTGTTTTTTTATTCCACGATAACCGAGTTTGGAAGGCGGTCCTGTAGTTCCAGAGGAGACTGGCGATGCAATGTCATTGGTATCACCAAATGCAGTTCCAGCAGAATTCAGTTGTCCACCCAAGGCCAGATTACGAAGCATAGATTGGCGATCGGCTGTGTTTCGTGTCAGAATAGGTCCCAGTTTTCCTGCTGGATATGGACTAGTGGTGGAAGTGCGTCCTCGGCGAATGGATTGAGTTGCACTATATTGTGAGGTCGAAACGGAAAGACGTGGAGCAGCACTCAGTCCCAATTCTGCAATTTCAGCTGCATAGTTTTTGTTGAACACTATTGCAGTACACAGTACAATTATGTTATTGATCTACATCATTTGATATCAAGCCAACCCAATTACAGTCACAATATCAACACAATAAAAACATACTCTTTAAAATCTCGTCATGCAATGGACGCATTTGTAATGGAACAACCTGGTCATGAACTGCCAGACATCTGTAAATAACCTCCACGTGCTCCAAAATTGCAGCATTGAGAATTTCACGATGCTTGCTCGAGTTATACGAAGCACCAAGAAAAGGCTGAGTAAGGAATGCGGCCTTGTACATGGGAATTCCACCATTAACTGGTGCATCCACTGCACCATTCAAAGCCATTGTAAATGGATTTACGTTGTTTAGACTCGAGGCGGATGCATTGGCACTAGAGGACGCAGGTGGACCACCCTCAGAAATTTGGCCTTCAGGAATAGCACCATTTACCGATCCATTGAATCCAGTAGTAGTCCACGGGGTAGCCAAAGAAGACGTATGTGATCCACGAGATAGATTCGACACGATCGAATTTGAAGAAACTCTTGCCATTGCTTTGGCAGTACTACGACGAGCAGAATCTGATAGAATCAGTTCACTGTCAGAACGAAACTGTTTTTCGAATCCCAAAAGCTGCTTCGTCTTGGATCGCACAGTTGCAATTGCATTCTCAACAGGACTAATTTCAAATGTCATGACTTGGCATACACGAGAGCGATAGTTCATTGAAGGGAACGTGTCCTCTGACAGTAGAATTGTCTTTTCTGTCCATAGTTCAAGAAACTCTTGTGCAGGATGATTTTCAGGATCAGAACCATCTTTACGCCGGATAGGTCTAGAAAATGCAAAAATGGAGACCTCATTATGCTCGTAATAAGATCGAAGTTGAGGCGGTATGCAGCTTTGACGCAACAAAGTTTCCTTGGCTTCAGGATCATCTCCAAAAAGTTCCTGTTCAAATAGCCAGAGAGGTAAGCCTCCTGCAGTATCTCCCGCAGTGGTTGGATCATATTCCACCTTTTCTTCAGCAAGCATAGAGGCTACACTCCGTGCCTCTAAATCCCATCCAATAGTGCCAAACATTCCCGAGCACTCTTGAGAAAATACACCACCATAACTTCTATCCGAAGCAGTAGCCCACTCTCGAATATCAGCAACAGGAGAAACAGCAGTGATTTGCAAGTATCGACCATCGCTGTCCTTGATGTCGTCATCTACAGGACCATTTTTGGAAATGATCTTGGAGTCGGGATACTCTGTTTGGATGCGTTCACAAAATGCAGACAGCTTTTCCCACTGCTCCCCTCGATAAACGTACTGTTTGCCAGAAACTCGGCGGGGAAATCCGCGACCGTAAAAACTGACTCTATAGTACATTGGATAGTATCGCTCCTCAGAAATCATCTTGTCGTACATGTTGGCTTGAAATCGTAGTATACTAGACAAGTGAGTGTAATCCCACACACGGTATCGATATTCGTCGGCAAGACAGCTACATAGTTCCACGGCACGCTCAAGTGCCTGACCTTGTTCAAGCAGCTTGATGGTTTGCATTAAAATTTGCTCCTTGCGTTCAAATTCGGTCTGCCAGCTGGTAAATCCATATTCTGGCATAGGCTCAACAGCAACATCCTCAAACCAATTGAGCAAGTCAGCATGATGCTTTAGAGTTAGCGCTGCCTCGACCCAATGTCCCTCACTCATATGAATCTCAAATAAACTATGCAGATACTTGATAAACAAGGACTTGCGTCGAGCATTCTTTAAAAATCGCAATACTCGAATTGTGCTTGTAATACGTTCATCTAGCTCGTTCAAGGGTAATTGTCTGTGAACCGAAATGATTTTTACAAACTTGCTAATGGCTCGGAGAAAGGTGCGAGATAAATGAACAAATGTAGGATGATCCTCATGAGCTAGCCGTGATTCAAGAGCGGTAATAAAAAACAAATCGACCTGCTGTGATGGCAACTTCTGCTGCGGGGAATACGGTTTCCTTGATTCTTCGTCAGGAGTGGTGGTTTCAGAAAACAGATTGCTTCGAGAAATATTGTTTACTATGCCGGTAGCACGCATATCTCCAATATCGCCATTTTCAATAGCAGTATGGACATAATCAAAGCAATCACCTTCAATACGCTTAAAGTTTTCTTCCGCCATAAACTCTGCCTTGAGAATTCCATACAAGACATCTACAGTGGCATTGCGCATGACAGAATGGTCGTGCAAAGTTAGTTCAATGAGTGATCCAATAAACCCGCTAGGCATAGCTTGAAGACGCTGTTCAGTACAAAGTAGTTTACTGCACGAGTCCCAGGAATCTACAAGCAACATGGCAGCATCTCGCCGAATATCTCCATCCAGTTTCTGAACAATTCTTGCACGTTGCGGACCCGCTTTGGCCAGATTCAGCATTGGCACACCAATCAAATCAATTAAAACCTGGAAAAATTCGCCCCAACCTAATTCAAGTATAGACGTCAGATTGAATGATTCAGCATGCAAGGCCTGTTGTTGCAGTGATTCTGAAAGCTCTGACTTTTCAAATGTTTTCGTGTCGTTGTGATCTGAAGTACTATTGAAATCTACACCATCGCCATCTGTCAACTGATCTGCGCCAGTCAGTGTAATCTCACTAGCTCCAGGTTGACGACCGCTTCCAAAACTCAAACTGTTTTTATGATAAGCATGGAGCATAATAAATGTAGATTTGATAATGTCTAAAAACTTGAGTGTGGTTTTGACCACTGTGATATGAAAAGTCAGCCAACTAGTGTTGAACACATCGGGTTGTAAAAAGACCTGGAATGCCTGTATCATAATGACCAACAGCTGAGCAGTAGAAACTACTCCGAGTGTTGTTGTACGATCCTTTAAAATATTCTGGATTTCGGAGCTAGAAAATATGCTCATCATAGAGACGATGATCGCGCCAAGATCCTGCAACTCCTTGCGCTGTTGACAAATCGCATTTGCTGACAGTCCCTGGCCTAAATTAAAAATGACAAACTTTAGTCAACATCTCAATATGTTACAGCAGTGACAAGTCTTACCTTTGGATGGACTTGTAGCTAAACCTACAGCATCCTCATTATTGCAAACTTTCTTTACTTGGTTATGTAGCGCAAGAAACAATGAACAAATGGCAAAGAAAATGTTGCCCCATGTTGTTTTTCCAATATCCTTTTTTACCATTTGCCCCAAACACTCTTCAGTATTGTCTTCTTGATCAACGGATTCGCTTTGGCGAGTTTTGATCATGTTTACACGTGGTTGGATATGATGAAGAATCTCTTCAAGTAGTCCAGTAATTTGAACCACTACTTTGGAGTCCAGTACATCTGAATTAAATGTCATATCGATCGTGGAATACGATTGGTTAGAGCTGACGCGACCATCACTTCCATGAGAAAGAATAGAAGATGAATTCAGATTTTTATGCAGTGTTTCAGTGGTAGAGAGTGTCATTGAATCCAGTAAAATTTCTATAGTAATCTTTCGAAGACAGCCAAGGTAAGCAGAGAACTCGGGAAGGGTCATCAGTGTTCGTAGCAGCACTAGGCGTCCAGACTTGAGTTTTGGTTTGCTCACATTAATCGATGTCAAAAATGAAACAATCAACTTTTCAGTTTGTGTAGAATCAAATACTCGAGATGACATGATAAGAAAATTGGGAAAGTGCTGCAAAGCAAGCACTTGAGCAGCCAATGCATGATCAGGCTCGTCAAGGGATACTAGATATTGAATACCCTCGTGTAATGCAAGAACACGCTCTACACAGGTAGTCGGTTCATATCGATTAAATGGAACTCCATTAATGTGAATGGGGTTAATAGAAGTAACCGGCATAGACGAAGACTCCTGCAAAACCAAGGCGGATGCAGCATAAATAATGACTGCTGTTACATTATGCATCACCTTGATCGTAGCACGTAGTAGTTTTCCAAGCTGTATGTCTGCACCAGATCGTAAAAGCTGTTCCAGCTGCTCGCTAATAACAACCCACGCAGGAGTTCCTTCAACATGAGATTGAACAAACGCTTCAAAAGACTCGATGTTGTTTACAAATCGCTTATCTGCAGCAACAGTCAGTACAAACACAAGTTTTTGAAAAACATGCCGTTGAATGGCACTTGCATTTCCAGAGGGAAAGTACGTGAGTTTGGGATCCATGGTGGCAACCCACAATCCCATCAGCTCCTTGAAGATAGCAGGCATAAACTTGTATACTTCCATGTCATCAACATGAGCAAAAGCGGCAAGCACTGGAGTGATGTTTCCATTAGTTACTGTGACATGCTGTCGCCAGTTTAGCAGATTAAGAAGCGCAGGATCCTGAGTCATGACAGTAGAAAAGAGAGAGGTTCGAACTGTTAGCGTATCTTTGAGAGTTGGCAATTTTGAAATGGCATCTGCTGCCTCTGCAATAGATTTTGTTGGAGAAAGCAACATATGAGCAGGCACAAAAAGATTTGGTCCAGCTTGAAAATTAAGGTAGATTGATGGAGCAGCCGTGAAGCGATCAAACTTGTACAGTGTTAGTTGATGAACTGAATCTGTAATTACAGCATACTGGCTTTTAATAAGCGGTATGAATGCAAATGCAAATTTATCGCCAATGATCTCGGCCGTAGAAGGTGCACAAACACGAAATGTCAAGAATAAATGAGCTTTTCTAAAAGTCGATGGTACCAAATCAATGCGGATGGTTTCGCTCCACTTGGGAGTTATGCTGTTGGCAAAAACAATGGAATCAAAATAATCCACTGCTTCTTCACCAGCACCCGCTAGAAACGCACCGCGAACACATTCACCATTGGCCAAGCGAGCTCGGACTGATACTTGTATTCCTCGACCACTAGAGAGACGCACACTGGGAAACGAACCTTCTTCAAGAGTTAGAAAAATTGTGTTTCGTTTGGCAACTATTGGAATAGTATTCTTGGAGTCACTTGACAAGGCACGAGAACGATCTCCTAAAAGCTTGAATGAACGATCCATGCGGGATACTTGAGGAATAGCCCATGAAATTGCTCCAAAGTACCCGAGACGGCATGAAGGAACGATATCAGTCAGAATGCCAGATCTACAAGCATAGATAGGCGAATCATTACTAAATGTAGCAATTGAAACAGTAATACTTTGAGCAAAAGAAGGAGCGCTGAGCAAATCGGGTTGGCTAAGCAAATCATCCAAATGTACACTATCAGAGTCTGTATAAGTTGGAATTACAATCTTCATATGGCATTCCTTGGTATGCACGGTATCGTTGGACAAGTGCTCAAATGCCTTGGAGATTGGCACAGCCGCAGCACCAAACTGACGTCGAATGTATCGATGGCCAGAAAGGTTTTCAGGATTCAGTGGATTAGCATCTTTGGACCCTTTCAAGAAACTAGCGTTAATAGCTGATGAGCTAAACTTTCCACGGACGGTATTGGCAACAGCCGCTCCTGACTTCATTGCTTTGTCAAACACAGATTGATTATTTGAGATACTTGCCACGCGAACATGAACCATACGACATACTAGCATTAGTTTGTGGCTAATGTCTTTTCCACTGACATCTGTAAAAAGCGTTGCAAGCTTTTCAGAGTTACTAAAGTCGAGTGAGCTACGCTCCTCGGATGGCTGGCCATTTGAATTGAGACGAATGGAATATTCTTCTGATAAAATCTGCCTATTGGTGGCATCGTATATAAAAAAATGAAGCTCGATCATTTCACCAATCTGACAATAGGATGCTACACAAGATTTAAACTCCATGTACATGTGAAATCGTGATATAGAATAAGGATCATCCTTTACTTGTGGTCCATTGCTAGATTTTGTCAACCAGTGCGAAACCGCTTTAGAATCACCATTATCAGCAGCATCAGGCACGGCAGATATGGAAAGACTTGTAGAGCTAGATATTGTTAATTCATTATCATGGCCAGTGCTACTCTCACCATTTGGTTGCTTATCACCATCTGCAGATTTAGAATTGAGCAAATCGTTGCTAAAACAAGTGTATAAATCGATTACAGATAGACACTGGTCAGATAGGAGCTGACCAGTGGTTGCATCATACAAAACAGTATCCAAATTAAGCAGCTTGTTTCCAGTGTTGATTTGAGCTATGATTTTTCGACGACAGCTGATGGTTTCTGCAACAGAGAGAGTACGCGATCGCAGTGTTTGGCGAGCATGAGCAACAGTTCTGAAAATGGATGATACGATAGGATACATGTCGTACTTTTCATCCATCAAAAGCCCATTGATATGTATGCACCATTCGCGAAGAGTGGAAGCAACTCCGTCCAAAAATGGATCGTCAAGTCCATCTATCGAGTCATGTGGAGGAATCAGTAGCGGTGGATGATGTCGAGAAACAGTTTTAGTACCAGCTGCTGGATTAGGGATGGCAGGCAATGAGACACCACGGTGACCATGCAAAACTACTGCAGTGTCAATGGTAAGATCATTGTGTGCTTTGGAGGCTATATCGATTGAGCTGCTCGATGCATTATGGTTGCTATCGCCAAGCGCAGCATCAGAAGCTTGGTTACTTTCTTGAGTGTGCACATTCTCTGTACCGTGATTGGATGATGGATTCGCTGTTTGAGCACTCTGTGGAGTAGAAGTAGCAATTGAAGCGGAAAGGTCCGTCAAGGATGCAGCACTAGCTGCCTTGTTTGAACCTACCAGCGTGACAAAGGCGATCGGCACAATGCACGGGCGAACGCCCACAAACGTGCTAGAATTTGTAGTGGATTGGACGGTATTGTTCTGTTCTGCATCGGTACTGACAGACAATGATCCCAAACTCGAATTAGAAACGATGGGTTTTGATGCAGGATATAATAGACCTCGATACCAGGCAGAGTTGACCTCGAGCAATTGGATATGATCACCCACTTCTAGTCGATGTAAATACGGCTGCGCACTTGGAACGGCCAAATATTCTGGAGGAGGAATGAAAAGTGAGCGAACCACTGCAAATGTTGGCGGTTGAATCGGAAGTGGATGCCAAGCCTGCTGTTGTGTTTGGCTCTGCTCTTGTTGCGATTGTTTAGGTTGTTGAGCTCGGGGAGTTCCTGGCTGCAGTGTAAGCAACGATTGCTCCAGCAGTCGCTTGAAGAGCTCGGGCATCAGTCAATGATGAGTACTAGTATATAGATTACCAAATTACACCAACTAAATCTAGGCTGCACAGATACAAGAACTACAGATAGCTTTCAGAAACAAAGGGATCAAGAGTACTTTTACACTAAAATGGTCAGATCCTCGGCTGATCGTAGGTAGAAAGTCTTGGCAAGTTTGCTAAAGGATATTCAAATAGCAAATTAAGCAGATTTAACCCAAAATACTTTGTCAGATTTGGAAATGCCCGACAGTAACGACGGTGCAAAGGGACTGCGTTGATCCCTTCGCACCGTTCTATACCCTCCAGCCTCACTTTATTAACGGTTGGGATATGAAGGGCTATGACTGCGGATACAACTAATTACAGTCGAAAACAAAGGGACAAAAACAAAATATTTGTTTATATTGAACAGCCCAGTTTTGCATACTTGAAGCCATTTGATAGCATCAGACAAGCTGCTGTTGCAACCTTTTGGAACGTTTTTGGTTTGTAGCAATGCACAATTGTTTCCGGATAGCGTAGACTCTTGTGTAGGTTGGCATTCTTATTTAGTGCTTTATTTTACATGAATACGGGGTGATCGAACATTCAGCAAATGCAGCGTCAATTCCGCTCTCCTAACACGAAGCAATGTTAATGATCCAGCTTTGACCTGGTTCGTGACTAGGCGTTCAAAATATCTTCATCTTGAACATTTAATCCATTAATAGCCCAATTATTCCACAATGGCAACCGCAGAGGTGAGAATCAGACATTTCTGCATGATAGAAAATATTCTAGATAATGTCTGCCCCTTGTGGCAGTTTGAACTTGCTTGTTGTATGCCATTGCATTCTACTTGTACACCACGGATTCTCCCATCAATCCAAGCTGCCTGGATGTTGCATATCTTGGCAGCATCTGCTGCGTAACAAAACCACACCCTGGTTCATATTACTGTTTTGTCGAACATGAATTATCTAATATGTCGATTTTATCTACATTTACTAGGACCTATTCAAGGGTACGATATATATCAATGCTGCTCCATTATTTCCTTGCATTTTGTCTTCATTTTCCACCATGTAATGCACTTTGACTGGCCATGGAGCATATTCCGTGTTTTGATGCCATGCATCTTTTGGCTAGTGGATAGACAACGAAAAACATCCTGCGAAAAGCCATTCAATCAACAAGTAATGGGTGGACTCGATAGCTTCATTTTGCATCTTCAACATTCGAGAGCCTTAATCTTGGACTATAATGACCATCGTCATGTTTACTTGATACATGTATGCTAACCTGACTCTTTAATAAATCATTCCAACGCCACACTTTAACAGCAATCAAGGCATCTGACTCTGACAAGGTTAGAGATATGCTGTTGAAAGAAAAGTCGCTCTCGTCCGAAAAGTATCGTGATCCGTCTGCACGCTTTGAAGCCGATGTCGAACTTGATGCATACAAATTTCTTGGTGCGTATCTAGGCTCACTCACTCCCCTCCAGTTTGCTATTTTACTTGGCCACGACTCAATTGCACGCGATATCATTGAACGGTCATTCAAGGATGATCTGGATGATACATTTGGTGTAAGTGTAGAATATGGACAAAGTGCTCGAGTAGATTTAAACTTGATATCAACTATTGACATTTTTGATTATGCAATCTTGACCGGATATGACAAATACAGGGTGGAAATACTGCACTACATCTCGGTAAATTAGTCTAAATCTTGAGGGATCTGTATACTGGCACAATATGACAGTGTTGTGACTTTGAAGCCTATACCAGTTGGGTGTGTACATGCATATTTACTAACCTTGCATACTTGTAAACTACGTCAGCAACGTTTCTCGGAGCCAAGGAAATAGTAAAGCTTTTATTGGAGCGGGGAGCTAATCGCACTATCAAAAACTCAAAGGGATTTGCTCCCGTAGATGTACTGGACGACGCTGACATGAGAAAACTGTTTGAATGAATCTGCATTATGTCCTATTCTTTAATTAACAGGGAGCCCAACAAATCCCATTTATCCTTGAATTTTAAACAGGATTAAACTTTTTTACAAAAAGCCATTCGAGTAACTCAGTCTATATGCTTGACTTTGTAAGCCATCTCGAGTATTGGGCTTTGTGTTGATACAATATAAGATAAACTCTGAAATGACGACGCACATATCTGATACCTGAACAAACACATGATTGAACTTGCAAAATATCTTCAGCGCAGTCAGCAACTGTTCGGGATGTTTACATTCCATATCTATTGGGGTAATTTATTGCGCTAGCCAAGTAACAAACCTAAAGAATGCTTGAATCCATTAATACAAAATATTTCTGTTGCTAATTGCTCATCTGGATAAATCAAGAAACGTGGCAGCTTGGGGTCAAAGAATACAATAATTGTAGATAAAAATTGAGCAGGGCCAGGACAAGTCAATGCATGGGTTTTAAAGCAGTAATGAAATGGTGTATAAAAGCAATGAAACCTTTATGGATCTCAAGTAACGGTATTATAATAAAGGTAAACAGCACAAGGATGGCAAAAAGGAGTCGATATTGAATATAAACAAAAATCTTGTCTAGTGATGCTGAAAATCAGGGGCAGACATTGGGTTAGGTTTTGATGCATTCCCGTCAGAGTTGGAAGCTGTCTCTGCTTGAGCGGTGGCATGGTCTATTGCATTTTGCATAAGCTGGCGAATCTGTTCAGTTAAAGCAGCATTATGGCTCAGTAGGTCTGCTTCTCGTGCGTGAAAAGTTTTCTCAAGAACAGTGACCTTGATACGTAACTCTGCATTGGCCTTTTCCAATACTGCTATTTCCGCCTCGAGAGTACTCATGCGATCGGCTTTCCTTTCTCGACATCGACGCGCAGCTTCTAATAAATGTAATTAAAAAATGATTAAAAATTTGACAGCACTTTACTGGTGGATTTGAATATGCAAGTAATGATTAATGGAATATCATTCAGACCGCATTCATCCTTTTGTTCTGAACCAATACAATAAATCCAAAGCAAAGTATTGTAGGATTGAGTCATTCAGTCTGACGTGAATTGGACGTGAATCCCACTCATTCAATCTACAAACACTAGAAGATACATTCTAGTCTGACATAAAAACCACTGCTCAAGACAGGTAGATAACACCAGGATATTTGAGCGTATACAGTAAATAATGTAACCAAGTCAAATCTCACCAGCATTCATTCTGCGCTTATGAGCCAATCTATCTTCGGCTTTAGTCAGTGTAGCTTTGACAGTATTGGGTGATGTACCATTCGAGTCATAAGCAGATGGTATTACAGATGACAAAGGGCGTTTCAGCTGCTCAGATTGCTGATACGATGGCTGCGTGCGCTCTTGGTGCTGTTTCAAGTCGTGCAGGTCTACAAATGAGTCTTGAATCTGCTGTTGCTTTGGTCGTTGATGAGAAGAGTGCTGGTATGGATGATAACCATGAGATGAGGGATTAAAATTTAATGGCTGAGAAGGCATTGGTTGTGCAATGCTATGCGATTCAAATGACAGTGCGTGTTGGTCTTTCAAGTTCTTCAAGTCCTGCATACCACTATTACCATTTCCAGCATACAAATGCAAAAGTGACTGCTGTGAGGTGTTTTGTTCCGAGGCGTGTTGAACATGCAGAACGTGTCCATCTGTATCACAATCCAGCTTTGGTTCACTACGTGATGATACACACAACGACAATGGTGGAGAATATGGACGGTCATATGAGTGATGGTGGGATGGAGCGGGGCGTGTAGATTGATTATGGTATTGATGTTGCTGCTGAAAAGGATATCCCTGATGCTGATTCATGACCTGTGTGCAATTCTGAAGCTGTCCATAAAGAGCCTGATGTGATTGTTGCGATGTCGAATGCTGGAATGGTGGATAAGTCGGTGACCGGGGCTTGGATGGATTTTGAGCCTGCAGCTCCTGTACAAATGCAGCGAGCGACTGCTCTTTTTTCTGAGTAGCCATGTCCAAGTTGACCCAATAGAGTAAAAACGGACCGGCTATGAAAGACTAATGATGGTGCTGTGGAAACCCAGCAAAAAGGTTGGCCTTGAGTTTTTTATTGACAAGATCAGTAATCGGATAAAATAAAAATGGACTTAATTAAAGAACTAAAAATATGGTAAGAGCCAGGACGTAGCGGAGCTAGTGGTGAATCTAGAGCTGCTTGAGTTCAAATAACAAAAATGATGGAAAATGAGTAATGAGTAATCATGAGCATTCTATTTTCAAGACCCGACAGAAAAAGGGTGCACTTGATGAGCTTGTAACATACACTAAAATTGTAGACTGAGGGAAAGGTGAATTCAAAAGCAGCGCTATATTCAAGCCCTCACACAAAGGCCGCACTTTAACCAATATAAACTGGAATTTCATTCAAAAGCAGTCAAGCGATGACCCTATCTCGAGTAAAAAAGACAACTCATTATGACATTTTTTTGTGCTTCGGCAGTAGTAAGTAAACAGTTGGAAATGTTGCCGAAACAAATGCTTGGCGATAATAGGACGAGCGATAAATGCTTGGTTATTTCTCGGCTACACTGATGGCTGTTCATTCTTGATGCTTTACATGGTTGTCCACTCGACTGTTTGCAGAGCAGACTATCTGCTACAGCTGCAGTACTATTGCTTCAAGAGCATGTAGCTAGCTATAATATGCTCAATGTTTAAACCCCAACTAGATGCTGCCGCGGCATCACTTCAATGGATGTGTGCCTCTTGACTCTAGGGCATAGCTGATAGTTTCTCCATTGATATGCATTTGATTGGATAAAGCAATCTGGCAAGGGAATAACAACTACTTCAATTCCCTTCAGCCAAAACCATACGCCAGGTAATAGTACAAAATACCGAGCGGATATAAACTACAGCTCATACAGCATTGCGGCTAATATATCACTCGACAGAAAAAAAAAATTCAAAACCTGGTATGCAATGCTGTATCTGTGGTGACCAACTTCAACCCATACAACATTCAAAAATCTAGTCGCTGGAATTGGAAATACGCATCTGGTGATTGTTTGCATGATTTGCAGCGCTTTATTGATCAGCCTCAAGCTTTATAAATATTGTTGTCATGATGATGTTTGACGCAATTTGAATCATTATGCAAGCACACTGATTCTTGATAAAAATATCCCTCAGTATACTATCATGTTCATGAAAAACATGATGTCATTTAGCCGTGCAAACAGTTGTGTGATTGGTTGGGAAATGAGTCAGAACTACTCAACATCATCAAACAAGCAGCTGTTACAGCCTTTTGGAAACAAGAGCTTTCGGTTTGTAAAATTGCACGATTGGTTTAGACTAGCATAGAGTGTATATATGGAATGCTGAAGATCTTGTCGGAACAAGTCCAACATCAAGCTTAGTAAACAGCCGTTGCTGGATCAAATGAGTGGCATTGTCCTGTATCAAATCGAAGAAAACAGCGAGTTGAACAAACTGATCGTGCTGACAAATCAGATTATCGCCGCGATACAGGAGAAATAAGCGAAAATGTCAACTCCTTCAAATCATCAAGCAATCTACCAATACTTGCAAAACAACATCACCAAAAGTGATGATTGCTGACAATTTCTCACCCATATCCATTCTCATTCCCTCTGGTGCTAGCTGTGATTGGAGTATCATTGACAAGATATGAATCAGCTCTCATACTACGAATCGTGATAAATCTAGTATCATGAAACTTGCTTCCTTCAATATGATGTTTTCACATGATAGAGTAGTCTATAAATAACAATACAAACATAGAATTTTTGATACATAATGACACTTGATTTATTTTTTGGATCGGCCAGAGTGGAAGTGACCCAATCCAAGTCTAGACAACAGACGTTGTGTCAATGACGGATCTTCTTCAGTAGTCGATGGTGCAGTCTCCGCTCTTTCAACTGACACGATCTTTTCATTTGACCCCAGTGCAGTTTCTGTGACTGGCGAACCAATATCCACAGTTTTTTCAGCATATGAAAATGAATCAACCGCAGGCAGTTCTTGACGAGGTAATTCGGCAGGAGCTACTACACCTTCCTTGGGAACAACCTTGAACGTGTCTGTAACTGTAAACCCATGCTTACCAATAGTGTCAAGGTATTTAGGACTTGGGTTCCTGTTTTTTTTACGAACCTCGTCCACCTCCGATTGATATCTATGTTGCCGTTCAAAAAACTCTAGTCTGGGAATCAGATGGGCATTTCGAATATCAGCTGCGCGAGATTTTGGATACGATTGCAAACTCTGACGCATTTTTATCAACTGCTTATAAATGCCGACTTCCTTGAGCGTTAGCTTATGTTTTTCTCTGCCACTCATCTCTGTGCGCTCCGTGAGTTTAAACACACTCATCTCCTTGCCGGTAACTGGGTCAACTAGTTTGATAGTGTCGCGTCTGTATTTGGCTCCCTCAACCTTATGCAGCTGCTGAAGAACCTTGTCACCAAACACTTTGGCGGATCCATACACAAGATCGTTAGGGTTATTCACTAGCTCTATAATGGCTTTTGGTGCACGATCACTGCCAGGTGAATTGTAACCATTGCGAACAATGCGCATATAGCCGCCATGAATGTTACGATATCGCTCAGTAAGCACCTGCATCAATTTTGGAACAACAATTTCTTGTGACTGATTTATGAACAGACCGGTAACGCAAAATTGGCCAGATTGACATGTCCGTATCACCGCGAAGCAGCAGATTCACCAATCAATTGTTTTCAAAAATATTAATATTCAAACAGTCAAATACGATTAATAACTGAAAATACGCAGGCTAAACATAGATATTTACAACTTTGATGGTCGATACAGTTACAGTCGTATTCACGCAAAATGAAACACAAGAGTATCATGGAATGATGATTTTCATCAAATTTACTGGCCATTGTTTCTGAATTTCTTGGCAAAATTCACTGGTCTTCCTCATGCTTATTTTTATATAAGCAGTTGAACGAGTGCTCACATTACAGTTCTAGTAAATCCCACTCTTCTTTGGTGCAAACCAACATTGAGTGATTAGCGTAGAAACAACAGTTGCATTCTCGAGATATTCTCTTGAATTAGAGAGCAAACGTATGTATGAGATTAAGACACAAAAGTTTATGAAAAGCTGTATTGACAGCAATCAAACCCAGTATCTGAATTACAATGAATCTAATGGTCGTAGATTGTATGGCTATGTCAAATGAGGATCATCTCGGCTCAAAACTATAACGAGTATCGTATGATGGATGCTGTGTTTTGAAGAAATGGTGCAATCAATTTCTAGTAGAAAAGCTTATTGGGTATTCAACCATTGCATGTTTCAGTGGTAGATAAATACAAGTGATCCATTTTTACGTGAATATGACTGTAGTAGCATAAACACTCGACTCAACAACAACCATAGAGTGATCTGCGCAAAAATCTATGTTGATAGCAACTTACCCGAAGAGAGTCTCTAGCAAACTGCCAGTCCTCGCTGGTTCCTCTTTTTGCTCTGTTGATCAACTTTACAATTAAAACAGACCAGCCGGCAATTTGATCAGATCATGACAACATGCATCAAGAAACAGCGATGAATACGTTAGTATCATTATCCACATTAGCCAGCACTACATTCCCACTCTCTCGAATACAACGCTTTCGTATATTCAATAGTTTTATCTTGGTTGCCTCCATATACTCCAATCCCGTCTGGCTTGGCTTTATAAAGAAAAGAAAAATCACTCAACTGCCTCGAGTTCGTGCTTGACAAATGTAGCCTTTGCAACAGTGGTAGTGATCCGTTCATGATGAATGAGCTCAGTCATCATGTTACGCAACAAGTCCTTACGATGCTCTGGAGTGCGTCCAAGCTTCTTCTTCCAAAACCGAACACCATGCTTCATAATTCACGATTTAGCAGCAGGTTTTGGTTTGATGTTCAAGTTCAAAGTCGGTAGAATTGCGCTAATGACAAATTTTTGTCAGCACCCATAATTCCACTTTCATTCTATATCTAATCTTCATTGACAGTCCATGCTGTGTCTAGTATAGTCATTGAACATCACAATCAGTCAGGACAGACTCTTGTAAAACAGTCAAAACGGATCTAACAATGTACAAATAGGCGTAGACTAGAACTAGTTTATTCATAGTTCAGCAGTTGGTACAACTCCAATCATGCTGGAAACTGAGGAGTTGATAAACCATCCAAATACACTGCAGGTCCATTCGACTTGATATCAACAAAATTAGCAAGCTCTAAAGGAAAAAGCTGCTTGTGTTGTGATACAGAATCGAGAACTTGTTGCACAGAAATCGAAGATCCACGACCAACAACCTGAGTCGAATCTGTCGATAAATGATCTTCTTCTCCTAGCTGTAAAAGCTGATGTATTTCCTGACGTGAGATCCACGGTACAGACCGGATGTCTGCATCTTTGACAGAGTTACAGTCATGCCGCTTGCAATTTGATTTATAATGAAATCCTTCCAATTCACCACCTGTATCAAGCAATGATTCAGATGTAGACTGAAACTCAGACGAGGAGTGACCTGCAAACGACTGCGTATCTGTAAAAGCTTGTGTATGATTATGCAATAACCCTAAAATTGCTGGGAAAATAACCTTGGAGATACCACTGCCCCATAAAAACTGAAGATGCTCGTATTCTATTTTATACCAGTTATTAATAACACATGGCTGTGAGAAATACAATTGATTCAAAGTGATACCTTCAATTTTAAGAATATACGAGGGCATTGGAGTATTTTTTAAAATATAGTCCATGTCCGGAAGCGTGTCCTTTCCTCCATATATGATGGCGATAGGAGTCTGGATCTGCGACGTGGGAAATCGTGGTATATGATAACCCTCGACACCATTGGGCATCATTGGTGGAAGATCATCATACATCTGAAATCTCCCAGTTTTCATAATCTGAAACCAGTGCACAACAATTTTGACAGACGAATAAGAATAGAGATGTCTATACACAATATGCTTTGCATCCATATAATTTGCCTTCCAACCAAACAAAAAGCGACAGGCCATATCGATGATTGAGGAAAATGTTTCTGGAGAGAGAATGCTTTGCCAAAGCAATGCAGATGAGAGTAGCACTCTGTGTCCAAATAGCAGGTAAATAAACTCTGGAGATACGTGAACAAGCGAATCAATTGTTTTGTTTTCTAGTCCTAAATAGGTTTACATTGTAAAAACAGTCAGGGCCATACATTTAGTTTCTACTTACCTTATAGTGACAATAAAAACCATGCATTGACAGCCATGCTGCTTTTATCAAAAATCAATTCTTGAAGCGTAATCCTTACCGTGCGGTTTTGTGGCAGGAGCAAGAGCAATGAATAGATTAATTTGGCTATTTAGCTTTGTACTAAGTGACAATGCAGCAAATCCCTGCGCCGTGCCCTGAGAGAATCCAATATATGTAAGTGATGATACGCCAGTAACCTGGAGAATATACTCAATCGAGTCAGGTAAATCGCAAAGAGCTAGCTGATCCATAGAAAAATCCCAAAACCTTTCTCCGTTTGGTTTAAAACTGGTATGCTTGCAGGAATATTTGTTGCCGCGTGTATTTCCCAGCCATACATCGTACCCAGCCTCTGCAAGTGTGATAGCCAGCGAGGAGGTTGGATCTGGAGAGCATACCCATACTTCGGAACACATTAGAAATCCGTGCCATAACAGAACAACGGGTTTTGTAGGAAAGTGTGATACATTGGCCAAGCCACGCTCTTCTGGTTGACTGGCATCTGTAGTGCTCCAACTAGTAGCGGTAGTACTGTTTGCAGCAGTACCGTTAGCGCTCTTTGATTCTGATAAAGGCCGATCGCCAGACATTTGAGCTGATCTAGGAATGTTATTTGCACGAGATCCAGGGATACGATGCAAGTTCAAAATATAACCATCCTTGGTAGTAACATAATGAGACTGAAATGGCAGTTTCCTATGCATTCAATGATAGTATTCAAATTTATATAAGCTATATGCATCATGATAAGCCATGTTTAATATTCCAGCAATTGAAACCAACAAGGCATGACATTTTTCAAGACAAAAAACTCCAGTTCAATTAAACTCTTGTTCAGATTAAGTTGATGCTATACCAGTGGGTTACTAACGCCTCTGTAGTGTCCAATGTCATGAATTGACGCTCTGCATGAATATCAGTTTCTGGCCGGTCAATTAAAACATCCTCAGCCGCATGTCGAGTAAGCTTGCATCGTATGTATTCTGCCAGCCAGTGCAAGGGAAGGACAGAAAAGATGAAACGCAAAATATGCTCAATGACCAGGATAGAAAAGGCAAAAAACAAACGCAAGTAATCGACTATACTCATGCGTCCGAGCACAGGAATATAAAACATTCGTCCCATTGTAGTTATAGTTGGTAATTACTGCAATCAAGCATTACAAGATAACAAGCACACCCTCAGGAGTGGCTTTGTTATCTCGTTCAACCGCACCAACATTTTAGCCAGTTGAACAAGCAATTCTAGCTTATTTCTCCGAACTGCGTACACTCGAGTTTATTGCCGCATATTCATCTTATAATCACGCATTGACTCGTTTTTAGTGGTTTCATCGTATCTGCATTTGGAAATGAACACAGAAAACAATGGCGACGCTACCGATAAACTCACTGCCAATGACGACCATTCTGTGCAAGATATGGATGGTGTAAATGAGCCTAACGTTGACTATTCAGACCAGAGTTTGTTAATTGAATCCAACTTAGATAAGCCACGACGCCCAGTAGCAACTGGTATAGATGCACTTTTTTCGCGAGTTGAATGTGACAACAATCAAGACTATTCACAGAAACAAAATGAAGCCAATGCTGCTGCCTTGCGCACTCAACAATCACGCCTGACTGCCGATAGCATTGCTGCTGGTGCAAGTGCTGGTATCGAGGAAAAGGGTCGGCTTGCACCTTCGCTGTTTGAAAAGAAAAAGAGCGCTAATGCAAACAACACTGTTCATAATACTTCTTCACGCAAACGTAGATTTGATGCCTTCAATAAACACGCCAAAGGCAAATTACTAGGAAAAAGTGACAATGCGAGTGATGAAGATGGTGCATCCGCCTCCATTAGTAACGACAATCTTGCATCTTTAACAAATCATACTAACCAAGGCGATACTGTGGTACACATTGACGCTCCACCTGATCCTGAAACCCAAATGCTAAATGACCGTTTTGCTCTGCTGGATCTGACAAAAATGGTACTGTTTGATTTCTGTTACTTTTTAAAACTGTGCCAAAAGCTAATGATTTGAAAATACTGCTTTGCGTGCTATTATTCAGAACGACCATTTGCTGAGTTTTGAACAGTTGCTGAGTAAATACAAAACAAAGGCAAATGCAAAAAATCCCCGTGCATCAGAAGGGCTAACCAATGAAGACGCAGCACTACGAATCAACGATCTAGGTGCCAATAAGTCTACTTCACCAAAACGAGTCCCACTGCACGTCAAATTTATGGAGTGCTTGACCAGTTTATTCAACATTCTACTATTCTTTTCTGGTGCTGTTTATCTTGTTTTATATGCTATCAATCCAACAAATAATTTTGAAAGTGTATGTGTAAACGACTGGCATCTGCATGCAAGACCATTATAGCAATTTTGTGTATAGATTGGAAAATTTGCTGATATTGGGCTTGATGTTTGAAATTATATGGTGCGTTTATAACACTAGGTTTGGATCGGCTGCACGCTCATTGCAGTAGCATTCATTTATGCCGGAATCGAGTTTTATGAATTACAAAAAATCTCTGCTATTTTGGAATCTTTCAAGGTATGTCGCAACCTCTTTTAGAGTGATACGGCATTATTTTAGCTTTACTTTTAATATATTGACATCAGATAGAATACTCATCATTAACTCGTGTTGATTTGGATCTCAGCTCATGATCCCTGCTCAAACATGTGTTATTCGATCCAGCAAAAGAATCATGATTGAATCAACACTTCTTGTACCAGGCGACATCATTATTCTACAAAGTGGTGATAAAGTACCTGCTGATGCAATTCTATTTTATTCTACCGATATGCAAGTTGATATATCAAGTCTCACGGGAGAAAGTGAGCCACTTTCCCGTACTCCCAAGCTTGAAGGATGTCCTGAAGGCACAGATCCACTCGATGCTCCTCAAATTTTATTTAGTACAGATCTAATCGTATCTGGTATGTAAAACTACTGAAAATCATATTTTGGCTCTGATACTGCTTTATGCACCAATTTGATGCAATTTTCTGAAATATTCTCTGCTGTAGAAAAGTATAATATTAAATTCGTGTTTTAACCAACAACTGTGTCTGTAGGCGAAGGATATGCGCTTGTTGTTCAGACTGGAAAACACTCCATTATTGGAAAAATTAGTAGACTTACACAGCTTGATAAACCAAGAAAATCGCCGCTATCCATTGAAATTAGGCGATTTTGTAAAACCATTTCAATCCTTGCTGGAATTACTGCAGTACTCTTTTTTTTCGTAGCACTCCTTCGTGGCAGAAATTTCACTTATGCTGCGACATTCAGTATTGGTATCCTGTTGGCATGGGTTCCACAAGGACTTCCACTTACCGTTACAATGGTTCTTGCAATTTCTGGAAGACGGATGGCTGATCAAAAGGTTCTTGTCAAAGACCTGCACGGAGTAGAGACACTGGGTGGGATTACCATGCTGGCAACTGACAAAACTGGCACGCTCACAAAGAATGAAATGACTGTGATGGATATGTGGACAAATGGGACGCTTTTTTATGCTGGTCCCGGCGGTGCAAAAAATGCACCTAAAGGAAGTCGTGTCATGCGTCTTGATGAAAGTGGTGTAGCTCAGATTCTTCATGTATGCGTGACCTGCAGTCGGTATGTTCCATGTTGATCACTCATACTTTCTACATGTCACTTTAGTTCAGAGTGTGTGCTCATATAGTTTTCAACCACTTTATTGACGAACATCGCATATATAGAGCACGGTTTGAAAACCAAGAGGGAAAAGTTGCAGATCGAACCATTATTGGCGACGCAACAGAAACCGGTCTTCTTCGATTTGCTGGTGAAAAGCTTGCTAATATTGACAAGGTAGGAGAATGCACACGAAAATCAAGGCTTAGTATTCATAAAACTGTATGTTGGATATTTAAATAAACTAACTAGAATTAAAAAATGCTACACAACGTATTATAGTTGCCAGAAATATATCCCAAAATGCTCGAGATCCCATTCACATCAGAAACCAAAACATACATTTCAATTCATCGAAAATCGCATTCACATGGTGGGTTGACACTACATATGAAAGGAGCACCAGAGCTAGTATGGGAAGCGTGCACGACAATTTGGGCAGACGGAAAGGCACAGAAAATTGACGAAGTTTGGCGTCTTAAATATGCTGCAGCAATGGAGACTTTGACTCGAAAAGGAAGTAGAGTATTGGGAATTGCCATGTTGCAATTGCATGGAGACAAGTATCCAGATAACTGGAAATTCAGTGTCGAGAAAAAAAACTATCCTACGGTAAGCCTATTTACTCCCAAATATTGCTTTTGCGAATGGAAACTGAATGCATGGTTGCTGATTTGGCGTTTTGGCGTTTTAATAGACGGAGCTCACTTTTCTTGGTTTAATTGGTATGGAGGATCCACCAAAAGATGGTGTGGCCGAAGCAATTGCTACCATGCGAACTGCTGGGATAAAAGTAGTCATGATTACTGGTGATAATCCAAAAACAGCCGAGGTACATATCCAAAATACATCATGGCTACCGTGCCAGTTTTTATTTTGATACGTCCTACTAATTTAGTCTATTTCTCAATATCACTAGGCAATTTCTCGTAAAATCAATCTTGTTACCATGTCTACACTCCAAAAAATTAATGGACCTGAAAATTTACCAATTAAAAGTCCGTCAGGCAAAGAAGCCATTATTGTGTCTGGCCGAATGATTCGACATCTAGGTGACGATGATTGGTTAAATATCATGAGCTATGATGAAATCATTTTTGCACGGACTCTTCCATCGGATAAGTTGGATATAGTTAAACGTGCGCAATCCATTGGTCACATTGTAGCAGTGACAGGAGATGGCGTCAATGATAGTGCTGCTTTGAAAAAGGCAGACCTTGGAATTGCCATGAACAAAACAGGCTGCGACATTAGCAAAGAAAGTGCCAAAATGATTCTTTTGGATGATAATTTTGCAAGCACCGTGCGTGGTATTCAAGAAGGTCGCCTCATCTTCATTAATCTAAAAAAAGCCATTCGATACTCTCTTACACACATTTTGCCGGAAGTGATTCCTTATCTTTTATACGTAGTTGTTCCAATTCCGCTGGCTTTGACACCTCCACAGATTCTTGCCGTGGATCTTGGGTTTGAACTTATGATGACCATGTCTTTTGCGTGGGAGCCGGCGGAAGATATATCTCAGCTTATGTCAATGCCGCCACGATGTCCTGTAACCACACAATCGGCCTTTGCAATGCACAATATTATGAAGCGTCGTCAAGATATATATACGTCTAGTAGTTTTAACATCAATTCATCAGTCAGCAAAAGTAACCTTTATCAATCCAGTATTAATATGGTTAGTATGGATCAGCAGATTAAAAAGAAAAAAACAAATCGCATTGGTGACACGGAAGAAACTGAGCAATACAATGATGCGATGGATTCAACCATGCTACTCAACGAAATTGGCGTTATGGGAGATGCAGATCCAAACCTCGAGATGCAAATCAAAGTATTAAATAAGCGTCTCAAAAACCGATATGGAAAATATCTACAAGAAACAAAAAGCATTTTCACAAGTATCGAGTACTGGAGAGCTCAATACGAGGACTGGCGCGAATTGACTGCGGCTCGCAAGCACAATGATCGACTTGTTGATAGCGAAGTGCTCATGTACTCGTATTTAGAGGCTGGACTGATTGAGTTTGCCGGTGCATTAACAACTTACTTTGCTGTGTTTTGGTTTTCGTTTGGTGTAAGCTCGGCCGATGCACGTCAAGGTCAGATTTACGGAAATCGTCAATGGAAACCTCACAGTCCATCACTAATTCTTGAAAGTGGAGTAGAATTTGTAAGTACCAATCATTTTAATACAGAATTTAGCACATGCAACTAATTCAGTCTGTATTTTACTGTACTTGGCTAAATTGTATATAATCGTCACTGATGCGTGCTTAGTTTGGACCAGAGCAATTCGAGGCACTCAAGCAAGTGCAAAGTGTTTATTACTTGTCGATATTTATCATTCAAATCTGGAATTTGTTTGCATGCAAATCACGTTACACACTTCCTTTCCGCAGAAATGTGTTTTCGTAAGTGTTTAAATGTACCAAGGTATTCTATCATCTCCAATAATATATAATAATATTGGTCTATTTGGTTTTTATTATTAGAAACAAAAACACATGGTTTTCAATTTTAGCTGGTACTTTTTTTGCAGGGATTATTGTTTATACTCCAATTACCAACGGTTAGTGATTACTACATTAAGCATGATGCCTTTAAAACGCCCAACTTGTATTATTAACCATATAATCTAATGTTTGATGAACCTGTATTTAATATTTAGCTTTGTTTTTAACGTCCATGTATTTGGATCCAATATTTTTGCTTATCCCAATGTCATTTGGAGCATTCTTATATTTTTACGCAACATTAAAGCTTATTTTAACTAAATATGGTAAGCTGTAAATCAATCTACATTTTACAATTTTAACACATACGATAATAATGTTGATGTCTAACCATACTTGTGCGACTAACATAAATGTTTAGTTTATTTTTCAAACATATTCTCTAGATTCCATAAAATTCCAACTCTTCCGCAAAACTAAAGTGGCAATTCTCGCTTAGGTCATGCAAATATATCAATTTAAACCCACCAATTATTTAGTTTGATTATATAGAGCTTAAACTTGTCTATTTATACAACTGATTGCATATACTTTTTTGAAAAAACTACTGATATGTTTTTGGTAGATCTAAAAGGCTGATTGCCTTGTATACTGCTACTTTATGCATAATATATCAAATAATTCATTCAATATACATTTTGAATAGATCGAGTAAAAACAAAGTTTAGCAAAACAACTTCATGTAGCAATTTCCACAATACGGCTTTCCATTACGCTGCTTATATCCTTGACCGTCAAGATTAGTCTGACAAAATCCACACGTAAAATGCATAGGATGGTACTTTCGATCTCCAATCACCACACATCTCCCAATAATAGGCTTGGTACAAACATTACAGATATTCGATCCTTTTTGATAGTAATGAAACTCACAGAATGGTTTGCCACCATAATCGTAAAATCCTTCCGCACCAAGTACAATGTTGCACGATTCTTCCTAAACAAGATTAATTTAGACAAAACTGTGATTAGATGGTATTCATATTGGTATGGTCAACATTTAATATTGTCGCGAGTTGAATTCTAAAACTTACAGAACATACGAAGCAATGTGTGTGCCATTGTCTTGTCAGTGCACTGATGATTTCACCAAGAATAGGCTCTTGGCATAATGCACATTTTTTGGCAAACAACATTATAAAATCATCTTCGCAATATGCTTTGCCTTCATATTCCTGAAATGTATCATCTGCTTCAAAGTTTTTGCCGCAATGAGAACAAAAGAAATGTGCACGGTGAAACGTCTGGTTTAATGCCTCGATGATTCTGTTCTATCAGTTAAAATACGTTTATATCATTTGAATTATTTCTTTCGAGATAAAATATTGGTTTACATAATAGAGTGTCATGATAGACGATTGCTTTTTAATGATTCAAGCAAAAATCCAATAACATCAAATGAGGAAATAAATCACTTACATCTTGAATGGGCTCTTTGCAATATGCACACTGAGGGCTAAATTTTTCATGATAGTGTTGTTTGCAAAACAGCTCATTGTCTCTTTCAAAGCATACAACCCCACGAAGATTTCGGCGGCAACTGGTCTCTGAGCATATAAAATGTTCAGCATGATAGTATTTTCCTTGAAGCATGACTCCTCCACGAATGATTGCAGATCCACAAGCAGAGCAAACCCTTTCTACTTTGTGTATATTTGAAGTAAGAAGTGGTGATCTGATTTCGGTATTTAGCGATACGTTGCTGGTTAGTAGCCCTGTAGACAATGTCGAATAAGATGTTTCAGGCTGCGGGGTGTCTAGAAGAGATGAAGATAGAGTTCTTGAAGGACGAAACGAAGAAACGCGTTCAGATAATGGTGATTCTTTCAGTGAAGATGTAGAGTTGGTGGATGGAAACCTGCTGTGTTGTAGTACCGATGCAGTCATAGAAGTTGGCCGTCGTCCGTCATCATGATTTCGGATATGACTGTTAGAATCAGGCTCAGTTACAGGAACTATATTTGTATCTCCTACTTTTTGGCGCATCATTGCATGGGGTTGACGCCGTCCACCACTACTTACTCGACCTTGTTCAGTTTGAGAATTAACGCGGTCGGCACATTGGAGTTCATCACGTCCTGGAGGAAGTCGACTGTTGGTTTTATCTGAAAGATGAGCCCCAACTACAGAGGTTTTTGGTGACGCAGCATAATTGGGGTTGTCAAGGGGTGTTACACTTGTGCCCTGCAGATCAAGCAATAGTTTGTCTATTTATAGGTTAGGGCACTAGCATTTTCTGTAAGCAATCTTACTGGATTGCTTCCTGACCAAACTACACCTACCAAGTTCGTCCATTACAGATGTTAATGCTATCTGCTGAGATGGCTAAATTGGTCTCGAGATGTGGAAAAAGTTGGTTTGTTACGCTGGTGATAAAGGGATAGGGATGGAGAATAAAACATTTATTTACATTTCAGCAATTCAATTTTGTCATATCTTGAAAACGCTCGGACAACATCAAGCAGACTATTGCGGCATTTTGGAAACAAGAGTTTTTTGGTTTGTAAAATTGTACGATTGTTTTAGGCTAATGTACAGACTATAGCAGAAACGTCAGAGTCGTGTCAGAAGATTGACACCAAAATGAGCAAACAGCTGTCATCAGACCAAATGAAAACGCAAAAAGGATTTGATTGTTGTTTATTTCAAAGTAAATAGAGAAAGTCATTCGAGGATAATACAGAAGTGTTTCATTTTGCGTAAATGCAACTGTAAATCAAGCATTTCTTGCTGTCTGTGTCAAACTCATAGGGGCAGACGCATGGCTTTTGTCAACCTGACAAGTAACAAATTCGGGCACAGCTTGATGTTATTTGACGGATGCAGCATTGGATGACTTTACAGAATCGATTAGTTGCTTAAGATGGTCGTCTGGGGATCGCTGAATCCATCTGGCAACATTCGGGCCAATGTTTGGAGTAGGGGGCTGGGCAGTTCTGTGAAGATGATGCCGAGGACGATTGATACCTGAAATAAACGATTTTGAAAAGCCCACACGAACCATATGTTTATTTGAAGGATAGTAAAGAAAAGAATGGGAAAACTAGCGAGATGAAAAGTTTATTTTAATCAACGCGATTGTAGACTATTCAATCTTCAAATTAATGGTAAATATTTAAGCTGGAGAATAGTATCAATAAAAGTTACGGTGGAGTCCAGATAAGTGAATGCCCAGCACCAGCACCGACAACACAGTTTTCATCTAAAGTAGATATGCCATTTAAAACAGTAGGAACAAGAATATCAAGTGTATTGCCAATTCCACAATTCCCATGCTCATTCCAGCCCCATGATATACACTGCATTCTCGCTGGATTCTCATTAGATTTTTCGGCCGTATGATGGTCAAAGGCAATCGCAATAATATGCTCTGAACCTGCTGCTATAGCACACTGAACCAATCCAGTTTTAGAATGCTTTGTCTTGATAATCAACGGCTGATATAGTCCTTTGGAATCTAGACGAACAATCATTTGTGGATACCAGTAAAGCAGACATGGAGTGGTTGAACAAAACAGGTTTAGATCCATAGCATTTACTTGGTTTGGCATCGATGATGGGTTTTTGGAGACTGCCAATTGGCCATGATCGTTGCGACCCCATATAAAAACATGGCCAGACTCGCAAACAACTCCACTAGTAGACCATCCAGCAAATACTGCAATGAATTGCTCTTGGGGTATGGTAGTTTGGATGGTAATAGGGACATGGATAAAGGGATCTGGGTTGCCTTGAGTGTGTGGGACAGATATAGGCGATGCAGCCAACTGGCCATGCTTGTTTTGTCCAAAGGTATAGATGGCTAACTCAGCATTTAAACCAGAGACCAGAGCAATGGAATGATTTTGTCCGCAAGCTACATCCAGTACTCTTGCCGAGTTTTGAAGTTTGAGTAATCGAGGCTGAACAATGAGATGCTTTTTAGACGCTAGAGAGTCCGAATCGATTAAATTCAACAGCTGTCCGTATCTGTTGGAGCCACATCCCCATAAGGACCCATCATGGCCAAGAAAAAGTGTATGTCGCAACCCACATGCAGTTTTCTTGATAGATGGTAGTTGGGGATGGATGGCAGAGAGGTTGATGAATCCGTTGCATGTATCAGTTTGTTTTACAGATAAAGAAAGCCCCGCTTGACCATATAGATTGCATCCAGCAACCCAAACAGCACCACGAAGCGATACAGCAAAGGAGACTTGCCAACCACATGCAATATAGACGATTGGGTCGTTGTGAGCAGTGTGGATATGAACAGGTATAAAAGTAGCGATGGTAGATATACTTGTATCTGATATTCCAAGTTGTCCATGTGCATTATCACCACAAACAAAAACTTGGCCTAACGAGTCCAACAGAATAGAATGGTTTGCACCACCAGCTAGTTGCTGGCAACTGCCTGGATGTGATGTCAAAGTAGGTGTTGATGCATCATTTAGTGATCCAGTTCCTAGCTGTCCAGCAGCATTGGATCCAGCGGTATAAAGCATCCAATTAAGTTTGGCAGTGTAGGGATTGGTATGTAGTTGCGTGATGGTTCCAGTCTGGCATCAGTGAATCTTGTAATAGGCACTGCAGAGCAAAATAGCATTCCGAGTGCCTGTTGGTGTCAATCCAATATTTTCAGCCACCACCCAAACTGATGGCTTGCGCGTGGCAAATGACGCTTGACCCGCCGTCGAGTCTACCCGTACATTACCCTACTTGATGCTCTTAGTTTTCTTACCCATATTATTGTTTCTAAAGCGATTGCAAGTAGTGTCTACTTTTAAATCAGTTTCGTTGGCAGTTCGTTAATAGGATCATGGTTGCAGTGTTGTTTATATTCCAATATATTGTGTTGGCTGTGTTTATCTCGACTACTCCTCAAGTATTGGCTCAAGAAAGTTCTGATACCGTATCGTCAGCACACCAGCATGTCCAACCTAATCTCAACAGTGTTGCTATGGATATACTTTTTCAGAAGCGAGACAATGATCCCTCGCAGCGAAATGGATGCAGGAGAGCGTTTCAGCCATCGCCGTCGTCTGCTGCATCCAATACTCCTTCCAGAACCAACTCTCCTTCTCCACCTGCTCCAAAACCACCACCTTCTAACGCAGCAGACTTTTCTCGGCGATGTCTCGATCGCATGAACTATTATCGACGTTTGCACAAACGTCCCGACCTAATTATGACTGACACGCTCATCGCCAGTGCTCAAGACTGGGCTAGTAATTGTGAATGGAGACACAACTTTGGTGGTCAAAATCTCTATTCTGGCAAAGATCCCAGTTGTATTGGTGCCGTGGATATGTGGTATGATGAGATCAAGCTGCTGAGAACCAATCCCGTCTACGTTTCAAGCGTCTTCACATTTGCCGGCCATTTTACTCAAATAGTATCCCCCAATTCTATCTACGCTGGCTGTGCAGTTGGATGCAAGACTGTTTGCAACTTTTCGTAAGTTCATCAATTCTGAACCATGTATTGAATTTATTTACTAACACCATTGCTTTCGTATCAATAGTCCTCCTGGAAATATAGTTGGATCATGGATGTCATACTAATTCATGTATATCCTAGTTGACCTCATCTATATATCTTGACTCGGCACGATTATCTTGTTCACTTTTAATTTGCAACATATCAATGCTCTTTTAATAGTTGTAATGGGAATGAAGAAATAAAATAAAATGAGATTGTCAACCCACACTCATATTTTGGAAACACTGACATTGAGCAGACTATGGCAGTATTTTAGAAACAAGAGCCTTTGGTTTGTAAAACTGCACAACTGTTTATGTTAATATACAGACTATAGATGCAACACCAACGTTTTGGTTGCAACAAGATCAAACGTGCGACGTTGTGTATTGAATCGAGTAAACTGCGATCGTTCGGCAAACTGACCGTGTTGACAATCAGATTATCGCCACGGTACAAGAAACACAAGCGGTATATACTCCTGCCATTCAGATCAACATACAATCCACCAACATTTGCACAGCATCACCAAGATAGTACACTTTGGGACTAAGCAAACCAATCCAGGTGAGTTGACAGTATTTCCATTTGTGTGTCCATAAATTCCACATTCCCAACACCTGTTCAATCTTTGACTGTCCTTTTCTACAACCAAACAGTCAAAGTACGCCTGGTTAATCGTCATAGAAACAACAGTTTATTCGAGATGTGCAATCTGGTTTTCGAACTAGATGCAAATGCATACAAGGTTTCAAGATACACATAGGTTTGTACAGAATATTACTGATAGCAATTGGACTCAATATTTGGACTATAATGGACAAGTTGGTTTTCAGACTTGGTGGCTGCATAACATATGGCTATAACAAACAGGCAGGGAACGATAGTATTGAATTAAAACCATGGTCTGATGATGTGTTTAAAATGTACAAGTCAATTTTTAATAGGAAAGCATAACGAATATTCAACCAATGTCTATTCCAAAGCAAAATGGACAGTCGCTGAAAATGAATACAAGTGTTTCATTTCACATGAATGTAGATTGATGCATGTTTATTGACAATCATTTCACTGGCTACAACATAAAGCATTCTCACGTGGATACGCTGTTCCTCCTTCTAGTCAAATAGGAAGGGTTTGGGAATGAGGACATGTGGAATTTACTTGCCATGCTGTTCGCGACTAGCGACCTCCAACATACTGTTTACGTGTCCCATCAATATCGCGGGTAGCGTACCCTAAGTCTACAACTTCAACTCGAGTGCACAAGACTTGTATCTCAAAGTAGGCCTATGGTGCAGTAAGCAGTGTTTTTTTGGCCTTCCAAGTACTTTATTTTCAAGCCAGCATATGAACATATGTTGAGTGAATAAACAAAATTCAGTAGCAAGTTTAAACCAAGGGTATTAGGCCAACAAGTATTGTTTTTTGCCTAATGGTTTTCTCGCAACCCTGTTCAAATGAATAATTTAATGCCCCATTAGTTTCATGTTTTCACTGCATGATTAAATTAGTCCCGAGTTCAGACTTGGTGTGCTTTACGCCTATAATTACAGGCTCAAGTTATGGTGGCTGCTGTCAACTTAGAATACAAGCTGCACTGCCGCCTCGTAAAGTTATTGAACCCGCAGTTTTACCGTTTTTCATAAAGAGACGCTATAAAGACTTGGGGCTCCAAAGTTCTTGTTAAGATTTGCGACATTTATCCCTCATACATAGATTCCGCAATTGTTGTATAATAGTTGTGAACTACTCCGTATATACACTTACTTGTACACCCCATTGAGTCAGTGTCTACCAATATGCATTTCCCATCTGCCATTATCGGCACTCTTTCTTTCATGTCTGTGGTCGCTGCTACCACTATGCACAACTCGGCCACTGAGCCGATCGAGATGGTTGGTCAAGGCAAGCTTCAGCAGTCTAAAGTCAAGCGATCTCACATTGAAGGTGGTAAACATATCAATCATAGGAAGAATTCTCACAAGAGGCGCCGTAAGATTCATAGACTGAACAAGCGCAACGGTGCTCATCGCTCCTGTACCAAGACAGCTACTACCGCCACTATTGGAGCATCAATTAATAATTTTGATCGAAGCGAGGTGACACCAACTACTCTCAAAAAGAAGTCCACCACAACTCCCAAGAGCCCTACTCCAGCTTCCAAGAAGCCTGTCCCAACTTTCAAGAGTTCGGTTTCGGCTCACAAAAAGTCTGCTCCAACTCCCAAAAGTCCCGCACCAGCTCCTAGAAAGCAGCCATCTCCAGTTCCCAAGAGACCCACACCAACCCCCAAGCCAGCTCCTCCCCCAGGCCCAAAACCCCGTAAAGGAGGAAACACCGGTATTGGTGCTGTCGAAAAAAGCTGTCTTGACGCCCACAATTACTACCGTGCCATGGTTGGTGTCCCTCCATTGAGTTGGTCTACCACTCTCCAAAACATTGCTCAGCGTTATGCTCAAGAACTCATGGGAAACCCTCTTAAACACTCCAGTTTGCGTACCTATGGTGAGAATCTCGATCGCATGACTGGTGCAACACTTACTTGTGAGCATGCTATGGAGACATTCTTTAACGAGTACCAACACTACTCTGGCGAGCGTATCTTTGTCAACGCCCAGTTTGAAAAGTATGGTCATTACACTCAGCTCATCTGGCCCAGCACTAACTCTGTAGGTTGTGGCATGGCAAACGATGGTCATGAATGGAATTTTGTCTGTGAGTACTATCCCCCCGGAAACTATGTTGGTCAAACTGCTCCAACTTACCGTCCTTAAACTTGGCGGTTTCTGCGACTTGGGATTCCATTGTTTGATAGCGCAATGCCTTTTAACTTTGAACTCTTCTAAACCATTACCACTTTCCATCTGATGCCATTTGTTTTTTATTTCTTGGGAAATACAAACCTGTTACAATATCTTATATATTATATCATTGCTGGTCGTTGAACTATTATCGATAGCTGGCTTTTACAGCCGTATTCACAGAATAGAACATTAAATATAAGGGTATCAAAGCCTATAATAGACGATTAGTATCATCAAATGATGCTTCATACCAAATTCACTGGTTAATATCGTGGCGTCTAAACCAATGGCTAGATTACAATGGATGAATTCAATGATCATACAATATACGGCTACACCAAACGAAGACAATTTCAATTTAAACTATAGTCTAATACTATGTGCTTATTCAAGAATTGTGAATGCCCAATAGAAAGCGCAACAGACATCTAATCATTGCCTATTCCAAGATAAACAAGTGTTCCATTTGCATGAATATGGCTGTAAATGCGAGATGGTTAGTCCAGTGTGCCTCCCTTGACTGTTATGATAAACTATGCATTTCTAGTTCATTGCTGTTCATTCGCTATTGCGTTATTATACCACTCGATTGCTAAACTCACCTAGCCTGTCGAGCATATCAATACTTGTCCGCTACCCGTACCTATCGCTGCATATAACATGGGATTATTTTCCAGCCGAAAAAAGACAGACTCTTCTGTCAGCTCCTTGGCAACATCTGGAAGAATGGTAACAACAACCACAACAACCAAGACAACAACGATCATTAATGGCAAGCCAGTCACTACTACTGTTGTCAAAGTAGAGCAAAAGCAACTTCCTTTGTCACTACAAACTCCGTCAGCGACTCTTTTACCAAAGCCATCATCTACAACCACAACCACTACTACATATTACAAATCGGTTGCATCTAAACCGCTTTCAGTTGAAAAGCCTCCCTCTACAGACATTCCTCCACATGAATTTGCAGAAGAGTGTATGTTTCGGCACAATCATTATAGAGCACTTGCTGGTCTTCCCCCACTCAAATGGTCCGACACTCTCGCTGCTGCATCCCAAACTTGGGCCAACCATCTTGCCTCGACCAATAGGTTTGAGCATTCGCATGGCAAGGTTGGGAAATATGGCGAAAATCTATACTGGACAACAAATAACAAAGCCATTTGTCGTGACGCTATGGAAGCCTTTTACGCCGAAAAAAAGCTGTATCATGGCGAGCCCATCAGCAACAACAACTGTCATGCCATTGGCCATTACACTCAACTCATGTGGCCTACGACGACACATGTTGGTTGCGCTATTGCCACGGACAAGTCAAAGCAAAAACATACAATAGTGTTTGAATACTGGCCTCAAGGCAATATTCTTGGCCAGTGTGCACCACATAGTTTTTAATACTCACGCATGGTCAAAGGTAGCACGAGATGTAAGCTTAAGTAGGCTGGCACATCTTCTTTTCCAGTCTTGTTTCTATATCTTTAAACATGGAATATCATTTGAATTATACTTGTCCTACATGCTTCATTTACAGCCGTATTCATGTAAAATTGAACACTCGTAAGGATACCAAAGTATATAATAAAGTCGGTTTCATGAAACAGCAACTTCCATCAAATTTATTGGACAATTGTGTTATATAAGCCAATGTCTGGTTTGCAATGGATGAACTTGATGAATTTGATGATCGTACAATGTACGGCTATGCCAAAAGTGGAAAAAGAGACAATCTCAATTCAAAATTATAGTCTGTGTGCACCGTATGATGGGCATTGTGCTTGTTGAATTGAGATTGTATTGAAGCCGATTTCTAATAGAAAGACCTACCGAATGTTTGGCCACTGTCTATTCTGGGGCAAAATGGTGTTCTATTTTACATGAACACAGTTGCAATAGGGTATTGATGATCATTTATGCAAACACCAAAAGGCTCCAGTACTTTATGGACCCATCATAGTAATTTGCAACGGCCCTGACAGTTTGCATGATTGAACAGATTAGACCAATCGGTAAGTTACCGAGGCATGGTGGCAGTGTAATGGTTAGAAGGATCCTGATGCATTGTCATGCAGATGGTTTGCAATAGACATCATGCTCTTATCTAAATAGTTGACAGTCAAATAGTTTGGACATTTGTAGACTCATTCCAGCCCACATGAAACTAGAGCTGGTATAACTGCATACACAAAAATATAGCAAAAACAATATTTGTTAAACCTAAATAAAGTGGCTTTAGATTGATGACATGCTTGAAGCAATCAGAATTCTAATCATTGCTCGTGGCCATTCCACTATCTTGTCAGTGGTGGTGATGGTCAGTCTTTTGTAATCTTGCCGCTCAGCAACGCCCCCACTGCTATTTTGGCCAATTCGTTCTAAACGGCTAGTTTTTGGCATGTGGCACTTGAAGTTTAAAACAATTCTAGACTAGTGGCACACGGGTTCATGTTGATTCACACATCGCTGCTACACCCGTTTAGACTATTTGACAAACAACAATGCAGCCACATCAATATTCGTTATATAAAACATGTCTTGGTCTGTCCTTTTCAACCAGAGCCCCTTTGTAAAGCAGCACTTTAAATCCGTTACATAGCCTATCCTATACATCCAAATTTTGCATTGTATAATTACTAAAAGATGGTTTCACTTACTACATGCATAACTATGCTGATACTTTCTACACTGTCGTGTGTCACCTCTAAACCTATAGCTGCAGGATCATCTATGGAAATTGCAGGGGCAGACGGCTCTACTGGTATCAGCCATAGTCTTTACAAGAGAAAAATAAGAAGATGCAAGCGCAGAAAATCAGATCCACCTGCAGCTAAAAATAAAATCAAGAGTGGTGTGAAATCCCAGCCTACTCCAAAATCTGCTCCTCAACCTGCTCCTCAACCTCCTACTCCAAAATCTGCTCCAAAATCCGTTCCTCAGCCTGCTCCAAAATCTGTTCCAAAACCTGCTCCTCAGCCTGCTCCTCAACCTGCTCCTCAGCCTACCCAATCTATTCCTCAAGGTACACCTCGCAAAAGCGGAAATACTGGTTTGAATGAGTTTCAGCAAGATTGCTTGAATACGCACAATCGATTCCGTGCCATTGTTGGCGTCAATCCACTTAGCTGGTCTATAGCTGCAGAACAAGCTGCTCAAACTTGGGCCAGTCATCTTGCATCTACAGGTCTTTTTCAGCACTCAAAGGGAGCTGTTGGTAAATTTGGTGAGAATCTGTTTTGGTCTAGTCGCGGCGTATATCCTTGCAGTCTAGCCATTCAAGCGTTTTTTGACGAGCGTAAAGACTACAATGGTGAACCAATTGGGCAAGGAAATTTTGAATCCTATGGTCATTACACCCAACTGGTTTGGCCCGACACCACCCAACTTGGATGTGCTCTTGCCGGAGGAAACACTGTCTGTGAATATTTTCCTCCTGGAAACATTACAGGCAAGCGTGCTCCACGATAGTCTTATTTTTGTGCATACTGATTTTTACAGCTATTGAATAGAAATATTGAAAAATATTTGTGGTTTCTAGTATCATCTCATTGAATTATCAATAAAAAAGATAATGACTGAACTGTGAGGTAGATAGTCTTTTGGGTGGTGGCTGGGATTCGGTTTAATAAAGTCTAATGCTTGTGGCTTCGTGACGTGCTGATAATGACCCATCAATGGCTTGGCCAGTGATTTATGTTCGTGAACTTTAAATATTCATCTAAAAGGTTTCCCACATAATGACTGAATGCCATTGGCTTTGAAAAACGGACCTAGTTACTCACCTGGTTATGGCACGTGTTTCAAGAGTCGAAAAAGAGCATGTATTGGTCATAGCGGCATACGACGTCAGAGCGATTAATGTTGAGCATATGACTTTGCTGAGTAATCAACATGGTAGTATATTATCAGCCAGTAAAGTCTAATTTAGACTCATGGTTTTCCAAACTGATGTAAAAACGCGATGATGGTTTAAACTCCGCTGATATATGCGTAGCATAATAGTATTATGCATCATTATTGGCTGAGATGTAATTGAATCATTGCCAATTGGCATAGTATAAAAAGAATAGCTGCCAGTATATAGTTTAGGTATATCCATCATCTAAACACTTGTATCTACAATGGTCAATTTCGTTATTGCTGCTTTTCTTTTAGTAGTTTCCTCATCTTGCACAGCTGCTACAGCTGGTGCAACTGGTACATCAGTTGAGCCATGCGATTCTAAAAACTCGAATCACCCTCGAGAAACCCGCAAACGTACTACCAGGAGAAAGCGTAGATCGAGAAGCACTACAACCACCGTCAAGCCATCTGTTACACGCAGGCCTACCACCAATCCACTGCCACAACCTGCTCCAACATCTGTCCAACCACCTGCTCCTCAGCCAACAACAGGTGGTGGTAATTTGGGAGAATTCCAACAAGATTGCTTGAATACACACAATCGATTCCGTGCCATTGTTGGCGTCAATCCACTTAGTTGGTCTGCAGCAGCAGAACAAGCTGCTCGAACGTGGGCCAATCATCTTGCATCTACAGGTCTTTTTGAACATTCAAAGGGAGCTGTTGGTAAATTTGGTGAGAATTTGTATTGGTCTAGTCGTGGCGTATATCCTTGCAGTCAAGCCATTCAAGTGTTTTTTGACGAGCGTAAAAACTACAATGGTGAACCAATTGGGCAAGGAAACTTTAGCAAATATGGCCATTACACCCAACTGGTTTGGCCTACCACCACCCAGCTTGGATGCGCTCTTGCCGGAGGAAACACTGTCTGTGAATACTCTCCTCCTGGAAACATTACAGGCCAGCGTGCTCCACGATAGTCTTATTTTTATGCATACTGATTTTTATACTCGATAAATTAAATAAACAATCTCAAGAATGCAATTATACATGCCAATCACCAGGATATCAGTAAACTAATGAGTTTATACACCAGTCTTGTCCAGCAAATGTGGGTTGAATCGGCACCTATCATTTCATGAGATTGAGTGTTCTCTTGAACTAGAACGCAAGCGTATGAGATCAAGATACAGCAATAATGAGTTTGACAGCATCAAAGCAGCTGAACCCAATATCTGGATTGCAATGAATAAATCTGGTGATCACACAATGTATGGCTATGCCAAAAGTGGATCATCTCAGTTCAAAACTAATCTAATTGTATGCGTCGTATGATGGACGCTGTGTTTTTTTGAATTGAGTGTCCATTCAAGTCAATTTGCAGTAGAACAACAACGACTATGCAATCATTGTATATCCAAAGCATTGACTGCAAGATGAATACAAGCCCCATTTTACGTGAATACAACAGTGAATAGATCCATTTCAAAGTGGTCCCAAAATGCCGAGTCAATTTGGGACACTGCTTGCTACCCGATTCGATTTGCACGCTTATAGTTGTGGCCCTTTTTTGTTTTAATTACTGATAGGGCGTAAAGCTTTATTATATTAAGGGAGGATGCGGTGTATTGATATACAATATCGACACAACCTCGAGCAATTCACTATAAATGTATTATATCTTTAATACAAGCATCGCCAAGATTTTACAGCACTGCCACCTCCCTGATGCTGATTAATAGCCCTATATTTTATTGCTATTGGCAAGCCGAGTGCCAGAATATATAAGCCAGGTGCCCCATTTTCTGCATGCCACCTAGATATCACTTTTGCATATACGATGGTCAAAATAGTATTTGTTTCTATGGCAGTTGCGTGTGCCACCACATTTGTATTTGCCACTCCTCGCAGTTTGGGCCCAAAGTCTGGCAGTGCACATCAGTCAGCTATCGGCAAGCGTCGCGGTATCTCTGTTCAACGACCCAGCAATAGGGGTCTTGTTCACAAACGTAATGACAGTTCCATTAAGAAAGTTGCTAAACCGCTCTCCAAGCCAGTGGGAGCTGTCAAATCATCTCCCAAAAGACAGGTTCAAAAGAAGCCATCTCCCAAAAGACAGGTTCAAAAGAAACTATCTCCCAAAAGACAGGTTCAAAAGAAACTATCTCCCAAAAGACAGGCTCAAAAGAAGCTATCTCCCAAAAGACAGGTTCAAAAGAAACTATCTCCCAAAAGACAGGCTCAAAAGAAACTATCTCCCAAAAGACAGGTTCAAAAGAAGCTATCTCCCAAAAGACAGGTTCAAAAGAAGCTATCTCCCAAAAGACAGGTTCAAAAGAAGCTATCTCCCAAAAGACAGGTTCGAAAGAGTCCATCTCCTAGGAGAAGACAGGTTCGAAAGAGTCCATCTCCTAGGAGAAGACGTATTCAAAGAGTTTCTTCAAATCTACACACGACTGGAAACAGTGGTATGAGCGGGTTTGAAGCTGATTGCTTGAATACACACAATCAATTACGCGCTGTTGTTGGTGCTCCGTCATTAAGCTGGTCTCGTTCTGCTGCAAACGCTGCTCAAACTTGGGCCAATCATCTTGCATCTACAGGTCTTTTCCAGCACTCAGGGGGAGCTGTGGGTGGATTTGGCGAGAGTCTTTATCGGTCTAGTCATGGACAATCTTGCGGTGTGGCCGTCAGGGCATTCTTTAGCGAGCGTGTATATTATCACGGTGGGCCAATCAGTCTACAAGACCTTAATAATTATGGCCACTACACCCAATTGGTGTGGGCTTCTACCAGACAGGTTGGGTGTGCTCAAGCTGGCGGTAATATCGTCTGCGAATACTTTCCTCCTGGCAACACTATTGGCCAATATACTTTCCGTTAACTTTTAATCACTATTTTTTTTATTTGCATATAATTGCAGCGTATTCGTGTAAAATGAAACACTAAATAAAAATATTAGCCCATAGTAAACAGCCAGTCTTCAAATTTATTGAACAAGCTTGTGTTATGAACTCTTTAGTTTGCTGGTCTCCTAGTAGTTGAACATGGAAACAACCGTTGTATTCCTGGAATTGTTCTCTTGAATTAGGTGTAAACGTATCTAAAGTTTAGAATACAAAGTTGAGTTTATAAAGTTGATGTAGAGCAGGCTCTCCTCGGCCTACAGTGGTCTAGAGCATTTCTTTGTATTCAAAAACAAGATACTTTTGGTGTCTGTCATTTCTGACAAGATCATATCCAAAACACTATTATATTTCAAAACCTGTTTGCCAAGTCGATCTAGTTTTTTCTGTGTTGCTGATCGAGGCAACGCAACACACTTGAGTTTGTCACAGAGGTAGTGGATCCAAAAAATATTTGTTTTGGAGCACCGCTGTTTCCAATTCTTTTCAACTGCCTCTCGCATTAATCTATAAATATCAAATTGAAGATCTCCATCTAAATCATTGTCAGCATACTTGCCATTTTAACTTTAGACATTGAAAATCTAAATATATACCTTTTTCCTTTGGCCCAGGGCCAGTGAAATACTCTGGATCTCGCTCAAGATCCATAAACATCAATTCGCTGCCTATTCAGTATGAAACTCAATGGGATAAATCAATCAGGAGTGAACTAGATATTTGCTGATAAAATATCAAATAGGCTTACCATATTCAAGCCTTGATAATGCAAAATCTATGATTGTAATCTTGATTCCTGCTGTAGGAACAGAGATTGTACGGTTGATCGAGGGTGTTGATAGGGAATACTCGATTGAATTTAGCAAGGTTGTGTTAATAAGAATGTTCCCCCAATGTAGATCTCGATGCTCAAATTGCATCTGTTGCTCTGCTTGAGCTAATGTAAGCAAAACTTGAAGTAAAACGCTTTTTACATGTGCAGCTGTTTTGACAAGTGCTGTATGTTCTAAATCTATGCCTTCGTGCTTGAGCATCATGATAACATAGAGCTGCTTATCAGCATACTCGTTAGGCGACATGTTTTCTGAACCTTTTTGACTGTCAAAATCCTGCCAGAGATCTAAAAGCTGCTTGGAATATGGCCCAGTACATACGCTAACTTGCACCATATCCACAAAGTTGAGATGCGAGCATAGAGTTTGATTTGTCCGTTGTGTTTTAGAGATAGTTTGAGTAATGTGAATCTCGTGAGCCACTGCATCCAAGGACAACTGATCGCCATAGTCTGTCTGACCAACAGGTATCACCTTTACTGCTACCAATTCCTTTTCATTTGATTTGCTCATCCTCCACATTGAATACACGTCTGAATATGTAGCTTCGCCAATCTTTTCAATCAATTCACCTCTAGCCAAACATGTTAGAGCATTGTTATACATTGGTACGATTATGGTCATCCAAATAAACATTCAACTCACCCAAAAACAAAATGGGTCATTGGAATAGGACATTCTAGATTGCATAGATTGAGTAGATGATTTAATGATGAATTGGATGCGCTGTTGAGCTCGAGATCGTCATTGGTTTGCGGCTTGATATCTAGTTTGTCTGGTGCTAGATCCAACTTTTGAAAAATTTCTTGAAGGGGATCCATTATTGTTTTAGATTGAGCTGTAGCTACAGGATCCGAGTGCAACTGGTCAAGCAGGCGTTTATTGGTCCGTAGAGAATGGTCGGATATGGACTCTGATTGACACGTTTGAGCAGATGCATTGCTCGAACAAGTAGAGGATGCAGCATCTGTTTTTGAAATATCCTCAGTTTTTGATGTTTTGACTGTAGTCGATGGCAGATGGGAGTTGGGTATGAGTTGCCGAGGCAAGCTGTTGGACTGAGTTTGCGATGGATGATCCAATGCCACGCATGGTGTTGCCATGCGAGCAGGATGATGTGTTTCTTGTTGAAGCTCATCCCATAGTTCCAGTTGTCTTCTTGCTTGGGTATTATTTGCTCTTCTCAAGGTATTGCTCTTTCCAAAAGTAGTGGTTCTATTTTTACCACCAAGCATTCTGGAGTATATGTCCGAAAGAAACCCAAAAACAACTGATTTTTATTGAAAGGCCGAGTATTTCCGAGTGCACAGAGCAGTGAGAATCATTGCAATTGTATTCGCATAAACTGGACCATTTTTGTAATCACTTTGTAACCAACAAGTTCAAACACAATGCTATTCAGACATCATGTCATGGGACTGGCTATTTATTATGTACTTGGACACCTACTTGGTGTTCCGTTTTACACGAGTACGGCCTGGTAGCAAACCTCCAGCAGCATATCACCAAGTCGTTGAATGAATAAAGGGGTGAGAATGTCAAAAAGTATAAAATGAATATATCGTTAAATAATCGGATGTGTGATGGCTTCCGAGACTGCACCAATAGCAAATCCAAGTCGGTATGCTCCATCACCACTACGATCTTTTTGTTGTTGAGTGTAGGTTTCGTCATCTTCTTGTAAGCCACATTTTATACATTTTCGAACCTTCATATGTAGACAACATAGGATTCCAATTCTACACATGTATAGGTGAAAGCAATCGGTTTAATTTAAAGCTCAAAGCAGCTACAGAATTGGAATACCAGTTTCACAACTACCACTTACGGAAATAGTAAAATGGCCCAGCACCATGCTATAGGAGGATAGTACGACTCACCCAGTTGATGATTGCATCCTCGGTTAGCTTCTGTATACTATGTTTATACCCATAGTATGGTAGTGTAGGTCATGCATGCAAAAGCATTAGAAAAATGTAGGCATGTAATATATGGGTAGCACAACAATCAAATTGCTATAATGGAAATGACTTACATCATAGGGAGAATATGGAGGAGGCTGCACATCAATAACAGTCTCTGGTGGTAGTTGTTGGTTTGGCATGGTTGTTGAAGGTTATGTGGTTTTATGCAAGAATGGGCGTATAATAATTTACAATTTATGTGACACAATAAGCTTCGAGTTTCCAAATAGTGTAGGAATCCATTAGATATTCACATCAAATGATAGTCGTATGCATTCGTGCTACAGAATAGTCTAAAAGTGGTAGTGTGAACCATTTCATCTTTGGCCATGCCCAAAATAACTGATAGTAGCTCATCTTTGCATTGAATCGACCAACCATGATAAATAAAAGATGAGTAGAGCGAAAAATCAGAATAACCTATCAAATGAATAGCCAAGGTATATCCATATTTATTCAAACAATAGTGCAGTGTATACAATTCACTGATTACATCCAGTCACATACATGACTTTAGATAGTATTTGTATATTTCGAGGCAGTCCCTGTTAACTTGACATACTAATATAATGTATTGATTTGACAAACATACCATACAATAATAATTGGCCCAATATGATATGCAAATAAAAACTAAATCATTGTCAAATAGTTGATTTGTGTAAATATGACCAACTTGAAATTTCGATTGGTGAATAAACCATGATTTAGTACTAGATATTCGTGTTTTTAAAGCATGTTAAACTTGTCAACTGCACTATATATTAAAGTGGTTGTGGGTTTATCAGCAGTGCCTGCATCCAACTATCTGGATATAAAGATCATGCATGAATAAAATTTTAGTGAATGATATTTGAAACGCTAGAAATTACCAACCATTTGGAATATTACAGCCATATTCACGTCAAATAAGACACTTGTGTATTTATCTTGAAATGGCTGGTTTAAAGGAAATGAATGTTGAATGTTGAAAAAATGTGGAATGTAAATATTTGCTCAGCATTTTTGTACAGGAATGAGCACAAGACAGTAAACCTGGTTAGGGAGTCTAAAGGGATCAGTCAGATTGACACCAATCAAATACTACACTGTCCGTTTATTAGACACCCTTATCCAGTGTCTCATTTACACGAATATGGCTGTAAAATAAAGCATGGGGCAGTACTGTAGTTCTAGCAACATTCACATATACTTGCGATTGGTTAGTAATATTTTAGTAAACCATGTGCGAAACCCAGAAAAATCCGATGAGTGTGCTTGTTAAACAATAACCATAACGCAACTTTGGTGGGTTAAATAATTGAAAGTTGTATTTATTTGAAAAAGACTAAAAGCCTAAATTGCATCTTGTAAAAAGTAATCCTAAAACCTCGGCAAAATGCAACAACTTGTACCTTATAAGTAATGACGTAGCGACAAGGCAAAGTTTTTAGTAGATTAAAGATAAAAAATCTTAATCAATACGTTTAAAGAAAACATGGCAGTTTTGACAGCGACTGTTTATGCTGCTCAAGTCCATAATGACGAGTCAAACGATGAAAATTCGACAATTTCATCAATCGGTTGTCCACCAGCAACGAATGAAATTTTAATTCGAAGACGAATGGGAGTCTAAAATATTGCAATCAAATGGCACAAAGGTTCAAATCAGTCTCAATGCCAATCTTCAATCGCATCCACCACTATTCACTAAATGACGCACCTTTGTTGGGTTTTCTAGATGAACATTTTGCATGGCAGTCTGACCAGGTTCGACCTGAGTACTAGATGGAGGCTGCATTACCAGACGCAAACTCTAGAGTTGAGGAATAAATTGTGTTAGTCAAACTCTTCATTTGAATAGATCGAATCCAAAGCAAACTATTTCAAAGCTAATAAATAAAAAACTCGTACTTTTGGAACTGCTACTTGAAAAGAGATATTTGAAATAGTATCAGATATACTAGTGTTTACAAAATGTGCTATAATATTGGTAGATACGGCAGATTCCTTGGTAGGTGTAAAAGTAATCTTCAAACCGTGCTTCTCATAGCACGAGTACACTCGTGACGCCAAAGATGTAGCAGGTACTGATACACTACTACTGCCAAACAAATTTTCCATATGGCTACTAGACATGGCAGCAGGTGTGACAGTGTTTCCTCCTAAAAGATCTTCTAAAAGATTTGTATGAGTGTTTTTTGTAGATAACGATCCCATGGTAGCTCCAGCCATTGGGTTGGTGGGTGTTGAGCCAAACCCAATTCCACCAAGCAAATCCATGATGTTTTCATTTTTGGAAACTTGGCCACCAGCAACGCCTCGACCAGCAGATGCATCGCCAAATACTAGATCATAAACATCGTTCTTTACTGTAGCATTGTCACCTATGGCAAGACCGGACAGATCGTTCCCAAGAAGATCAGCAGTGTTGGAAGATGGAGTTGTAGGTGTAGATACACCAGGAGCAGTGCCAGTGCCTTTGAGTGCTTCTTCAGCAACGGCACTTTCTAAAACAGGCATATGCTCCAACAGAGCAAGTCGTGTATCTTTGTCAAGTGCCAGAATCTGACTGTATTCGACTGATCGCTGTTGAATCTCAACATCAATATTAGTCCTGTACTTGTCAATCAAATTTTTGATGTTCCTGTTGATACCAGTGCAAGTTGTTAAATCGAAATATATTAAACATCTGGCACAATGAAATTCAAAACAATAAAGTCTAGACAGGTAGAATAAACTTACTCGACAACCGCTTGATCATTAAAACGCACACACAGCTTTACAAGACATGTAATAGCATACTCCTTGACAAACCCGGTAGCATAAGGCCCACGAAGAATAAATGCAATCAGCTCAACAACTTCCCCTTCAGAGGGTGTAGCAAGAGACTCTTGTTTTTTCGAATCACCCAAACTTTCTGCATCTTCTTCAACACCAAAGCCAAGAGCACTAATAGAGGAGCTTACCAAGACATCTCCATACTCACCAATAGACCAAAAAGCGGCCTGGAGAAGACCTTCTTGAATATATGCCCCCTCTCCCTCGTTCTTGATGATATTGTATAGTTTACGAACAGCATACTGATGAACGGCTGTATCGCCAGTAGATACAAGTTTGACAAAGTGATTCACGACATTTTGATCTACAAAGGCTCCTACAACACGAAGCACTCGAGTGACGGTGTCAATCTCCCATCGCTTGTTGGGGCGATGACGGCCTGCATAGTCACAAATGCGCGAGGCAACAGACGATTTGATGTCATTTTCAGTAACTTCAAGAAACGACAGTAGCTCGCGCATGAGAATTCGAATGTTGGTAGGATTAATGAGAAAAAATGATAGATCGAGAGCACGACGACGAATTGAAATATCGCCATCGCGAAGACACTCGAGAACAGTAGATCGGTGACGTTGTAATGCAGAGGAGTCTGTTGATCCAGAAGACTGAGATGTCTTGGTCAGAGTGGTTAGCGCAACATATCTGCAATAAAACAATGGATATTAACAAGTGTATTAGTATAAGTTATCAGAAATAGCAATAATACTTGAACGTATGATGCAGCTCAGCAAGCTGACATTCAAATCAGGAAGTATATGGATTGTGAAGCTATTAATTTAAATACATACTTGATATTGTTATCGCGATTTGAAAGAAAACGACCCAGAATATTGATTGCTAAAACACGCAACGAGTTGTCACTTTCAATATTCATAATCGTCAGCACAGTTTCATACAAAATAGAATTCCCGACATTCTTGGACGCTTCTGTAGTCGTGGCGACTTGAGCAAGAACATCATTCATTGTCTCACTGGCAGAAGCATTGCCAGCACCTAGAACCCGCATAAGACGAAGAATCTTGACCTGAAGGAAGGGATCAGAAATTCCACCCACGTCATGCTCAGGACTTGAACCAGTCATCACCAGCGACTTCATGTGTCGCACTAAAACGGGAACACTCTGTCACAGCAATCGCAAATGCATTGTCAACAAATAAGCCAATTGTACAATCCACACGACGTATGGTTCAGAATCAAATACTAAATAATATAAAAACAAATTACCTCGCGAACAACTGGAGTAATACTTGGAGCAAGAACGCACATTTCAGTCAAAAGAGTGACGCCAGTAAGAAGTACACCATGACTCCGCTCACTCAAAAGAGCTTGCGTTCGTTCTAAAAAGTTTTCAATAAGATCTGGGACTTTGCGAATAATACGGAGAGCACAGAGAGCTGCCTTTTTGCGTAGATAAGAGTTGGTGCTGCCCAGCAGACGTTCAACTTCATTGGACAAATCCCGTGACATTTCCTGAGATGCGATATTGCCAAGAGTGCACAAGGCAAGACCAACAATGAACATATTTGGATTGTTCATGTCGCTAGAGTTTTTATTGCAAACACCAGGATAAATGTAAGCCTAAAACAGTTATTTTAAACCAGAGTCTCAAAACATACTTTTTAAGGCAGTTGGTAACCAAAGTCAGCGTCTCTTGGTTTTCATCAAGCAGTAGCATAATACCCAAATATGCCAGACGTTTATCGGAAAACCGGGGAGAAGCCACTAAAGAGATATCAAATCAGTCAAGAATAGTTAATAGATTGCGGGTTTCAACTTTAATATTACAGCCATATCCAGGTAAAATGAAACACAAGAGTGTCAATTTACTGGACAGCATTGTGTTTTTTGAACTCTCTCCTTTATGCACATTTCTGTATAAAAACTAAACATTTGTTTACATAACAGCTCCAGTACATCCCACACCTATGCAATCGTCAAACCTCCTTGTATACAAATCAAACATTGGGTGATTATCATGGAAACAACAGTTGTGTTTCTGAAATTGTTCTTTTGAACTAGAACGCGAACGTATCTGAGATTAGAATACAGGAATTTGATGAGTCGAATCCAGTATCTGGATTGCAATGAATGAATCTGAGTTCAAACTTGGTGATCGTACAATGCATGATTATGCCAGAAAAGCAAAAAGTAATCATTACAGTTCAAAACCATAATATGATTGTGTATGCATCATACAATGAATGATGTCTATTGAATCAATCAATGTGTAATAGGAAAGCCCAACGAATATCCAACTACTGTCTATTCTGAAGCAAAAGAAGCAGTTATTGCAGAATGAATGGTATTCTACTTTACGTGAATACGGCTGTAAAACAAAGTTTAGGAATATACACAAACTTGTTCAAACCATATGCAAATAGATCTACTAGACATGACTGAGCGTAATGCCAATTAATGGTTCGAGTATGAGTGAAAACAGACATTTGTTTTTGAATGTAAGCAGACATGTGTGCTTATTCAGCGATAGTTGGATGAAGACAGACATTTACTTTTGAATACAAGAAGCCGTCTGTGCTTATTCAGCCGATGGTTGAGTCAAGACAATAGTGTTTATCATACAACAGTAACTGGATGCACCAATTCATAACTCGATGGCTACTGCATACATGTTCAAGTAAGATTTAGCACATACCCAACTTCAGACACTCAATCTGACCAAAGTGGGCAGGATACCCTAGCATATGAATGTATAGTAGTTTGCCAACATTGATATAGCGAGTTTCGTTGTTCTCTTCCTTGAACGCCGTGCGGATGTTGGCACTTTCCTTGGCAATGACAGCCCTCTCTTCTGCAGCAGTTTTACAGGCTCTGATGCTCTTGATCAAATCCTTAAGACGGGTAATACCCAGCTTAGGAATCATCTTTGCAAAATTGTTGAGTTGCTCCATAGTGATAGTAAGTGCAAGTAGATGAGAGTCTGGTCGAGTTGAAGTTGATAAAAGTCGCGTTGAATTCAACTCGATAAACTTGCCTTGACTAGAATTTATATTATGGATTTGCTGTCTGATTCGATCCCAACTCAGACTGAAAAGCTTGAGTTGTCGCAGAGACTGACTCAGGACTCATCCAGTTCTCTTGATGCGACTCGGATTTCTACTCCACTGACAGTCGATGTTCAAACTCTTATTGCTCGCATCATGCATGCATCTATCAACAACTATTGCATGAAACGAGAGCTGCAAGATGCTACTGCTACTTCAAATAACACTGATCGTTCTACTTTGGATACAGACTCACATCCCAGCAATCCAAGTATCGTTTCTCTGCATATGTGGAAATCTTCTTTGCTCTCAGACATAGACTTGTATATGAAACCATCTATTACAAAGCCACCAATGCATGATGAACAGGATATATCCATCTTGTTTGCTCAGTTGCTTCCATGTACAATTGCATACATGGACTCTCTCAAGAATCTTGAGTCATCTTTGGTAAAATCTTCAGAACTCTCAGCACCAAACGATGCTTCGACAACTACTGACGACCCTGTGCAGCTGATCCCTACATTGATTGCACAGTTTATGCTTGCTACATTCGTACCCAACACTGACCCAACTTTGAAGTCTTTATCAGATAAACAGCTGTGTTACGATGCTCGTTTAAGAGCAATTCTTCGCCAGCTTTCTTATAGAATGATCGAGTCTTTGGCACTCACTCCGATCAAATCTACCGAAATATCAAAATTGGCTGCTCTATATATGAGCGATGCTGAAAGGCAGGTTTCATTAATACTTTGTGCTAAAACATTCCACCCGTCAAATCAACAAACGGATGAAACCTCGGATGCTGCCATGAGAAATGCTAGTGCGAAGCGAATTGCAAAGTTTAAAAAATGGGCTGGGATCGGTGCTGCCACTGTTGCCGGCGGTATACTGGTTGGTGTGACTGGAGGTCTTGCTGCACCATTGATCGGTGCTGGACTTGGAACAATATTTACAGGAGTTGGTTTGGCTGGAGCTTCTGCCACTGTTGCTGGAATGGGAACCATTGCTGGCGCTGCTATTGTTGGATCTCTATTTGGAGTTACTGGCGGTGGTCTTGCAGGTAACAATGTTATCCGCGTTCATCAACCGAAGCAGTTTGACTATCTGGCATACTTGTACTAACCCCATATATATGTTGCATGACCCAACTACCAAATCATCACCAGCATACAAACTCAACAATAGACTCAAGGATATACAAGAGTTTTACTTTACACAAATCAGTGACGAAGATTTCTCGGGTGCAGTTCCACTTTCATACGTGATCGCTATTGCAGGATGGATTAATACTCCCGAAGACGCGATTGAACCTTGGCACGATCTAACCATCATCTCTCCCTTTTCTCCCATCAATGCATTGACATTTGAAACTCACCATTTGATATCACTCACCAATTCTGCCAAAAACTTTCTTGCACAGACTGCAGTTGTTACAACTGCTACGCAGGCAATGCAGTTTACGATTTTGGGTGGCTTGGTAGGTGCAGTGGTTTGGCCAGTTGGTCTACTTCAGTGTGCATGGGTGGTAGATAACCCATGGAGCATGGCATTGGTAAAAAGTGAGCAGGCTGGAAGACTGCTTGCACAAGATATTCTTGGATCCTACATGGCTGGAAAACGCAGTGTTAATCTTGTTGGGTTTGGTGTGGGTGCACGTGTAATTATTTATTGTCTTTTGGAACTCGTCGAGATGGCCAAACACAGCGACACTATCACCGGAAAGGGAGATTTATTTGGAATTGTCGATAGTGTGTATATTGCTGGAACAGCCGTGGCAATGCCAGTAGCTTCATGGGAGAGTATTCGATGCATGGTTGCCGGCAGATTTGTTAATGCATATAGTTCCAATGACTGGTTCCTTGGCTTTTTAAACCGTATGTCCATTAATGCGGTTGCTGGTATTGGTCCTATTTCATCAGATATGTTTGAAAACGTAGATGTCTCGGACATCATTGATGCACACAAGACATATAATACCGCCATGTATCGAGTTCTTGAAAAAATGAAATTTGAGCAGCATGTATCTGCCTAGTTTTGCTTTATTCAAAACCTTTTTCATCAACGGTATGCAAATCAAAGTATTTGCTCGCTGAATACAGCTGTATTCACACATTAAACACTAAGAGTGTCAAAATGCATAATAAACAGCCAGTCTTGTGGAATGATATTTTTCTTGATCAGCATGGAAACAACAGTTGCATTCTCGAGATTGTTTTGTTGAACTAGAGTGCGAACGTGTCCGAGACTTATAATACGACAAAGTGGAGTTTTTCAAGGACAGTTGAACCCAATATCTGATTTTAAATTTGACGATCGTGAAATGTATGGTGATTCCAGACGAGAAAAGATAGGCTCAAAAATAGTTTAATTTGAGATTGTATGATGAACGTTGTGCTTATTAAAGAGTTGAGAATGTCCAACAAACATCCAATAATTACCTATTTCAAGATACATACAAGAGTGCTCTATTTTGCATGGATACGGCTGTAATGGCTGTTTTGGTATTACAAGTTGATTGAGTATCGAGGTTGTTCTTAAAAGTGAATTTCTGGTCAGGAATTGACCTAAACACTTTCAAGAAAATGCCAGTCGAGGAACAGCAGCATTCAGAAGGAAATGTACTCATCAAGTCGTACAGGCTGTTCAATGATGATGAAACATTGTCTGCCCAGTTTATTGAGTATGGAGCTACATTAACTCATTTTTTAGTAACAACCTCAGATGGCACAGTTAGAGATATTGTATTGGGATTTGACCATCCTTTTGAATACATGCGAGTCGGACATGCTCAGAATCCCTATTTTGGCTGCATTATTGGACGTGCATGCAATAGGTGTGTTGTATCTACAAATACTAGCTTATAAAAGTTTGATTTATTCACTCATCAAGCCTACTATGACTGGTTTATCTTGTTTTGGGATATCTAAAGAACTGCTTTTGGCAAATTTCATCTGAATGATCAGGACTACTTGCTGGATAATAACAACGGACCAAACCATCTTCACGGTGGAATCAATGGATTTGACAAATGCATGTGGAAAGGATCCATTCTTTCCCATCATCCACCATCCATCTCGTTCACTTTTAAATCTCAAAACAATGATCAAAACTATCCAGGCTCACTGAATATTACCATCACATATACCTTACAGGCTACGGATCTAGTAGTTCAAATCGAGGCAATAATGGATACAGATCAGCCCGACAGTTTACAGACATATGTGAATCTTACCACGCATCCATACTTTAATCTCGACGGGATGGTAAACCCAACTGTACTGGATCACACAATTGACATGGCTGGCGTAAAAGGTGTTCTTGAACTAGACGATACTCAAATTCCTACAGGAAAAGTGTTGGACTGCACGGATTTTGCTGATCGAGATATTGGGTTTGCCCAGATCCATACAAAACCCGATTACTTTTTACCAATCACACATCCACAGACTATTGCAAATGGATTGGAATGTATTGTGCGATTTGGCGGTGTGGATCACTTTTATTTGAAATCCCATTCTACCAAAACAAAATCCGATGATGAGTTGGATTCAAAATTGAAACATTGCGACCTAGGTCCGCCTGTAATGCGGCTGGCCTCTCATGCATCTGGAATCGCGTTGGAGATGTATACCGATGCACTAGGCATTCAAGTCTATACCTCGAATTGGTTAGATGGATCACTTTCTGCAAAAAAATCCAGCCAGCCAAGCAATGCTCAGTATGGACGATTTTCTGCTGTATGTTTTGAGCCTTCTGCACCACCCAATTCCATCAATAATCCAGCCTATCGCCATTTGGTTGTCATGGATAAACATAATCCCTGGACACAAACAAGTATATACCGTGTTATGTTGATATAGTAGTACTGAAAATAATACTTTGTGATCTACTGTGTTTCATTTCAGAATAAACCCATTATATCAAGCAAATACAAGTTTTATGAACGAGCATGTGCAGCCCAAAGTCGCCGTCCAATCAACGCAGATATAATAATTACAAAAATAACTCTCCAAGGCGGTTTAACAATTTTGTGCAACCATGAAACTATTCCAGCAGGAGGTGGAGAAGAAGGATGCTCCGACTCTGGTTCAAAAGATGACGTAAGACTGGATTGGGAAGTTGAAGGTGAAAGAACCATAGATTTTGGAGCAATAGCGTTTTGAAACCGAGGCTTTCTTGCAAAGAAATGAGTACGAGGGCGATGACCAAAAATACGGGTATATAAATAGGGGATCCAACTAGTACTTTGGGAAGGTAAAGTACTGGAAGATGTAGTTGTGGTTTGTGAATTGTGTTTCAACAGAGTTGTGCTTGATCTAGTAATTGGTCGAAAGTGTCGTTCTTGTGAGGTAGTGTCTGACAGCTGAATAGGAGTAGATGGGCGTGATAAATGGTCAAAATAAGGATTTGAACGATTAATCGATGCGTCAGGCGTAGCTGAGAGTTTAAAATTGGTCAGAGAGGTGAGCGATCGTGAACTTGGTGTCCGTGGCAACCCAGATCCAGAGCGGTATTCCTGAACCCGCAATAGCAATTGTAGATCTGCAGCAGATCTCACTGATATAGGAGGAAACGTCGGGGTTCGTGAATGGTGTGGCTCTGACATGTCTGTGCCATACGCTGAAGAAGATGACAAGGAAAATGCACTTTGTGCATCAAACCAGGTTTCATGGACTGTAGAAACAGGTGACATGAAAGAAGCAGGCATTGGGGATTGAAGCATGCCCGCTCTCTGTGTTTCAAAATCAAAATCATCAATCTCTTCGTCTTTGCAAGCCATACGATCCATCATACATTCATGTGCTCGTGTTTGCTGTATAGGTGGAACAGACGATCCAAAAGAAGTAATGATTGGACATATGTAAGGAGACAATGGTAAAGCACAATCCAATCCGCCAACCGCTGCAAATTGAAAATAAATGTGATTGGAGTTTAGTATTCAAACTTGTAAAGATACACTAACATATGGCCAGAATAATCTGAATATCTAGCTAGATAGCCAAAATTAAACACGATACAGCTTACATATGGGTATGCATTCAGGTGGAATATAATCAATCAGTTCGGGTGTCGATATAAATCGGAGTTTCTCTGTTGCATCTGCACTCAATCCAGTTCGCAACACGCTCCATATGCCGGCATGAATCCATCCATAATTGAGTACCAAGACCTGTCCGATAAATTGCGGAAAATGCTTTTGAAAAATCTCCAAAAAGAGTGGCAAAAGCTCGTAATTCTAATTTTGGTTTAGGTTTAATTAGCCAAAACCCTATATTGTCAAGTGTTGGTATCGACGCAATCGATAAATAAAACCAAAGCAATAACAATAGGCTTACAATGTTGGACATTCCAAATCCAGAGAGATCGACTACGACTGTACATTGAAAGAATATTGGGACTGGTTCATTGCTACACGTAGATGCTTTTAGTGATGAAAGATCTGACAACGCACTAGCGGGAGCAATGCTGGGATCGTTTTGGTTGAGGCTTTGAATCCACCGTCGTCCGACCTCAAGAATGAAGATGACACACAAGCGCAAATCTTCCAACTCTGTTCCATCGCTGGAAGGGATAAAATGCCGAGGTGTGATGTGTAGCACCGGCAGTCCTTTGAGATCTGTTTTCCAAAATTGAAATAATCCTTTCTGAAGATATTCCACAGTGCGAGGACTAAGCATTTCAAAACAAAGTTGCGATAGATTATGTGTCAGTCGCCAGTCAATATGTGCTATCAATGCTGCCTGTGTATTGGCCATACTAAATTTGTGTTTTTTGAAGAACCGTAGTAGTAAGGCTACAAATAGTGTACGCATTAGCTTTAGCATGAGTTTACCGATTGAGATATAGGAGCAAATATCAAAATTGAATAAACAAGACTAGGCCATGCTAGGATATTTTTATAGACGCAGTAAATGCTAGAGGTTTCAACCCAGAGAATGGATATTGAATGCCGAGACATCAAACTTGGATAATAGAATTCCAACGGACATGTGGAGCCAAATCACACAAGATTGCGGGATTCAACTAAAGCAGCTTGCACAATTCTGCAAGAATTGATTGTATGTTGAGTCTAGTCACTAGTGTAACCCAATCCAAATAAATTGATCAAGACCATGTCATATATTTATGAGCTCACCCTTGTCGAGAATGAGCTCTGCAAAATGCACGAGTTCGTGAGCAGACAAACTCAAAGAAGTCCTATTCTGAGTAATGCTCTCTTCCAGAAAACATTGCAACTCGGCAATATGTGCAGCATGTTTATCATATAAAATCTGATACTCTTCTAATTGATGTTGAGTAGCAGCAGATTTCTGGACCATTGATGTTGATGCACCGATATGAATGGCGACAGCATATTTTTTATTGGTGAATTCAAAAATGGTTGAAATTTGGCATTTCTTTGTCTGCAACCATCTGGCCAAGAATGGTTTATGTTTATTAAGCCCATTCATCAGTAATACTTTACAGCATTGCTGAATTCCTTGCACTTTATGTAGTTCCAGCCAACTGCTTTTTAGCGTACAACCCCTATATTTTGGTGGCCAGGATATTTCAATCGCTATCCAGCTAGCAAAAAATAATTCGTAAAAACATGAAAATTCTTCACCAAATCCAACAGAAAATAATCATATTCTAGCATGCCTGTGGAGCAACGATCAAGGCCAAAGAAGACGCTTGGAGAGCGTATTGCCGAGCTAGCCAATCCACGACCCTATGATTTTGATCCGGAAAATACTGGCAATGATGCCCTTGCTGAGGCTGAGGACTCGGGACGCCTTTCTGACATGAACAATGAAAGTGAAGACGATGCTGCTCGCAATCACTACGCTTCTGTGACTCGTAGCTCATTAAGGGATCAACTAGATTTAGATATGGATGATCCCAAGTACCTTGGAAAGCGAGTGACAAGAAAGGCTTTGGAGCAAGAAGAGAGCAATGAAGACAGCAACGATAGTTCTGATAAAAGTGAATTGGGCGAGACTGAAATAAGTAGCGATGATGAGCAATCTGCTGAATCACAAACTGATGGGTTTGAAGATGAAAGTGACCGAAATAGTAGTAGCGATGCTGATGATCAAGACAGTGGAGAGACAATGATGGCGACACTTGCTCGCTTACAAAAGGACCAAGGCAAGATGATGAAGGCCATGACAGAATCTGCTCAAGCAGATGTTGAAAAAGGCAAGCATGTTCGTGCACAACTGGTAAGCCATCAGATCTGTTGAATGAGATGCTTTTGATGAGCACATTAGCCATTTATTTTGATATTTCTTGTCAAGTTTAACTATCAACTCTAATCTTATGACTGCAACCCATTTCATGATACACACTAATAGGGATTATGGGATAGTCTATTGGACATTCGTATTCGTATCCAAAAAGCAGTGGATCTCGCGAATCAAATGCCACAAGCCAGCATGTATGAACAATTTCTAGAGTCTGCAACACAAGAAATATCTGCAGCAGAGTGCAGACAGCAAGTTAAAGAAACATCTGCACAATTAACAACGTTGCTTGACGATCTAACCACGCTACGTTTAGTAAGTGAGCAATTTAAATTTTCAAATGGAATTTTTTATTTTTCTTCCAAATGACTAAATATATTTCCTTTTGGGTGCTATCTATACTAGGAATTAGTGGATAGAAATCCTGCTATAACCATTGATGGCATCAAAGATATATCCCATAAGCGTAGCTACCTTTCTCTAGAGTCTTCTGATCAAGACTCAATCCAACACATATGGGACGATGTACTTGCTCCCTTTGACAATGGGTTTCTCACTTTCAGAGATGAAACCATCAACAAGTGGAACAACAAGGTGCAGGCCGCAAGTGGTATTCATTTGCACAAGAAGTTCAAGGCACTTGATCAGGTGAGTTTCCACTGCTATTTTAATCTGTGCTTTACCATATGTTCAAACTGATCTTTTCTGAACTCCATGCAGAGCGTCGTGTCGCAAATTCAACAAATATCACATGATCGTGATCGATTAGTGAAACGCACTCACTTGATTCGTACACCACTGACTATTCTTGGCAAAAAAGAAAATCCAGATGCAGAGGATCTTTCTCTTCATACCAGTTCAGAAGTAGAACTGCGGGACAAGCATTTGAGCAACTATGATCCCGAGATTTTTGACGATGGTGACTACTATCAACAACTTCTCAAGGAGCTTATCGAGTCTCGTATGTCTGACGCCAACGATCCAGCCATGCTCGGTGCCAAGTTTGCCCAGCTAAAACAGATGCAGAACAAGCGAGGAAAAAAAGCAATTGATACCAAAGCATCCAAAGGTCGTAAAGTGAGATACCATGTTCATGAGAAAATTCAAAATTTTATGGCCTCTGAACCTCGAGGTACCTGGCACGATGAAATGGCTTCTGAATTGTTTTCGAGTCTGTTTGGTCGCAAGATCAAAGATGCAAATTATGATGCAACTGATGATCAAGTGGAAGAGCAAAGTCATGAAGTATCGGCCATTACTGCTACTGATGGATTCAAGATTCTGGGCTAGTAGAATTGTATTCAAAATTATAAAGTCAATATAGCTTAATTTAGATGCAGTGGTTTTGATTTAATGTGTGCCGATCCAGTTGACTTGATTGTTATTGTTGCTCAATCCTTGTGATTGACCTGCGCGATATAAGCCGGCAGCACTCTTTGTTCATAGAGTTGCTTGTGACATATCTGCGCGGATATTAAAGATGATTTTGTATCAAGATGTGTGGTGCGGAAGTAACGATATGGCCAACGAGCTTGAACTAACATGCATTGTTATGTTTTTACCTGTTTCATTGGCTTGTATTTTTGCTTTCAGCCCCTTTTCTAGATCATTTCTGAATTAGATGGTTGTTATGCTAGAGAGCTTTGACCTGAGATGTTGTCGTTATGGTAACTATGCGCATCCCTTTGGGTAGTGTGTCTTTGCTGTGATCATCTCCACCAAGGTCTTTAAACGTCTAAACATTTTCTTTGTATTATACTTTTTGTGGTGAGTTATGGGATAGTCTAGTAAATAATGACTGCTTGATTTGCGTCAATGCTTGCAGTATGATAATGAAATAGGATTGCATGTGCAGTCATGAATCTACTCGATCAAAAATAAAGTTTATTTTATCAGTTTCGGTTTATACAAGCCTATGCGTTTCATTGTAATTCTTGAAGTAGCAGTTTAGCATGCTAAAAATACAACACATAGTTAGATGATCATTATCATAGCATGTATAGATCGTATCAATCAGTTAGGTTACCTTGGCCACATCATACGCAGTGTTGGCAATCTGCTGCCTCAAATCACGATTATAAGGCGCAAATTGAATTTTTTCGCCCAGACCTCTTAGCGACATGCATAATCCAACCAGCGCCTGTCGTAACGATCCCATTGCCTCTGCCAACACAACCACAATTCGTCCAATGTGTTCAGTTTGAAGCACCAAAGTGTTTGTATGACCAATAACAACCAAAATGAGACTGTGGATTGTGTTGCTGTCAGCATCGTTTTCTCGGATCGTGTTGAGCAAATCTTGTATAGCTCGAGCAACGCGATCTGTCACGTCTTCAACAGAAAGTCGAGCGCTTTTGATTTGATGGCGGTTGGTGTGTACCAAGCTAGGTTTAGGTGGAACGGCCGAAACACTGGTGTAAGTATTTTTACTTCCTGAGGTAGAGCGTACAGAGCCACTCTCACTGTCTTCGTACGTATTGCTTGAGTTGGAGAGTGACGACTTGTGAGGATAGGCTTTTATGTTTTTGTGTGCATAGGATAGAAAAGGAGATGATCGAGTGGGTGCACTTGTGGAGAGCACGTTGGTGTTTGAAGCTGGCAAAGATATTGACATGCTGTCAAACGTGGCGATTAATGGGCTAATTGCACGCCCAGATGCATTACTTTCTGATTGACCAGATAAATGATTTAATCCATTCATAGTCATTCTTAACGCAGATACAAGTGCACGAAATGCAATGGCAAGGTTATTTGTGGTTGATTCAAACAATTCTTGACTGCATGTTGTCAATGGAGTATTGGTAAACTGCTTTGCAATTTTCATCAACATCTTGCTACACGTCCCTACATTTGTAGTTGTATTTTCTAGTCGTTTGAGTGTGTCCACGGCAAGCGGCATGGTCAAATAGTGTTCGGCCTCCGCTGTGATATCGCGACAGATAATGAGAATAGAACGGAGTGGTGCAAACCAAGAAGAAATTGCAGAGGTCCTTACAGAAACCATGAGTTCAGCTATATGAGTCTGCATACTTACTAATAATATTTCTGGCCTGACTGCTGTGACGGTCGAGCCAGATTGAATGCTATCTTTACGTCTAGCCGATTTAGATGGGACATCGATAGAAAGGGCTGGAGATTTCATGGGGTTCATGTTATTTGAAGGTGCTCCATACTCTTGAACGGAGGTTTTCCGCGGTGCTTCATCACTGTGTAGAGGCTATTTTTAAAATAAGATGCATTTTCAAAAATATCATATTTGAACGGAACAGAGTTGAGTCATCAAATCAGCATTGCAACTTTATAGATATGTGTTGAATTTGACAAAAAATCTTTACCCTGTGATATGCTGGGCGTTGACTACTTGATCGAGATGTACTATAATTGGTAGAGCGTCTAGGTCTAGCCGAAAAAGTCGAGCTATCGTCCAGAAACTCTGATTTTAAATGTGCGCTAATATTATTCAAATAAGCATCCAATTCCATATCTGAAGTAGGACTTGGCACGGCAGACAACTGATTGAAGATTTTTAAAAATCAAAGAGTAAAATCAGTCTAATGTCAAAAAGCTTGTTCAGATTTTATGAATACCTACAGATACGGGAGAAGGTAGTTGCTGTCTGTAATTGGATGAGGTTTGGCGATAAGGAGTATTGACAGTGGCTGTACGACGAGCAAGTATAGGACTTTCAGGATAACTTCCCATAGAACTAGTGGGTGATACCACGGGAGTTGGGTTTTGAGATTGCCAATCAAACCCCAAAGCAGCTGGAGATTGACCTCGTCTAGCCGAATCCGGATTTGATAAAATCACGGAATGACGACTTGTCAACAGATCAAAGCTGTTTGTATCAGATTTTCTCCACGATTCATGTGATCGATTGGAGTTGCCAGCGCCTGGTCTTTCCCAAGATCCATATGTACGATTATGCGTGTTGATATTATAGGGCGGAGTATCATGGCTCAATGTAGGCGATTGGTAAAACTTCATTGACAGCTGTGGGCTTTGTCTTGAAGGCTCAATAGAAGGGTGCACCGCTTTGCAATTCTGTACCGCTTTGGGAAATCTACGACCCAATTCCAAAAGTATGCTTGCGGCAAAATTCTGAAATACCGCAAGTGACATTGTGCCCAGTTTTTGCCGAGCTTGGTTACGAGTTTGTGGCAGATCTGGTCGAATCAGCAAAAAAGGAACTATATCGAATGCACAGATTACAGATATTTAGTACTCAACGGACATTTACGGTAATCATGTAGTGAAAGGCTCATGTAAAGTATCGCCAAAAGGCAGATTAGATGGAAGAAAGTAAAATAGCGCAAGCTTTAGCAAATGATGGATGCAAAGTGCAATATCATTCATGGATAGCTTAACGAATCTAAAGTGATGATTGGATTTAAAAACATTCCATTCAACTTTTCTACAGAATAGAGTATAATATCATGTGAATATATTGGCAAAGAGTGCAAGGTAATGTTTAATTCCCTCAGATCGCTCATCAAACTAGACGGCAAGATTTCAATGTACAAATCAGACTACAAACCATTGGTATTGTTGACTGTCCTGCGAGTACATTCATCAACCATGTCCATTGCAAATCCCAAAAACTGCTGTGCAGACAACGCTGCTAATTGCTCATTTTGAGAAGCAGGTGTCTGCATGAACGGAGAACACAGAGCCAGATAAGTGTATATCGATTCATAATAAAAGATTGATTGAGATTCCAACTCTGCGATGGATATGGCGACGGGCGCTGATGCTGATGTGGACAAGGTAGCTATTGATATGTACGAATCGGCGGCAGTAACCATATTCACAGAGATTATAGAGAAACAGCAACTGTGTTGGTCTGGATGAAGAAACTGTTCAAACTATCTGCTTTCCTTATTTATTTCCATCATTCAGGGTTCAACCATCCCATGAATAAATAGCTTCCCTTTGCTACACACCTTGAATATTGCAATTTCAGTGACAAATGCCCGGGCTGACTACACTCTTTAAATTCCCGATATGAACATCCCCACAAGGAAAATTGCCATGGATTCGCTTGGTTAATTATAAACTCAGAATAACTAGTCGGTATTCAATATATAGACTGGAGTGCACTCGAGTTTGCACCCAAATATCTACTCGACTCATTTCAGTTGCTGCATGGCTTGGCAGTTTACGGGCGTAGTGATGAAAATGAAGCATTAATAGGGGTGCCAAATGCATAATAAGCAGCCAATTTTATGGAAAGATTGGTGCCAAATTTACTGGTATTTCTGTAGTGATCGGCATGAAACCAGCAGCTACATTCCTGATATGCGATCATTGCTCTCTTGAACTAGAACACGAACGTATGCAATTGTATTATAATGGATGTGTTTATCGAAGCAGTCAATTTGTAATGGGAAAACACCGAATATCCAAACATTGTATATTCCGAATAGAAGCAGTTACAAAAGTGTTCCGTTTACATGAATATAGTTGAATCGTATAGTATTCATAATAATGCCACTAGTCAAACCCCTCCTTGAATAGCTGCTTTGCAACACCCCTCTAAATGCGCTTGTTCATTGTATAAAAGCATATTTTCTCACTTATCTGTTGTCTACATGTATTTTGTATGGCCAAAATGGGATGTTCAAATCACTTTGCATAGCTTTATTTTGAAATGTGATTAAAGGGTCGCCAATGATATATTAATCTCGCTTTTAGGGTATTGTTCATGGTAATTTAACCAAACTACATTGATTTCAAATAATCTGAAACTATCTCAGCCAAGCATCTCTAAAATCACAGCTGCAATAGCAATTTTTTCAAATCCATTATACTTGTATTATGCTGCAGTAATTGACTTTATTCGGAATAATCAATGGCTAAATATCCGCTGTGCTTTCCTACTACACATTGACATTCTTAATTCAATCAACACACCATCCATCATATGATGTGTACAATCGGATTATAGTCGAGTTTGTTTTTCCACCCTTGACATAGCCATGCATTGTACGATTGCTAGGTTCATTCATTACAATTCAGCAATTGGATTTGGCTTGTTCAACTACAACCCCCTTTTTTTATTTAAAATATCGCACAAGTTTGTGTTTCAGTTCAAGAAAATAATGATCGCATATCAGAATACCAGTAAAGTTGGCATCAATGGGCTGTTTATTATGCATTTTGATACTCTTATTTAGTGTTCCATTTTATGTGAATACGGCTGTAGTGTGAATGGTACTTCATTAAACAAGGCAACATTTAACCAATTAGTAGGTAATTTTCAAAAAGGATGTTGTATAAATACATACACGTATTATGACATTCTCCAAAGGATGCTCGAGTAGACATCCGAAACTACAAAAATACATAGGCTTGGAATAATACAGGATATTGATTCTGCAAAAAATGAAGCAGTATAAACTCTAACAAAACAAATGTCAATATCCCAAAACAGTTGGTCAACTAATCCAAAATAGTGAGCAGCTCCTTTGCATGCTAAAAGTAAAATACAATGTCAGTAGCCTGATCAAAACATATTTGAGCCCACCAAGTTCATTCGATCTTACCTTGGCAATCTCGTAAGATGAATTCGCCACCTTCTGTTTCACAGATTTGTTTCCAGGGTTATCAAAAATCTCATCACAGAGAATTAACAACTGCTCACGAGAGTCTGCCATAGTGCCAATGACATCTTCAGCATCAGCTTGCATATCAGGATGTAATGGCTCTCGAGATGTATCAAACGTTCCTCGTGTTTCGTATACAATATTGTCTACAAAATTGACAATCTCGTTGATAAGATCTTGAAGGTCTCCTCCACGAGTAGATGATGATCGCATCGCTTGAAGTAAATCCTGAATTGTGTGAGCAATAACGTCTGTTTGCTCTTCAAGAAAAAGCTTAAGCTCTTCAATGTCCATAGGTGGAAGAACATCACGACGTGAATCACGGCGCGAATCTCGGCGTGAGTTACGCCAATTCTCCTTTTCTGGTGCAGCAGGAGCTATAAAGTTAGATGCAGGAGTTAGCACAGTGCCTTTGCTAGCCGAGTTAAATTGTCCCATATATGTCTCACCTCTGGGTAAAGATTTGGCGTTTGCAGAAGACAGCATACTTTGATCTACTGGGCTCTTGCCAAATTTAGGATCAACATATTTCATCATATCAACTAGATCGCGAAGAGAATAGCTCAGTTGAACGACCTCATCCTCAATACTATCAGCAGTAGACCGTGTACCCCCAGATGAAGCATGCTGCTTTGCTGCTGCCATTAAATGTGTTACAGAGTCGGATAGTTTGTCTTTGAGAAGCTGAAGTTGCTGACGATCGTTGGTATGAGTTGAGCCACGCTTTTCCAAAACTTCGCTATCATTAATGAGAGATTTACAAGCCAACAAAATAGATTTCATTGGTACCAGCACAGCGGGTGCTGTATCATTTCGTGCACTCAGAATCAGTTTATCCATAGATGCTTCAAATGCTCTGTATCGATCTTCTAAATCTGGTATATCTGAGTTTGAGGAAGGTGATGTAACAACTTCTGGAGCATTAATGCGGGGCTTGGAAAGATTTTTAGGCGATCCAGATGATATTGGCGACTTGAACGCAGTTGTGTCGTTAGCCTATTGAAAAGATAGTGTTAGTAACCAGCAACATGTAGTAATCTTTTAATCAATAGAAACTCACTTGGCTGTTGCGAAGTGTGTTGGCTTCCTTCAAAGCTAAAGCATGCTCAGTTTGCATACGGTTAATCTCATCTTGTAATCGATCGCGCTCATCTAAACTACGTTGAATATCGCCTCTTAAAGTATCGATTTCTGTACGAAATCGTTCATTTTCATCTCGTAGTCGCTCTGTATCCTTGATTGCAGCATCGGCCTCGTCTCTCGCCTTGTTTCTTTCGTCCATATATTGATCCCGCTCAACAATCAAATCCTGGGACTGTAATGTGAGTGTTTTGACTTCAGCTAATAACCCAGACGCTTCATTGCGAATGGAATCTGCCATTTTCGTTTGCTGATCGTAGTCATCCTGTAGAGAGTCATAATCCATTTGAAGTTTTTTAATTGTAGTCTGTGCATCAGCCTGTGCATCAGCTACAGCATCGGCTATAGTATCAGCCATGGCATCAGATTGTTGAATCAATTGCTCATCCAGTTTAGTAGAATGCATGATTTCATCTTTTAGCTGTTCTTCGTGCTTCTTGACTATTTCCTCAAGCTGAAGACACTGGTCTTCCAATTGAATTGCACGATCATCTGATTCGCGCAGATTATCTTCTAGTTGACGCAGACGCTCGTCCGATTGTTTTAATTGTTCTTCTGATTGTCGGAGTCGATCTTCCAACTGCTGTGATCGACCTTCTGATACATCGCGGCTCTTGAGTTGTTTCTCTAGCATAGTAATCTTGTATTCATAATCTGTACGTAATTTTGAAATATCATCCTAAAACAGTAGATTGATGAATACAAGTGCAACAAAAAGTATAAAGCAAGCCAACGGAGTCCATACCTGTAAAGAGCCATCACGAGATCGAGCACTCGAGCGGTCAACTTGTGCCTTGTCATCGTCATTACGAGACCGCATACCTCGACCCTCTTTACTAAGATCTCGTTCACGACTTCGAAACTCTCTGTCACGAATGCTTCGATCTGGAATTGGGGATGCAGTATTAGACCTAGAGGGACTAAGATAGTCTCTATCACGAGGCTCGCGAGGTTCACGAGGTTCACGATCTCGTTCAACTCGAGAAGGTAGATCAGTAGGTCTCCTGCCCTCTTGCATTCTTAGATTTCCTCTTGGTGGAATTGGTTCGGTTGGTGACAAAGGGCCTTGATCGTACCTATTTGAACGCTGATCATTTCCATTTGAGCGACCCTAGTCAAAACAGCGTAAAAAGATTAAAATGCCATTTATGCTAGTATAAATACTATTGGTAAAGTCGAGCATATGATTCAAAAGCATACCCCATTTTGAGAATCAAATTCGCTGGGAATATATGGGAATCGCTTTTCAATTTCAGACAAAACACCAGAAGCCAACTCCTTTAGTCTTGGTATAGGCAAAGTAGCCATTTTTTGTCTTGCTTGATTCCGAGTAGGCATCAAATCTGTCCGTACAGGTAAAAATGGGACTAAAAAGATTGATAATTGGATTAGTCGAGATTAGTGAATACGCATTGAGAATTCAAGACAAACTATAGTTGGGAGCATGACTATTGATCAGTCACAGTATGCTTAAATAAACCAATAGTCGAGACCAAAGCATTCTATAAAAGTTTCACATGACAATAGCCAAAACACAAATGGCTGCTGCAAGCAACTATTGAAGCTAAGAGAACAGTAGAAGAATGATTTGAATGCAAGGGAGTCTGAGGTGATTAGAGCAAAGAACAATAGACTGTTGCAGCATGCAGTTTGTATCAGTTATTTTGTAGCGACAACAGTCGAATATATTGAACAAAAAGCGATACGATCCATTGAAATGGTAATGTCTTGAAGGACAAAGTTCCAACAATATCCTGAGCTATTGAGATGACCAACACCACAAGCCTTATAGCAGATATTCAATCAAGACTGACAACAGTTTCAATCACAGCGTTTCTCCTGACATGACACTACTTGAAAGCATCCTCATTGACCCATATGAACTCTACACAACAAGACTGGACAACAAAGCAGTACCTTCTTTCGAGTCCTTTATTCTTCGACTGATTTCATCATACAAATCAGTGGATACATCCAGTAGCTGTTCAGGTGGTAGTCTAGAAAGTTTGTCCTTGCTGGCAGTGCGACCAGAAACAACATATGAGGCAAGATATTCTTTGAGCAGAGCATAGTGAGAACTGAATGTGCGATCCAAGTCCCTAGACATGATTATCCAGTATGTTGCTCAATAGCAATATATAATAATGAGGAAGTAGTTGATGGCCGCAGAGTTTCGTTTCAATAACAAAAGAAATTCAACCAACAATCGCCACCTGTTAATCCACTGCAATTATTCAACATTTTCGTTTTATTTCGAGTTCAGCAGTTGAATCACTTCGTTCAATAAATGGCTGATCAACTCTTGTTTATCCTTTCTCTTTGCGTCTAAAGTTGAATTCGCTTTCGCAGTCTTGAGATGTTGGGTGTAAATTGCACTCAATGTCTTCAATGAAGACATTACGCCTACGACATGTGCTAATTCAATCACCTGTTCCGATGTAAATACAAGACATAATCCAAGTCCTCCTACTAACCGCAGTACCAATTCATCCTCTTCCTTCACTGCTGATTCTTGGCATGACTCTGCTTTGGATTGAATTGCGCTACATAATGCTGCTACTATTTCACAAACCCATCCTTCGTCCGCCATCACGCCAGGATTGGCTCCTGTCCTGCTACTGTCCAACTTGATTTTTCGTAAATGACTGATTGACCATACAATATTGTACATGAGCATGGTTGCCGTTTGACAGAGTTGGCTATTGGAGGAAAGAAGATTATCTATGGCAATACTTGTAAACAGTGCACGTGTATCTGTCGCAGTATCATTCCCACCTGGTCGTGAGAAGGCTGCAAGTGGCATAGATGGATCTGATGTACGAAACAAATTACATCCAAGACGCAACAGCATTACACGAGTGGGAATTGCAACATCATCGCCGCCTTTGACAACATTCGACATTACGGTAGCAAGTGCATGCGATGGATCTGATACCAAAAAGTACCCTGCCGCTGCATAATCAAAAGAAACCAATTGTCGCACTATATCCAACGCTGGAAACATTTGACTTAATGGCAAATTAATCAACAACTGACTCAAAAAATGTTGCCAGCCCTCTACACCCATTAGTGTAGGACGATCACTTGTAAGCTTCATCCATTCAACAAGAGCTTGTGCAGCCTTGTCATCCCATGCCAATGTGTTTGCATCTGCAAAAGACTTTAATCTTTTGATAATCGCATCCAAGTCGGACGATAGCGCAAACCGAATAGGATCCATTGTAAGCAATTGACTTAGTTTACTCAGATCCAGCTTTGCATGATGATGAGGCGGATACGCTGTATACACAAGCAAGTCGATTGCGCTCTTGAGTTTCTGTACATCGGCACCACGAAATTCATGAAACTTTTTGCCATCGAGAAAGAAAATAAAGGTGGGTGTTGCAGTGACACCGTATGCTGCTGCAAGATTTTGAGCAAAACCAAGCTCAACCGATAGTCCCAATACAGGAGCACTAGGAATGTTCATCGCACCCAAAGGCTGATATGTTTCATTGATCTCGGTAATGAGACGATCGAATTCTGGAGATATCATTCTACAGGGACCACAATTTTTGGACGTAAAATCAATCGCAACACATCTGTGAGCAGAAAGCAGTGAGTCGAGTTCCTGTTGGCTGGTGCACGGACGTACATGTGATACTATATGATTGGTTGAAGATGACATGCTGGTAGGTTGAACTGCTTGACCAGTGCTCTGAGACTGAGATCCAGATGCAGATGTAGATTCAAATTTAGATGGACCGTACATACCCTGAATCATAGAAAAAATAGACTTTCCAAATGGACTATATTATAGACAAGGTAGAGTTTGGGTATTTTAAAAACAAAGTCGAATACAGTGCCTTGGTGTGCATTAAAAGAATCATTATTTTATGGTTTTGCATGAACCGGATAGATTCAGCAAGCATATGTTCACCTACGTATCCAAAAACTCTGCTGGAAGACCAGTAATGTGTGCAGGAATGTGTTTTCCAACTAGAAACTGACACACTTCATCGCTAAATGAATCTAAGACATCAAAGATAAGAATCATACTAAAATACAAGTGAAATTGGTGGCCACTTACTGCAGTTATTGTCTAGCAAATGATACTTGTCTGCACTATTAAAATAGAACCAGATTCATAGTCAGCAGTCCGTGTCGATTTGAAGATCCAACTATACTGAAAAACTTACGTCCAGATGCCTCGCATATTGGCAATGTATTCATCAAAAACATCTTTAGGGATATGAGTATAACCCATGGTGATAGTTTCGATAGGAGTGCCGTGCGGATCAGTGTTGGGAGGAAACACTTCAATTCCTTGGCCAAAGCAATACTCCTTGTCAAATACTGCCACTGACGTATGCCTTGATAACCAGAACAGTTAGACAAGTATACCACGATGAGGATATACATCAAGATGGCCAACAAGCTCTGTCCTGAACACTGGATAGTATTCAAGGAATAAGAGGCTGTCAACATATAGCAAAATAAGCAGGCTTACCAGATGCCATCAATTTGACGACCAGTCAGACTCATGGAAAGAGCCTTGGCCATACCATTCGACAGGTCATAAACCAATAACTGCACAAGATGTCCTTGCATTACAGATTTGTCAAAGAATAGTAACGAAATAAATGGTATTGATTATTTATCCGATTGCATGGGTTTACGGCCGTATTCACACAGAACACCAGGAATGCCAAACTGCCAGTTATAACGTGGTCGGTATCAATTCATATCAAATCTATTGGCTAACACTATGTCGAACTTCTTGGAGTTTGCTGATCTTTGTATAAAAACTGAGCATTTGTTCACAGTTGCAGTACATTCCACAACTGTGCAATCTTAGACTCTTGAACACTGGGTGATTTATGGGAACAGTTGCATTCCCGAGATTATTAAACTAGAACGCGAACGCATGAGATTAGAAACAAAAGTCTGAGTTGTATTGAAACTATTGAAACAGTCAAACTCAATATCTGACTTAGACTTGGTGATTGTACAATGTATGATTGTGCCAAATAAGGATAATGTCGATCCAAAACTATAGTTTAATTGTGTGCATCATACAGTGGACGTTGTGTTGATTGAAACAGTCAATTTAAAATAGAACAGTACAACAAACATTCAACTACTGCTTATTTACAAGTAAAAAATACTTACTGTAGAGTAGATATTGAGAATGTTTCATTTTACATGAATACTGCTGAAACGACCCCAGTTTAATCCAAGTGTTGGATCGTAAATGGATATAAACTAGCAAATATTTGGAGTTGAATCTAGATTCAAATATAGCAATTTCTATTGCAATCTATACTGCAGACTACAGACGATGGCATTAGTGATGAATAGTTTATCAAAAAAAAGATGAATGGGCCAAGATTCTACCAGACTCGATAAATTCATTACAAATCAAATTACTTGCGGTCAACTTACTCGACAACTTCTATTCTCGAAATATATAACCTCGTATAAAGATGGCCGGTGACGGTTCATCCAGCAAGTCGCCAGCATCAAATGCTCATCACTTGACAAACTCTAGCACTTCATCTACCAACACCACGGATTCATATCAATCGTCGTCAAGACCTTTTTTACATTCCTTACACACTGCACCACATATCACATCAGGAGTATTGCCATCGCTTATCACCACCTCATCTACTCATTCCAGCACCACTCCTGAAATGGACAAATTTGCTCCCACTAAAGAGTCGTGGATTGACTTGCAAAACACTGTTTATCCTGCAATTCGTTTTGGCTCTGTTTCTATCGCGGCTATATGTGCTGCATTCACTGGAGTGATGTTTGGATATCCTGTAAGTCTTTTCGTCAACATACTCTTAGTGTGTACTTTAAACCCAATGGATGGTTTAGGCCATGGTCTTGAAGGAGATTGATCCTGTCGCATTAAATCCATGCGTCATTATGATTTTGTTTCTATTTAATTTATCCATTGTGGAGCAGCTATAATCAAAATCTATACCATGCAATTGAACAACGCAATGTATCCGCTTACTGACAACTTTTTGTTTTGAACCAGTTCGATTCGATTAAAACAAGGATGCAGGCATACATTTACCCATCGACAATAGCATGCATTCAACAAACCTACGCTCAAGAAGGCTTCAAGGGATTTTACCGCGGAGTACTCCCTGTAGCTGTCACTGTTTCTAGTCTTAGATCAATTTCATTTTCTGTTTATTTCAAGTCAAAAGATGAGTTTTTAAAACTATTGCCAAACATAGGCGTGATGGCCGAGGGATCTACTGCGAGAATATCGGCTGCTTCATTTTTTGCTGGTGGAACGACAGGAATGTTTATGGCTGCACTCAGTGCTCCAATGGAACTTGTCAAGGTACAACGAATTGATGTTGGATGGTGTGACAGATACTATTGGCATTTGAACGTGCATAGTTGTGAAAATTTAAAGCCTGCTTTTGATCTACTGATTATTGGGCTAAACAAAATATGAATGTCTTGTGTTTAGGTTCAAAGACAATTAGAACAGGCACCCTCAAGTACAAGCATGCTTAAAACACCAACCATAGCAACCACCTCAGTATCAACGGCGACGCAATCTGCATCGATCCATTCCGCATCAACCACGAATTCGCTGCTTGCAACCAAATCAGCAAGTACAGGGAAAACCACTTGGCAATGGTTTAAACATATATATCGGACAAAGGGACTTCAAGGGTTTGCCATTGGATTTCATGTTCAGATCGCAAGAGACTTTTTAGGTACAGCGCTGTACTTTTCTATTTATGAAACATTCAAGATATGGGCAACGCCTGTAGATGAAGTGCCCGGACCCATGATACATATGCTAGGTGGAGGTTTTGCGGGCTCTCTATCCTGGCTTTTTTTATTTCCGTTAGATGTGTACGTTTTTATTGCAGTTTTATATAGTTTGAATGCATTTAAATCATGGGATGAATATTGGTTTATGCATTTACATTTTATTTTGATTTTGAATTTGAAAATGGAATATGTAATTAGAATCAAGAGCGTGTTTCAACAAGATGCATTTAAACCTCATCCACAATACCGTCGAGCAGTTGATTTTATTCGCGAAAGATTTGTCCGGCAGGGCATACGAGGGTTTTATCAAGGCATTGGTCCACAGCTTATTCGTAGCTTTCCTCTACATTCGTTGAATTTTTTAGTGTATGAACACATGCTGAAAGTATGTAAGAATATTGGACTGAATACGCAAAAAGAGGTCGGATCAAGTCGAGACTGCTGATATATCAAGCATACCATTCAATTAAAGTGGAGCAGATCTTTACCAAAACTAGTATAGAGTTATAGAAGGTTTGGATGGTATTGTGATTTACAGCCATTATTCACGTAGAATGGACCACTAAGTAAGGATGCCAAAGTATATAATAAACAGTCTCATGAAATGATGGATGTCAAGTTGCTGAAAAACATTGTGATGTCAACCTTTTAATTTACTGTATTCTGGTGATTGACAACAGTCAAATCCAATGTTTAGACTGCAATGTATGACTACTAAAAGAGAATCTCGATTCAAAACCATAGTTTGTATCATGACGAATGTCGTGTTGATTGGGTCGAAAACAGTAATCTGTAATAGAAAAATGCAACGAATATTTAGTTATGAGCTGTTCTGAAGCAGAACAAGTCATTGCAGCATAATACAGGTATTTCATTTTAGACGAATATGGCAGTAAAACAACGGGTAGTTTGAGTACTAGTTCATTTTCGAAATAGTCCAATGATGAATGGAATGAATCATGACTTGTAAGTATCAATATATTGGATAGTTTTACAGGGTAATTTCGGCCGAGGGTCTAGAAATATGGGTTAACAAATAAGGGAATATAGTATGAATAGCATCAGATCCAGTCACCATCAATTAGACGGTAGTGGTGATCGAGTTGATATATGGATAGACAAGTAGAATATCTAACAAGTAATGTTCTGTAAAGCAACCCAAGACCATCAAGATGCAACAATGGATTGAAAATAAACTCAAACGGTAGCACAAAGCCATTTGGCGTTGAAAAGGAAACCATTTATTCGTTTCTGAGCAACTCACTCCGCCCCACATTTTCAAACGATTATTTGTATAACAGCAACTATTGTTCATCCAACAATAGCTATTGTTCGTCCAATAGTAAGCATTGCAAGTATCTAGAATTCAGCCTGTTTACAATCGTTTCAAAGAAACCAACACTAATTAACGCAGTATCCAGACGTTTGGAACGAATTCCAACCAGATTGTAATCGACCGTTTCTATTGCTGAAAGTCTATGAAAACATCTGCTCAGAACATTGATTTCGAAACAGTCAAGTCGTAGTTAATCAGAGGCGTCCATCAATACGAATACCTCGAGTGCTTAGTTTGATAATACTCGAGTATTCCTTAGAGTGCTCTTGATCCACTTGGGCTCAACATCAGCTTGCTATTTGCACTCCTTGGACTCCATACTGCAGCAACTTAATCTCTACTATTCCACAAAGGTCGCTAGTTTCTGCTCGAGTCAGCACGACTGCTCTGCCAAACAGCTGCTTCTCTGCTGCTGTAAGTCAAGCAACCTTGTCTATGCCATTGCTACAAGCCATCGGGCTCTTCTCTGAGCGACTGTTCGCACAACCCACTCCCACTCATCCTCCCCCTTCAGCTCATACTACTGCCAGATTACTGCAGAGTCTTACTAAACTGCTGTTCAAGCTCAAGCTCGAATCATTGGCAATACTGGTACGACCGTGCTATCACATTCTTTTTATTGGTCTTTGGAAACTTGCAACCTGTCAATCTACTTGCTCAATTTTTCATCCCAGTATCACTTGTAAATGGCTGTTGACTGACAATATTTAACCCCATAATCGCTTATTGTCTTTCTATAGTCTCCACAACATCCTATTGAATTCTATCCACTATACGAAACCAAGGACTTTGCCATATGCATTTTTGTTCTTAAAAAGGGTACCACCATGCCCACCCATGATCATCCTGGCATGACCGTCTTCACGTATGTGCTTTGGATCTATTGTTCATAATCTCCCAAATAAGCGTGATTACTAATATATTGCTTAGAAAACTCATTTCTGGAGATATGCATGTCAAGACCTTTGAGTTGATAAATGATTCAAACAGGTAGGAAATACATTCAAGAAATAGTTTGATTCCATCCTGTTATTGTCTAATACTGTGCTTTTTACAATCTGGTATTGAGCTTGCTTTATTGTGTTTGCTATTTAGCATTTTGAAAAATGCTAAATGCCAATTGTAGTCTCATTGGTATATGCTCGCTTCTAACTACTATTTTGTATGTATGATTGACATGTTTGCTTTCGGTTGATGCTATTTTAATGGGTACCTGTCAATAGTTACAAGCATGCAATAGATCCAGTTAGTGGAGCGCCACTTCAATGTAAGAGTATAGATTGAAATGTGGTTATTGTTTATAAAATCTATATTCATAATCTACCATTGGGTGGCCAGCATTTTTCACTCATCTCATAGCATGTCTGATACCAATATACGTTGAATGGTTGCATCCAGTATTCTAATCCACCTTGATTTTGTATTGGATTGACTAGTGCAACGTGCTCATGTTCGAATGGACAAGACCATCAATGCTGATAGTCCAGATTCGTTGTTAACCATTGTTCCTGATTCTGGTCCAAACATGCATTCGTTCACCGCGGTTTCCGATTGTGTTTTTATCGACATTTTGGGCCCTCCATACGATCAGAATCGATTATGCACATACTTTCAGGAACTATCACCCAGCGGTTTCGAAAAGTACTTTCCAAATGCTAAACTGAAGATTAAAGATGCAACTGCTGTATCTATAATGGAGGATGTGGTAATGAATGCTTCGCTATGCGAGAATACACATACTCAGTCAACATCACGTTCAGTTCCATCCAAGGAAATGCAAGTTGAATTTGAGGACAGTGAACAGTCTTTGTCGATTGATCATCTTTCCCATGTTGCCCCTTCTTTATATGTGCAACAATCCAAGAAACTAGCTGAAATTCCACCCCCACATCTAAACCAAGTAGAATCGACTGCAGCCGAGTCATTGCCTTTAAATTTATCACAGCATAGATCTTCGCAGCGGACCTCGCATATTTCCCAAGATCTGACAGACACTCCCTCTGTCGCTACCACATCCAATAGTGCTACATCTACTCGTCACTCTCAGTTATGTTCTAATCTGGAATCCGCGCACATCTCATCATCCCATAACAGTTTTGCTCCACCATCTTCATTTTCTCAGGAAATGGGAGAAAAAGGATCATCAGTTCAAACTCTTGGTTTGGATCACTCTAGAACATTGCTAGCCAAAACCCAACAGCCTTTACCTTCATCTTGCTCTTCCGTCACATCCGACATGACTTTTATCACCAAAACTCCCACACCTTTGCATCCTGCTCGATCTGACATCATAGCCCAAGATTCAGATGACCCTACCGCTGTTTGGTTACTTGAAGTATCCTGTATGGAGTATGATTGCTATGAGAGACGATATGGAGGAGAAGACGCTGTTCAACCTCTAATTCCTCTGGCACCACCCACTCACACTGACTCATCTGTATGTTCATCTGAGACCTTGGATACCAATACTTTACTAGCATCTATTCCCATACAACCTGCTTCCCATTTGCATCCTACGTGTTCAAACTTGCCTTCGTCTCCATCTGTTCCTTTTAAAACATTGCAGCAAAACCCTTTCATGTTGAATGGAACTGCTTCTAAACAGGAATTCCAGTGTCAGGAAAGTGACGGAACTGGACTCGGCCAGAGCAATGCTGCACCATCAAGTACCGATATGGGCCGAGAAGTTGCACTGCGGCGTGAATAAACTCATTTAGTCTTTATATTGCTAATAGTTTAGATTATTCATGTCTAAAAACATAAATGGATGAATTCTAAACTCGAAACACCTTTTCACTTTGTAGCCATATAAAGACAAGATGAACTCTTGGCAAACCATGTTGATGAATTGTTTCCAAGTATATTTTTATTTAAATCACCAGCAATCATACTGTCTGTTTAAATCTCACTCCATGTTCAAAAGTGTACATGACCCAACTAATTGGATGGAGAGTAGGGAAGTGGTGTGACGATCCGTGCTTGCATATGATCAATCAACTGAACGGTCTTGTGGACAGTCTGTGACCATCCTTCCACCTCCCAGGCCTTTTCACGCATTTCTTTGCGTACCTGCAGATCTCTAAACATTTACAAGTATGAAGGATGAGTATGTAAAATGTGAATTAGATGGCGAGTTCCATCTAATCCAAGACGTGTACATGAATGTTTACATAAACGCTTACGGATAAGCCCACATATGGTGAACGTAGTTGAGATGTCCAAGCTGCGAGAACCATGCACCAATTGGCTGCACAAACTTGCTTCGTGCCTCGAGTCCACGACGCCATTGCTGTTCCCACTCGAGCATTTTTCCAGGCTGGAGCAGATACGTACGAAGTTCGTAAATGCTGTTTTTACTAGGTTCTTTGGGTAAAGTCACTGCAGTGGCAGATTTCCAAAAGGCAAACTCGAGCATGATTTGGTTTTCGCGTGATCGTAACATAGGACGAAGACGACGTTGAAAATCTTGATAAACCTGATCCTGAGCCAGTATCTTTTTGGTTTGAATGTATCCTGGATAGTGGTTGTATTGCCAGATATGGACTAAAAACAAGGTTGATAAAATGATCTGATATGGATGCCAAATGGACATTTAAACCTTGATAAGCATGGGATAAACATACTTGCTTGGTCCAGTTCACCGATTTCAGTAGTCCAACTACCAAACAGCTTTACTTCAGACCCTTGATCCTTTCCAATCCGTGGATAGTGCTCAGCACTGCCAATTGATTTGAACAGTAAAATGTAAGATTGAGTTTAAATTTGGCATATCAAGTTATTTAAAACGGCTGGCTTGAAAATCGAAACAAACCAAACATGGTTCTCAATCATGACCTACGTGAGAGCAATATAATCATCCATAGCTTCTGGTTTGACATTATGAACTACAGATCCGAACCAAAACAAGATGAATGGTGATCACGTATCGAATTGGACATACATTGTGCCAGATATCACTACATACCTTGAAGCTCATGCACATACTTTCCTCGTGCCATAAGCTTGGAATAAGTGACGCTCAATTCTTCTGGCTCGTTGCCTTCCTTGTTGGGTGCACCGCGCAAGATAGAGTTGAACATGGACTTGACTGACGCAGAACCTTGAGTAGGAGTCGACTCCAAAGTGCTATCCTCGCTGTCCTTGGAAGACTTTGACAAGGTGCGAACAAGCATAGGGTTGATTGAGGTCTGATTCAATGACTGCAGCAATGGAGAAAAAGCCAGTCTCTTGGAAACCATTGACAAGGGCCCACACTGTAAATACATGGCTTACAGACAAGATGGTTTGTGTTTGAAGGATAACAGGGAAATACAAGAAGTGACTTTCAGACTGATGCCAGGGTAGATTACAACTATTCAAACCAAGATTCCGATGAGCGGGTTGAAATCTGAGCGATGATTTGATGTTTCGTCTTGTGAATGGAAAGTCTCGATTGAATCTAAAGAAACTCGTCTTTATGAGTTTGTTCCTAAAGCATCAATACAATCGACTGTTGAATTCAATGTCAGTGTTTGAGATTATCTTCAGCAGTGAAATCCAACCATTTCAGTCAAGATCAACCGATTGCATTCGTGCTTCAAGTCCAACATTGCAAGTGTAGAGAATTACAGTTGGAATAATAGTTGACCATCAACTTGACTTAACTTGAACTTAAATGGCGCGACGATACGACTCTCGTACAACCATCTTCTCGCCTGAAGGTAGCTGTTGTATTGCAATGTACTGTATCAAGACTGCATGCAATACTAATCCATTCCTGTCTGCATTGGGTTCTGGCATGGCCCTGGTTTATCACTTGCATTGGATCTCATATTCGTTTTAACAGGCCGACTTTTCCAGGTCGAATATGCCATGGAAGCCATCTCTCATGCTGGCACTGCTCTCGGTGTTCTTTCCACTGAGGGTATTGTTCTTGCTGCTGAGCGCAAGACCAGCAGCAAGTTGCTGGAAAACATCTCTCGAGAGAAGATTTACAGGCTGAACGAGTAAGTCTGGAGTCGTTCTGTATGACTGGCTCGTTCGACAAACTACTTGACTGTACTTGACTGCAGTTGGTTTTTGAAGCCGTAACAATCAGTATCGCATAATGCTGTTCAATCAATGCTTTATTGATTTGATATGTCCGCTTGCAACGATTGACTATGTGTCTCTCAGATCTATTATAGTGTCATTTACATATATCATTGCCCTGTAATCGGCATTACTTGGACTGAATAGATTCTATTTAGTCAATGTCACTGATCTAGCTTTTCAACTTTGACCATCTAATCAACTCTCATATTTTATAGCACTACTTGCTGTGCAGTTGCAGGTTTGAATGCAGATGCCAATACTCTGATTAGCTACTGTCGTGTTCAGGCACAAAAATACTTGTTTCGTTTCAATGAGCCAATCCCTGTTGAGCAGCTTGTTCAGAATCTGTGTGATATGAAACAAGGCTATACCCAATATGGCGGTAAGTTTGGGTTACTCTGACTGTTAAAATGGATCGAATCTAGAATACATTGAATGTATTTTAGATGGTTGTGTGAATTCAATCTAGCATATTACCAAAACTCAATTCATTATAGAATGTGTTTGGTCAAAACATTCCACTTATTAACGCTAATTGTTGATTTCGGTTTTTTATAAATACTAGGTCTTCGTCCATTTGGTGTATCACTTCTTTATGGTGGTTACGATGAGCACTTTGGCTTCCAGCTGTACCATTCCGATCCATCTGGAAACTACAGTGGATGGAAAGCCATGTGTATCGGTGCAAACTCTACAAATGCCACTAGCTTACTCAAGCAGGACTACAAAGAGGAAATGACTTTGAAAGAAGCCAAAGCACTTGCAATCAAGGTACTTGCCAAGAGCATGGACTCGACCACACTTGGAAGCGACAAGCGTAAGTGTTGAGATGGATGATCAAACAAGTGCTTGATACTTTACACATTACCTTTTAACTAACTTGATTCAATCTTGTTCAATTACTCCTTCATCCAGTTGAATTTGCCACACTTTCTCGAGGACCAAAGGGAAATATTGTGTATCATGCTTTTACTCCTCAAGAGATTGACGCATTGATTCAAGAAGAAGGCTTGCTTACAAATCCACAAACCTAAATGCTGATATTCAATTTTGGATCTAAACCGTGTTATCTGGTTATTGTTATTCAAAGTGGTTGAATAAGTTTATTTCGATAATTAAAAGTGCGTGTCTTATATTTTTGGTTGTTGGAAACAAGGTCAGAATTTACAGCTGTGTATTCATGCAAAATGGAATGCTGGATACGGGTAAAAATCATGATAAACAGTCTCATGGAATGGTAATCTACTATTGATTAAACATGGAAACAATAGTTGCATGACTGAGACGTGCAGTACTTGTTTCTTGGGCTAGAACGCAGACATATTTGCGAGTTTTAGGATACATGAGTTGGGTTGGCAGTATCAAACCTGTTGGACTTGATTTCTGGATTGCAAATTTGTCGATCATGCCATGTATGACCATGCCAAAAAGGAAGAAAAAGCATGTTTAAAAAAATGATTTCTAGTAGGAAAACAAGGAATGTGCAACCATTGGATATTTCAGTCATTTTACGTGAATACGATTGCAAAATCATTTAAACTGATCAAAAATTAAATCAATTTGTTTCGAGTATGCTCAAGCCAGTCAATCAGTGTCTGACGTTTGTCAGAAAAGGGCTTGATACTCAGCATTCATCTTGGCTGCATATAGCTAAATACAGTAGAATGTATTCGATTTTAGTAGGTAAACAGCCGCACTCAACGTCTGTTAATCAACAGGCATTTTATTTTATTTTGAAATGACAAACCAAGACTGAGTATGATTATAAACCATGTTTAGTCAACAATGCATTCGCCGTGCCAAGGAATCGATCAAGCTGCAATACAAGCTTGCTGGGTCTTGTCTTGCAGTCTAATTCTTTTAATAAAAAATTGGTTCATGGAAGCTATAGAATGATCACTACAAGCGCATTTGTAAGTAAATCCTACCAGTCGCATTGCTACCGACAGTTTAGTACTATTTGATTGATTTACTGATCGATTTCTATGAATGGTATGAATGCATCAGCTCCGTCAACAAAAAATTCGGCATACCATCACTACTAGTCAGCATTTGACTAATCAAAAAAACGAATCTGAAACCAAGTCGAATCGAATGAATTTTAGCCAGGCGCCAATCATGGACGATTCACTCGTTCGCCGAGCTGTTCTTGCAAAGAAAAAAAAGAGCGTGAGAGATATTCGTAGCGAGGACGAGTTTCCATCTGGACCGTATGGAATGATATCAGCCCCAGCTACACAAGTATGTGGTGAAGATATGCGTAATCTACTTTTCAAATTAATTGCGATTTGATTCACATGAGCATCTGAGTAGACTACTTTGCTCTGGTATATTCACCAATGAGCGATACTAATGCTTTGTTCAACTATATAATTTCATAAACAGCCAGAGCGAGTTACAGCCTTTTCTACTGCAGAGCGATACGACTGCTCAGTCCTGTTTGGAATGCTTCAAAAACATTATCAAATTCTTCCTTACATGGCAGATGATATTTATCGTGTACGACTCACTGAACCACTCTCTCAAGATACTACCCAAAAAAGCAACTATTCAAGCCAGAAGCATTCAAATATCCAAACTTCTGAAGGTATCATGGTAAATATTGCTGATCCAACACTTGCAGAAGCATTCTTTTTTTCCAGCGGTACCTTTGTGACGTGGGGTGCAACAGATGAGCAAAACGAGTTGATCTTGGCACAAGTGAGAGACTGCGAGATCAATCGATATAGCAATGTTGAAACGGAGTGGTTTGACTACTTTTATGATTTTAATCAGTTGAGTTTGTTGGATATTGCCGATGAATACATGTATAAGGGGTTTTTTAAACCTTTGGAACACCTGTGTTGATACTGATACTGGATGATTTCTGCGTTTTCAATTACAAAAACAGACATGGCAGTATGGCATCGGATATCATTATTTTAGGAAACGATCACCCACTTGAGCAAGCCAAATTAGCGTATTCTGCAGGACTGGCGCGATCTGTTAAACTTGCTTCATTGGAAATGCTGCTTGAAGGACATTTGAACAAAAACCGAGGGATTCCAGAGATTCTTCTTAAAGGCAGACGTCTTCCTGTAGGAAGAGCAGCGATTCTCCGAAACCTTGGCGAACTTTTTTCACTCCGTGCACATGTAAATCTCAACTCTGAGCTTCTTGACAATCCAGATTTTTGCTGGTCCAGCCGTCGAATGGAGGAGTATTTTGATCGAATATCCCGTAGTTTAGATGTGCGACCACGTATTGCTGTTTTTAACAAAAGACTAGACTATGCAAACGAAGTAGCCGAGGTTTTGCGCAACCATCTTCATGAGCAACACTCGCTCAAACTTGAATGGTGCATCATTATATTAATTTCAGTAGAAATTGCATTCGAATGTGTTCATTTCTTGTCACGAGCTGCATAAAAAGCAGCCAGGGTTGTATTATTTTTGAAAGACTAAACCGATATGGTTTGTTGGAGTGGAATAAATGTAGGTTTTGGACTATTAGGGTTCTATCATTTAGTGTTAAATGCAAGTGGCCGTGCAGAGTGTTTTCAACATATGCTTATACGGGTATACGGTTTGTACTCGTTGACTATCAATGGATTGTGTACATAGAACGCCATTCAAGGATCACTTTGGTAGACAGCGTTGAATAAACAGATGAAAGCGGTTGAACAAGAACGCTAATCTGTGGCGTTGATTCACACTTGAACTCGACAATAGACTGGTCTGGGTCCATCAATGGATTGTGTTTGGCAAACAGATGCTTTGTTTAGCCAATGCATGCAACGGGACATTCAATCTAAACCATGCAAATGCTACGTTGAATTGTTAGTATATGCCATATGAGTTGATTCTTATTTCAGGGTTATAGTTCAAGTTTCCAGTCAGTCATAATCATCACTTGAGCCAAACAAACTTGCAAATCTCATGCCATTTGCATTGTCAATATTGTTGTGGTTAAAGACATGGCAATGCTGATTAGAGCCACAAGCCCAGTCATCACGCCACAAGCCAACAGTTCCCTTTGTTCACATAGCCAGCAATGAACCCGGTCAATTAAAGTAAAATGCGTTTCAGCCATTCAATATGAGCAATGATCATGCCAGCATAATGTGCATTCAATCTTGTATAATGCAAATAATGTTCTCAGTCTGAAACGGGTAGTATTTGTAAATGTAGGATTAAATTAATATATAAAGACATTGCTGCTGCTCCACATTCGTCCAAACCGCAAGTAGCTCACCAGATCTTTGTTGATAACTGAACTATACATATCGATCGTTCATCAGTATACACATTTTCATTGTTTAATATGCTCCATATCCTCTTACAATCCATTATTTTTTCAGCCTGTACTTTTCATGTTGCTGCACATGGCTTTCTTGCTCATCCTGGTAATCTGAAGGATGCATTCAGCAAGCACGCAGTCCGCAACTACGATGCCATTGACAACAATATTGACTCTCTGCGTAGTCCCATCAAATCAGACTCACCCGTCTGCCGTGGTGCAGCCAAGGGACCTGTGACGGACATTCGTCTCGAGAATGGAAAGAGCTTTACCATTACGATTGCGTTCTCTATTGGTGCTCAGCACATTGGCCCATGTGGCGTCGAGATTCTCGACGAGAACCTAGAAAACGCTGTTCAAATTGCTCATGTGGATGGACCTGGCGGCTGTGCCCAGAAACCACTTTCCCAATTTGCCACCGACAAGTCTAGTCCCGCTTCCTCCCAATGTCCCAACAATATTCCCACCAAGCTTGTTACAGATGATATGTGCTTGAGCGAATGGACGTTTGTTGTTTCAAACGTTGAAAAGATCAAGTGCACCAATTGTGTAATGCGATGGACTTGGTCTGGTCAACACATTTCTGTTACCAACCCAGAGAAATACGAGACCTGTGCTGATGTGCGAATCTCTTCCAGTGGTGCTCCCAGCACTGATACTCCCGATCCTGCAGCTACTACTACTGATCCCGTAGTTACTACTATCGATTCCACAACCACTACTACATCTTCTACTGTCTCATCTGCTCCTCGCAAAACTTTGTCTCCCAAGAAACGCCCTACCAAAAAGACCAAATCTTCCACACAACTTCCCACCAAAAACACTTCTGCTCCTGCTGAGACGAGTAATCCTCAGCCTTCTGGCCTTACAGCTGGTGTGGCGGAATGCAACAAGATGTCTGACAAGTGCAGCTTCCAGATGGCTTGTACGGCCGATAAACAGGGTTTCTTTGCTTGCTTTGCCAAGGAATCAAATCGTGCTCCTATACGCATGGACTGTGCCCCTGGCACTACTTGCAAGCAGAATGGACAGTTTATCAGTTGCCAGCCAGCTTAAACTGGAATTAATTGCACTCTCTTTTACTACCCAAAATTTGTCCGTAAAATAAAAAAAATATTAATGCAACACTCGGATAAAGAGGATATATTTTGGTTGTAGAAACTCCGCCTGCGTTTTGGAATCGTTTTGATAGCATCAAGCAGACCGCTGTTGCTGCAAATGGTAGCGCAGATCAGATCGTTTGGCAAATTGGCCGTGTCAACACGCCAGATTGTTGCCGCAGTACAAGAGATACAAACAATAGATGCTCCAGCCATTCAAATCAGCAGGCAAATACGCCAATGGTTGCCAGCATTCATGCACTGTCACCAGTCATGATGTGGTTGTTTATATTGCCATCACAATGGTCCTTTGACAGCAACAACCTATCTTGCAGTGATTATCTTGAAAATGTACAATGTTCAAGTATTCGTTGTGCTTTCCTACTAGGCATCGACTGCTTCAATAGACATTCCCAATTTAATCAACACGCCATCCACTGTGATGCACAACCAAACTATGATTTCAAAACCATTCTTCGTTTTGGCATAACCATGCATTGTATGATCACCAAATTCGTCCATTGAAATCCAGAGATTGAATTTGACCGCTTTAGTGTTCTCAATAAAACCAAAAACTCGATATATTCGCGCTTTAGTTCAAGACAACAATGATCGCATCGTTTAGGAATGCAGCTGTTGCTTTTATGCTGATCGTCCAATATCACAATGCTTGGTTGGTAGGGATTGGAGGAGTAAAGGGTGTGAGATTTATTGGAACTGTGGTGTGAATACTGGCTTGAACATTCAGTTATTTCCTATACAGAGCAAGAACAGGATAAAGACCAAGAGACCAATACTGTCTAGTGAATTTGACGAGCCATTTCTTACAAAACTGACTAGTTATTATACATTTTGACACCCCTGTGTTTCATTTTACATAATACGGTGTAATTCTGACGATCCCACCCTATCCATAAGCAAACAAGCAATCTATGGCAAAAGCTCTATCCAATAATTGCATTGGATATTATGCTTGCAGAAATACTCATGGCATATAATTTTCAACAGTAATAAAAAAATATTAATGGGCCAGTACGTATTCTATGACCAGTTCCATCGCCCTCATTGACACCGCCCGCACCCTAACCTCCCTGGACACCGTTACGTTGAAAATTACAAAATTTCAAGCTATTTATACAATCGAGCATTGCTCTTTTCTTTGCACACTTGGCAATACCATTTATTTTTATTCAAAGCTCTGTGCTTTCTTAGTTTCTGATTTCATTAAAGTCGATCTCGACATTTTTAGTAAGTTATTGTTGTTTGGGTTTCTTTGAATGACTCGGTGATCTTTTCAGCCACTGTCAGTGAACCAAAACTAACTATTTATTTCGGTTGCTTTTAACTTTTCGTTTTGATATTCCGACCGTTTTTACTTATCCAGACACATCATGTTTTCTCTTGCTCGCTCTCATACCGCCATCATGGCTGCCCGCAACACAGTCAAAGCATCGTCAATTTTGTCGTTGGCTACAGCATCTATTGCTGCCCGTCGCTCATTTACGCAGTACCTTCCTTCTGATCACTTGAAAGATCCTACATGTCCTCAGTTTATGGTCGGCAAGGAAAACGGTTTCTTGCCTCGCCAAGATCCTTTGGTTGAACTGCCTTCTGAGTTCAAAGAGCTCGAAAGCCTTCTTCAGCGTATGCCTCTTACCACTGCCAAGGGCGAAGTGGGTTTGCTTGCCAAGGGCGAGTTTGGCAAAGCAGTTGCCGCTGAACTACCTGAATACAATGTCGACCATATTACCGACTCTCAAGTTCTTAATGCTTTGTATCGTGACTATTGCTTTGCCACTTCAGCATATCTGCTTGAGCCCTGTGACATTTACTTTCGTGAGAAGAAAGACTATGGTCTTGGTCGTGATGTACTTCCTCGCAACATTGCCGTACCACTGGCCAAGGTTTCAGAGAAACTTGGTGCAAAACCGTTTTTAGAGTACACTCAGGTACAGTTGAATGCTTGTGAATAGTTTCAAATCAAGTGGTTTGGTATTAGAGGCGTTGTTGGGTCACTGCATTCCTTTGCACATGATCTTAACCTCCGCTCTGACTTGCAGGGTTGTTTCTTCGGTTCATGTGTTTTTGAGTTGGTGATTTGACTTTGGTATTCCACTCGTAGCACCAACATTCCAGTCCATGTGCTAATTGCTTGGAAACCAACGTGCTTTGCTTGTGCAAGCTATTCTCAACCTTTTACTTTCATCAGTACCATGCTTTGCTAAACACTATGCATGGTCTAAACTTTAGGGCTATGGACTGTACAACTTTACTCGCCTGGACAAGACTAAACCCATTGTCTATGGTAACGTTCGTCCCATTCGCTATTTCGCTGGTATGCCATCCGAGACTGGATTTATTCTTGTCCATGTAGCCATGGCTGCCAACTCTTCCAAACAGGTTACGCACGTTCTTGGTGCTTTAGATGCGGTCAAGGCCAATGATCGAACCCAGTTTGATCTTGAGCTGCACGGCATTCTTTCCGCCATGCAGAGTGTCAATGCTGCCATGGAAAACATGTGGACCGTCTCGGCTCCCAAAGACTACATGAAATATCGTACTTTTATCATGGGAACCAAGAACCAGCCCATGTTCCCCAAGGGTGTTGTCTATGAAGGTGTTTCCCCTGAACCTACCTTTTATCGTGGCGAAACCGGTGCCAACGACTCCATTATCCCCACCGCTGACAACTTTTTGGAGCTGACAGGATCTATGCCAGATAACCCTCTCACCGAAATTCTTCGTGATTTCCGTAGCTACCGTCCTGCCAACCATACCGATTTCCTTACATGGCTTGAAAAGGAAGCCAAAACTCTTGGCGTGCGCGCATACTCTGTTCAGAACAGCACCAGCGCTGTTCGCTATTTGGCTATTCTTGATCAAATTCGCGAATACCGTGCTCGTCACTGGAACTTTACCAAGGAGTATATCATCAAGTGGACCGATCATCCTGTTGCTACGGGTGGTTCTCCTATTACCACGTGGCTTCCTAATCAGCTCGAGTCTGTTTTGCGTGCCATTGAGGAAATCTCAAAATCCATTCATCCCGCTCAGCTTTCTGAGGAAGACAAGAAACTGTCCAAAGAACTGCTTGATCGTGCAGAAGTTCAACGCCGTATTCTAACCCGTGAAGTCGATGCACTGCGTAAACGTTTTGGACAGTAAATCTAGAGTCACTAATGTGGTTTAGTTTTCACATTTGAAACATTGTTTTTATGGGCATTATAATCGCATTTACTTCATCCTTCGTATAGGTTTTTTGACTTTATTTTCTGCATTTTTATTTATCTTATGTGGATCTCGAAAGCATAAATAAATGATGGGTTCAGTATAAATGACTACTTTTTCAACCCATGACTTTGATAACAATGAACAGTAGAATTGTAAACTTGGACTCGATTTCTAACGAATTCCAAATGATTGTACCATGCGCAATGCTATTGTCAAACGAATCAATGAGAAACTGGTTGAAACAGATATAATGAAATGACTGCAATGAATCGAGTGGTGTATAGCATGACGTGTGCAGAGGGTTGGAATTACCATAGCCTATACAAGTGTGATGTAGATTGTCAACCTTTTATTTCCGTCCAATAACGGCACCTGACATCAGATGAACGTTTCTGTGTGGTAAAAACAACTAAAAACATGGTGGATCATAGCAGTATTTGTGATACTCGTACAGTACATTGAGTCAAAATACTCGTGCATGTCAAAACTCTCCAAACATCAACGTGGTAACAATGGGATACAGAGAGGATATATTTTGGTTGTAGAAACTCCGCCTGTGTTTTGGAATCGTTTTGATAGCATCAAGCAGACCGCTGTTGCTGAAAATGGTAGCGCAGATCAGATCGTTTGGCAAATTGGCCGTGTCAACACGCCAGATTGTTGCCGCAGTACAAGAGATACAAACAATAGATGCTCCAGCCATTCAAGTCAGCAGGCAAATACGCCAATGGTTGCCAACATTCATGCACTGTCACCAGTCATGTTCCTAGTCGTAATAGGGTAAACCACTACATTCATTTTACCTATTCGTTGGTTTGAGCCTACCCTGAACAGCAGATAAGCTATCAATCGCTAGTTGTCTTGAAGAAGCAATCGGTTTAGGCTTGTTCATGATATTTAAACATCTTTTACATAGCGCAATAGTTTCTGGATCCTTTCTACACACCTCGATCCATTCTTCCAACGTTCCGCCCAGCGCGTTGCCATGTAAATCCCATAACTGATGTATACACTTTTCAATCTCAACGGTTCGATAACCAAGAGCCTTTGCGCATATCCACAATCGACACGCATCTAGCGCTTTGCCTTGAAAGCTATACGCAGTAGCAAGCTGTTCAAATGCCTCCAGAAACGGCAGAATACGCATTTCAATCATTTCATTAAATATAGTTTCAGCCTGTATTGTGTTCTTTGCTGCGCAACAGGCTTTTAACTCGAGACGAAGCAACTGTATGGGTCGATGCGAAGTGGATAGTCGTGCCATTTCAATAATACTCAAACATGCTTCGTAGTCTCCCAAGGCATATTTGGATTGAGCCAAGGGAATCAGTATAAACCAAGATGCTTCTCTGATACGAACGTGCATATCTTTCAGCAATGCTTGCGCTTCTGCGTAGAGGTTGTGCCGAAGAAATGCTACAAGCATCTGATGATAGTGCTGTTCACTTAGATCAGGATACCTGGGCTGTTCAAAAGTTGTCGTGGAATTTGAATCATGGAAATGCGGCATAGTTGAAGTGGTAGAATCCTCATCCCATTCTATATCATTTAAAACGCCGTCATCAGATCTAGACATTTTAGAAATGTTGGGTGTTGCAATACCCAAAGAGATGTCAGAAGTCTTGTTTTCTTTGATGATTAAAGGTGTAGATATTTTTTCTTGAAAACGGTTAGACCCCGGAGCAGATTTTTGCAACAAAAGATGACTAAATGCACGAGTCAACTGTGCATCGTCATGTTTGTCGCCATGGGTAGAAGTTTTTGCCGCGACAGACATCAACTGTGTGTCTGTGAATTGATAAAATGCTTTTGGGAGCGGGTGATAAGATGAGGCACTGGATTTGGAAATAAAATCCTGCCAAATGTTTTCAATAATAGTTATTTCATTACGAGAGAGTTCTAGTAAGATCTTGATAACCCGTCCGTTTGGAAATGCACCATCAGCAAGAGCACGTTTGTAAAATTGAAAGGCATTTGAGATTTCACGACGTTGATAGTAATAGCAAAGAAACATATGCATCACATCTGCTCGAGGTCGATATCCTAGCCCGCCCAGTTCTCGACTTTTAACCATGAGATCATAAATATAGAGTGCGTTTTCAATCTGATGTACTTTTAGGAATGCATGTATGAGAATACTCGTACATTTAAAGTTGTTGCGATCTGTGGAAAAACGAATAAGCTCTTCTGTCGAATGCAATTGGTCGGATAAAGTGTCGCTCAAAATCAGACATGCCTGAATGACAGACCTGGAGTCAGTACTAGGAACAAAGTCACCTTTGAGTCGAATGGTATCAAAATACTTGAAGGCAGAAGTGATGTCGCCAACAGACATCAGTCCAAACACAACATTGAATAAAAACTTGTCATGCGGCTTGAATTCTGGGTCTTGCAAAAGCAAATCTACTTGAACAAGAATATCCTGGAAATGATTAATGGAGATTTGAAACATTTTTCGGATCCACAATGACCAGACATCAACAAATACGTTTTGGTGCACCGTTGGGATCCAAGTCATCCACAGTCGTGCAAGCTCATAGTTTTTACTCTCCAAATGCCCGACAAAAACATGAATAAACACTATATCTTGAAGCTTGACATTACTATCCACGCATTGACGAACGAGTAGATCTGCAGAAATAGAATCTCCCGAACGTGCAAGAAAAAGCGCAGTGGTAGACAGTATATTTGGATCTTGACTTGGTCCAGCGTTGTCAAGAATTTTACGGGCACCAGCTAAATCTTTAACAGTTATATGGCGTAGTACAAGATCCATGATTTTTTTACTGAATAAAGGTTCACTGCCAATCGAAAGTCCAATGCTTTGTACTGCGGCTATAATGCGTTCATCTTGAGAATCTTTGCCAATTAAAGTGAGCACATTAAGGTCACGCTGTGTTAGCTGGATATTGCATAGATGGGAGTACTGGGTGTATAGCAATTTCAACATATCTAAATACTGAAGAGTTATAAAAAGATCTTTGGTATGCATAGATCTGATGTTTAAAAAGAGGGTTGTAAGGTAGTACTGAGGTATAGGGATGCCATTTGAAGCCAAGAGTTTAATAGCCTGAAGCATTCGAGAAGTAGCAATGGGTATAGAAGGATGCTTTGAAATAGTTACAAGCAATTGATTAATATGTTTTTTAGATAGTGATGGTAGATCTGCCTTGCAAAATATTTTCCATGACAAAGTTGATTGTTCAGATGGGTTGTGATAGGGACTTGAATTCGATGAGTTGTGATTAGCTGAATTTGATAATGAACAGTTTGGATTGTAGACTGCTGATACAGCCTGATTTGGTTTATTTAGTGAATGCCAATGACTGTGGGATAATGTTATACAAGTATGGATTGCAGACGATGAGTAAGTTGAACTTGAGAGTAGAGCAAGGTTTGAAGGTTTACTTGAAGTAGCAATGCAACACACAGTGTGGATATGAAGATGAGATTCAAGTCTGAATGCAATGGTTTTTGGAACATAGTATTGATGAAGTAGCCATGAAGATTTCATAAAATTGCTGATCAATTGGGATTCTATCGAGTATTATTAATGAGGAAAACGGTCGCGATAAAAACTAAATGTTTTAATTCAATGTTGGAATAGGAATCTACTTTACCAAGAATCTAGTATTGTATATCGAGTGTTCAAGAATCAAGTGTTCAAGAATCATAAAATAACTTTTGTTTTTGCAAGACAATAGTTTCAACTTGCATTTCCACTTTGTGTTCATAATTTCCGCCACTTGGCATCTTAAACGACAAGTGAACCAAGTGAGCAGTTGCTACTATTTTATCAGAGCAGATTGAACTGTGGCATTGCCGTCTACTTTGAAAGTGTCTGTCATTCACATTACTTTCCATCTCTACTGACAATCGCTTTTTATTCACTTGAAACTAGCTGGTCGCCTGAGTGAATATGGCAAGTACTGTTTCTAAAGGGATCGCTTCATCTCAGGACTCTGCCGTCATAGACAGTGTGCATGACAGTCACTCTGAGCTGCAGAATAATACAGTCCAAGAACAGTCAGAAACTGCTGCTACGTCTTTCGCCACCATTTCATCCGCTGCCAGTGATTTGCTACCGAGCTCTCGTCAAGCTACCATGACTCCAGCCACTGCGAGGATAAAGCCTGCTATTGCTTCTATAAATACTGATTTGACTAGACGACCGTCTAGTCAAGAAGGCATCATGGCTGATAGGGTTCTGTCGATCCCAACTGCTGGCCGTGTAACTTCATTCATCACTCCCGACACATCACCAGGAACCTCATCTGGCGCTATTCTTCCTGGCAGCAGCCATGTCGCTAACACCAATCCTATTTCAAGCTCAGCTGCGTCTCTGCTCTCGATCAACTATACAGCCAATGTCAGTGATATGCTTATGACGACTCAGGATATTCTCAACCATCATCACTATTCCGACAGTGAGCGCACACACAGACTGGAAAGCATGTATATTCGGGCAGCTTCCAATGGCGATATTGGAAGATTACATGAGTGTCTGTATTCAGAGGCTGCCGATTGGATAGACTTGGATGCTGCCGAGGAAGAAGGCACCACTGCTCTCATCTCTGCTGCTTGCTTTGGTCATGTTGAGGTGATTCGTATGCTATTGGACGCAGGTGCTGGCATCGATTGTTGCGATAAAAGTATGTTTTGATATAGCCAATATGCTTGTTGTAGTGCTGATCGTATATCCAGTCATCATGTATATTGACTGATTTTGGAACCCATATTACAGATGGTTGGACCCCACTAATGTGGGCCTGTGCAAATGGCTACCAAGCAGCAGCCAAAGTGCTGATTGAGGCTGGTGCTAACAAGCAAGCCAAGTCTAACAGAGGTCGCAGTATCGTCGATCTGTCAACTAAAAACGGCAATAGTGAGATTGTACGCATCCTGGATCCTGGACTGGCAGACAACAGAGAACGCAAAGCCGCTCGAGTTGCTGCTCGTGCATTGGCAAAAGCTGCTAAACTGGCTGGTACTGCATGTGCAAATGACCAGACTGCATCTCAGGGCAGCAGTGCAGATGAAAATACTGAAAGCGATGATGACTTGCCAGATCCTGATCAACTGAGTCTCGACAGCAGCGACGATGATTTTGATTTCATGGTAAGAGTTTGACTCGTCACGCATCGACAATAATTAGTTTATTTTTAGTCAGTGATGCTTGCTTGTCTGTGCCATACTAAATTCGCTGTATTAGCCTTTAGAAACCACATTTCAATGGGACAGCTGCAGACCAGATCAAATGTTTGTTTTTGAGGAAGCAAACATTGATCATGTTGTCGATGTGATTGTTCGTCGCATTCGTCCAGGAAGAGGACCCGATTATGTTCCTGTTGGCGCCAACACCATCTTTCTCTGTGCGCGCTATGCCCACTATTGGAACTCGGATAGCATGCTATGCACATTTTTGAATCAATCCATTGAAAGAATCGTGTCTGCTCTTCAGGTAAACCTATACCATCAATGTGCAAGATGTCCGCAACAATAATCTACTTTTCAAGCCATACTGATCTTGTATTTGAATGTGTTGATGTTCGTTCATGATTTATAGGCATGTCCCGATGATATCCATTTCTGCGCATATTGGCTTTCCAATGCCATGCAACTCTTGGTATATATGAAGCGAGATACTGGCCTCTTGGTATCTACTTTTGATTCGCAGTGTCGTTTGAGTGAACTGATTCAAGAGATTTACCAGCAACTTGTCGCATCCATTGAGCGTAGCATTGGGTCTCTTATCGACCCAGCCATCATAGACTATCGGAAAATGCATGCCACATCTCGTGTCCGATACGAACCAGTCTTTTTTGGTATTGGAAAACGCAAGTCTTTACTAAAACTCAATCAGGAATATTCTCCACCACGAAGTCCAAGATCAGCCCGATCGACACGCTCTCATTCTTCAATCCCCCAGTATGAAGTAACCCCTGCTAGTATCAACTCTATCCTCGGTTCAACACTAAATGTATTAAAATCATGCAAAGTTCATGAGCAAGTCGTTCATCAGCTATTCCATCAACTCCTTTACTTTCTTAATGCCGAAGTATTCAATCGTGTCTTGACCACTAATGAATTGTGCTCACGTGCAAGAGCACAGCAAATCCAGCTTAATATTGCAGCGATTCAAGACTGGGTGCGAGAGCATGCTGCTGCCCTTCCACAAATCACTGGTCCTGCAGCATCATTTGGTCGTGGTGGTGCATTGGTCCAACATCTCCGTCCCTCAATGCAGCTTACCCAATTCCTGCAAGTCGCTTCGACATGTGGAGCAGATCTGGGTGGTTTTTTGGAACTCATTGGATCAATGAATATCCTCACCACTGCCCAACTCCATAAAGTGATGGAGAATTACAGATACGAGGTTGGAGAAGCATCCTTTCCACCTGATGTGGAGGCATATGTACAAAAACTGATAGATGAGCTGGCTGTTGAGAAAAAGAGAGGTGTCGAGGCTTTGGCACAAATGAAGCGTAGCGGACACCGATCTGAAGAGCAGAGTATGGATACCCCATCTGTAGCTACAGAAAACAATTTGGATTCTATTGTTGATGCCCAACTTGATATGACTAGAACCAAATCCGACGCGAAGTCAGAAGGAACGGCTATGTTTGATACAAAGATGATGGATGAGCCGGAACAAGTGCACAATGTCGACATGGATGAGGTCAACGATGCTTTGAATCCCTTGATCGACACACGGTTTATACTTCCCTTTAGTGTTCCTACACCAGGTCGGGATGATCTCTTGTGGAGCTCAATTCCTTCTATCCCACCTCAAGTCATGGGAATGATGGACGATACATCATCTCTGGAAGTTCGAGAAAAGACCGCGGAAAATCAAACCGTCTCTGTATCTAGGGAGAGTGTGATGGGTGGTTTGTATCGGCCTACTTCACTTGCTTCATTTAGACCACTTGCTATTACTGCTTCAAACTATTTGACTCCCATTTTCAACAGTGTGAGGTTTTCAACATCATAAATAAACAACCTCATTTCTTTCGTACACAGCAGGTTGCACAACACCCACATTCAACAGTCGATATTGATTATCAATTAAACAAGATGGACAAAAACTCATTGAATCTCGCTTGAATAGCCAACAATTAAAATGAACTCATTCATTGAAAAAGATGTATTGGATTGTTGCACAATGGATCAAGCCATTCACGGCCTATGCAAATGTATTATAAAGATGGCATTGCCTTGGTACTGAATTAGATATTGAATCCCATGGACCGCATACAGTCTTGATGTGCCTTGATCAAATCAGTGCACTGTTCTTCACCATTGAGAATAACGCATTCATCTCTGATTTGGCGAGTGTCTGGACAGGCACAGCATGGCTTACATTTGGGTTCTTGTTTTAAACTGGGTAAGCTGGGTTGCGTCGTTTCTGGAAAGGACTGAGTAGAGGATGTAGTGTTACCCATAGTTGTTGCTGAAAATGATCCAATGTTGATTGAATTGACGTCAGAATTTGCCATTTGGAAAATACTCGTTTAATCCAATCAAATTGTTGTCACAGTTGTGGTGACGCAGAATGAACTACTAAACAACTCGGTTTTCCTTGATTTCCAGTCAATCTTGCAAGCCTTTTCCTTGTTGCGATCCGTATGTCTTTGAAGCCTTGCAAAATATAAAACATGCTCAAATCCTCATGTTATTCTAGATAGCATTCCATTCCACAAAACAACCGACTCGTTAAACATGATCGGTCAACCATTCAACACATGTCGCGAGGATTGCATCTGCTCCATATTGTTCATTCTTGAACCCTGCAGAACATCATTTGAATATAATAATGGTTTCGTATGTCGAGTAATCCCAAACACCAAAAGATTGAGAATAAAGTCAATATGCAGTAGAAAAACAACACACATTTAACCATTGTTTATTCTGGAGCAAAATAGTCAATTCAAGATCAATACAGAAAAGTGGTCCATTTTACGTGAATATGGCGGTGAATACACATATTGATGCTTTTGATGCAATGAATACATCATTGTAAAATGAAATCAGGCTTTAATGGTTGATATCAGGTAAAACAATTTGCTCAGTTCCCGCTCGATAATAAATTTCCTTTGTTCATAGCCATGTCATGTCTTGTTCAGTTCACTCCAAAGTATCTAAACATAACCTTGCGGTATCTACACATTTCAAACAAATCCAGTAATTATTAAAACTAGACCACACGAGTCATGAAAAATAAAAGAGTTGCAAACGTACCCTTCGTGAATTGAGCCAGGATCAGATTGATAAAGTGTCATGAGAACGCCAGTTGAAAGGCAGAAATACAAAGCTTCGCCATTTCTGTCAATCCATTCACGAGTTAAAATCACTCAGTTGCACCCAAAAACCCCTGTTTGAACAGTACTAAAAATACAAAACCTACTTGATATACCGAGCGTATCCTTGTTTTGCCAAAGAATTGTAAAACGATTCTATAGCACGAGGAAGACAATACAAGGCTAGTTCCAGTCTTCTTCCAGGTACTTCAATCAATACCATAGATCCAGCAACCATCCCATTGACATAGTACATCCACGGCAAATCTCTTCCTTTCAACCAACGAAACAAACAAGGAAGTGTCCATGCAGCTGTCACATAACAAGTTAAAAACACTGTTGATCTCAAGATTGAAAATCCAAGATGAAACAAGGATCGTAATGGGCTATTGAGCACACGCTTTCCTCGAAAAATTAACATCATGATGAGATTCAAAGGAGCATATAGAGACATGGCACGAAACCATTCACCCTTGAAGGACCATAGCACACTATACCAGCAATTAGTGCTGGCAGGATGCTGCAAGGCACAGGCAAGAAACTCGTGTGGCGTTTGAGTAATAAAGTCTTTGAATTTTTCAAAAGACTCTACAGAAACTCCTACAGGAACCGTTTCTGCAAACGGAGTGCCTGGTGGTGCATCTAAAAACTTTGTGCTTTCCATATGAGTACAGGAACGAACAATATCTCCAAGCAATGCTATGTATTCACGAGGCCGTTTAGGCTGGAGCGATCGAATACCACCATGTGTAAGCAGAAACGAAAAGTACGAGTTCTATATAAAATTTATAAAATTGAAAATATGTCCAGCATTAGATTTTGGCAATGGTTCAATGTTTGGAGTCTCTTGATTCAATGTCATTTTGAGTCGACTGAGTTTTTTAAAGCATCACAACTTACTGCCAATGTTTCCGGTTCAGTTACATACGCGTTCAAGATCTGACTGGACGACAACATCATGACCAATACAGCGCTTGCTTGACGAATAAGTTTTCGTAGTGGATGATGTGTGTGATGTTTATCGTCCACATCATTGAGAATGAGCTCTTCGGCCCGAGTGTTTAGAGCTTGTATATGCAGACTATGCTGATCAGAGCGATGATGCTTGTGATTTAAAGCATGCTGGGTTTGATTTGAAGTTGCCTTGTCTGATAATGGACTTTGTACCAAATCCATATTACGATCACTGCCAAGTGAACCCATACAGTCGTTCTTTTTGGGCATGTGAGTAGGTTCATGTAAGGTTTTGATTTGATTTACTCCGACCTTTTTGGAATCTATTGATGAAGAAAGCTCGTTAAAATCAACATCTGTAGTGCTACTTCCTATCCAACTTCCATCACCAAGTTGAAATTGAGCCACATCGGCAGATTGAGGCACTTGAATTTGTAGCTGCTCATATTCTGAATCTGCATGACACTCTGCTGTGCAAGATTTGGACGGCACGATTGTATTTGGATTATGGTATCCAAGTTTTGCACTCCACCGAGCGAGATAGGCTCGCCAGATCCATCTTGACAAGAAATGAGTAGTACGAGTGGACAAGTAGAGAGCAATCATGACTCTACGTGACTTGTTACTATCCAAAAGAAGACTGAATCCTGCCAATGTTCCAGCCATGAATGAATTAAGCTTGTCGTTGCTGCCACAGAATGCTCGAAACGTGCAAAGAAACCCTTTATATGATGAGATGAAGACAGACATGAAGAGTGCAAACGAGATTGTATCTTGCCCACCGATCCGTAGTAAAATTCGTGGCCTGTAATCAGTAGATTTAAAAAAACAGATAATGAGCAATACTGTTGGATATGAAACACTATTTCTGATTGCAGGGCAGCATTTACAAACAATATTGGCGACTCAAGATCCCAGTGACAGATTGGCACATTAGAGATATTTCATGTGCGCAAAAACTTACTTTGAAAAGGCTTTGCCGGTTAATAAAGCAGGGAAAAACCCAAGAGCATACTTGAGGCCATAAGTGACCACGAATGCACGAACGAACGCTCGGACAGTATTAGCGGTACATGTGCCATGGTGTTTGCAAATTAGACTCTTTCTATGGCCTTTTGATTCGAGTCGATGGAGATTATCACTACAAGATAAACAGTTGAACAACGCATCAGTCTTGAATGAGTGCAGGATATCAATGGAGATTTGCATCGAGCATTTCACACATTGGAAGATTAGAACCAACGAATAGCCAACACTACTTACGCACTCAGTTGGCGCAGACGATGCTGTAAGACGGTAAAGGAAGAAACCAGCTTTTCAGTTTCTTGATCTGTTAGAGCCTGCGACAGCACCTGTGCGATACTTTCGACGAAATTCTCCCATAAGCCTAAACTACTTTCCATTGATGTCATGGCTTGGTAAGAATTGTAGATGCTTTCTAGAGCACCTTAAACTAGCTAGTAAAACAGATCTGGAATGAGTGTTGAATAGAAACTAGCAATGTTTATAAATAGAAAACCTTGACAAGTGCTTATTAGTAGGATATCAAGAGCACTGGATAACACCGTTTTTAAGAATAAAACAAGGCTGGTAACTCCAATGCACACGATCAGATCAAGCCATTCGTCCCTAGTCTTTCATGCCAAGACTCAATCCACTCATGACTGTGGATTCCTAAAAACTGGATTCAATGTAAATCTCATACCATCTTGTTGGCTATAGTCTATTATTATCTAAATAGCATCTGGTTGGGATTACCAACAGCATTATATCTTGTCAACTGTCAAGATATAATACTGTTGAATAGGAAGATATGCACACTGGATGGCTTGATTTGAAGATGATCAATCCAGCAATAGAGTAAAGCATACGATTGAGATGCTGTTACAATCCAGATACCAACATTGATATTTCAATGGATTGGCAGCTACAGTAGAATGATTTTGCTTGTTGATTCAACTTGATTTATTGAAATCTATTCATCTTGCCAATTCACTCGACATTCCAAAGGGTTGAATCATCTAATGAAGACATTGTTGATATGTCCGTCATGTTCCAAAATGACGCTTCTGTTGCTACTACTGTTTTCAATGCTGTCAACACTGCTTGGTGTGGATGCAAGTAAGTTTGACCAACCTTTTAGCAACTCCTTCGAGTCTATATACTTTTATAAGCATATCTCTGCATATGGTATTCGTGACAAACTGATGAACCCATTCCTGCCAGAAATCTTCAAGTGGACTATCGATATTAATGATCTTTTACTCTTGTGCTGGAATAAACAACAGAAATTGTATGGTGGCAGCCAGACGACACGTCACCTTATCTACTCCGATGTTATGGGTTTCGCATACCAGCACCAGTCTGTGTGGACAATAACTTTGCTCTGAACCATATCAAGGCAGGCGAGCCATTGACACTAACAGTTTCCCGTGATGATAGAGCTACACCAGCTAGCATCACAGTTTTATTAAAAGAGGTAGTTTGTAATACTTGTCAACGCATCGCATAATTTTGTAAATCAGCACTAATAGTAAACCATTGATGGATAACACCAACGTGTTGATGCAATGGGAAATAGTATCAGGGAAGCAAAGTGTTTGAATACCCTAATCTTCCTCTCCATCTGGATGCATCTCGTCCATCTTTTGCAGTGGCAGTATTCACTCCTGCATCATCAATCTCTCCAGGCGGCTACCACATTATTATCAAAAGCATGACTCTTCCCTTGAATATCTGGATCGACTCACCAAGTGCGAATTGGACACTCTCGGCACCAACTTTGAAGCAACTCGAAGAAACACGACAAAAGGAAGCTGCACAGGGACAGATCGGGAGTACAGTTACTGCAGGAGATCAAGTCAAACAAGCAGCAACAAGCTTACCTGGAATAGCTGTTGTCTCGGTCGTCCTGATTGGTGCAATAAGTGCATTAGTATGGACTTTTCTTGGACAAATCAAGAACTTAATCCGCAAATGGACATTGAATGATAGCGGTAAGGCTGGCCAGTATGAACGGTTTAGAACCGATGAGGACGACGATATTATTGAAATGAACACTACATCGGAAGCATAATTCATTACTGGTTTATTGTGATCAAGCTTGAGATTTTATTTATTCAATCATGAACATTTCAAGATCAGATGCATTCTGATGTACTGAAGCATGCTGACCGTTGATGTGTTTACACTCAAAGTAAACAGTTCATTGCATGATACTGGGACAGAAGTTGATCCTGAGTCTGGCGATGAGATACAATATCTGATGGCTGTTTGGAAACAAACATGGAATTGGAAGACTCTTTAAACTCTTCGAGCATACTCAAAAATGATTCAATATCACTAGATGGCAATTGAGTAGCATCAGACGAAATATGCTGAGTTGTATCCAGTTCAATCTTAAAATGAGTGCATGTTGGGTCTATTCCATGCTCACGCAGCCATACCTCTACATCTGCACCACCAATTAGCACAGTAGGCACAACAACCTTGATGTTTAATCCGCCGTTCTCGCATTCAGTGACACGCACATCAGATGCACCAGCAGCAAGCAATCTCTGAAGTGTAAGAGACACCTTGTGCATATGCTCGTAATGACGATCAGCAGCCGTTTGAATCTCCCGAATGTGATTCATGGACAAAGACTGCAAAGAAGGGGTAATGGATGATGGTTTGGTAGAATGGTCATACAAATGCATAGTTATGAACACATCCTGTTGGTTTCCAGCAGTAGCAGGAGGTTCAGATATGTTGGGTTGATGGTCAATTGTATCAGCCAAGTCGTCAACAGGGGTTCTTGATTGGAATCTCAGCAAACCATCCAAAACAACCTGACGACGAAGTCTTGGGTCCAACGATTCCAACCAAGAGTTAGTATGAAGGGAATTCACAAGCGAAAATCGAAAGGTATTTAATGGAAGTTGGAATAACGAACGAGCAGGAGCACGAGTAGCATATAGTTGCCAGCGATTCAAAGTTTTGCCAAAGAATAGAGGCAAGCGAGTGGAGACTTTGGCAGCAGAAAGAAGTTTTGGAGCAAGAGATACGGAAGTTTGCATAGGAATAGAGCCAAGACCCATGGCTGCCATCACCCTAGGCAGAGCCATGTTGAACAGTGACGCTATGCGACGAAACATGATGTTGAATAAAGCATGAAATTGACTTTATGATAAGATTCACGTGATTTGATTCATGATCGCATTCACTCAAAATAGAACATTTGCAGTCGCTTTGGTTTGGAATAAAGTGTTGGCTTCTTGATGGACATTCTCAATCAACAACGTTTATCATACAGAATCAAACCATCTTATTTTGGTATAACCATGCATTGTATGATCACAACAATCCAGATATTGATTTGATGTCAATCCAACTTATTCTATTGTCTCCAAAAACTCGAATACATTCTAGTTTGACATAAAGATTGCGTGTCTCAGGAATGAATGATTTCATGCCAATCATCAGAAACCAAATCAATGTTGATCAGTCATTTCACGAGACTAGTTTATTTAGTGTTTCATTTTACGTGAATGTAAATTTGGGAGACACTTTCTTCAGTCTGTAATGACCGATCCAGTGTTACGATGTAACAATCTGCAGTGCAGACAAGTTTTATCTACAAAGGCTGTCATTACTACGTGCAGTCATGTATTCTGTATGGACTGTGGATCATTAGCCTTTTCTCAAGCAATGGTATGGTGAGTTGATCTTTTTTTCGTTTCTCGCTCTATCCACTTCTAACATCTTGTTTAAACCATTAGTCCGGCGTGTGAGACATCCCTCACTCAGAGGTAATAACCTTATTCACTGTATACTGATATTTTTTAAACAAATGCATTGTACTTATACTGTTTATGTATAGAGATGATATTGTTGTAAGTGAACTGAATCCCACAGAAGACTACAAATCTAGTGTAATATCCGGTTTAAGGCCCGATTTGATCATCGAGATCGTTGGTCGTGCAATAAGCTTTTGGATGTACCAGGTTAGCCAAGAAGCTGCTTACCAAGCCATGGTGCGCAAAGATCTTGACGATCAATGCTCAAAGCTCGAACGGCAACTCCAGTCCCTCGTGCGCGAAGCAAATCAGGAAATTGCTGCTCTTCAAGAAAGCTTATCTTCTACTGTTAAAACAAATGAGTTGGAAAAACGCAGACACCATGAGCTTGCTGAACAGTTTGCTGAAAAAACCAGACAGTTTCAAAAGCTTCAGGCATTGTATGACAAACTAAAAAGAAAATCATTGGTGGCTCAGCAAAAAGATGGTCATTCCACAGCTATTCCTGCAGATCTAACCCCATCTTCCAATTTCAACTATTCTCAGGTAGATTGAGATCAATCTGTTATTGTTCTATTGATTGAATCGCTATACAAACTACTAAAATATACTTTCAACCTTTTCAACTTAGCACCCCCCTCACTTTGGCAATGCAAAACTGTCAACTCTTGCATCCAAAAATGTCCGTGCACCATTTGGCGATCATCAAAAATTCATCGGTTAGTATGTCAAAATGCCATATTGAATCTTGTAAAATCACTCATTGGTATCTCAACATTAGGGGCACCTTTCCAACAAGAAGATCTTCGAATCTCAACTCCGCTACCTTTTCCTGAAACGGACAAAGATTCGAGTTTTCGATTTCAGCAACAACAGTCTATGCTCGGTTCAAAATTCTTTACAAGACAGTCTGGAGTCATCTCGAATTTATCTAACCAAAGAAAATCAAGTGGGCGTGAAAGTACATCTCACTTTATACTGAGCCTGCAGCCCCAAAAAGGACAGCAGGCATCACTATATCATTCCAGACGATTCAAACCATCGACAACTGCACAGTCATTTTCTGAAGATCCAGCAAGGTCCGTTGTAAATGAATCACCTAGCGGATCTCATACTCGAAGCCACTAGTTTATTTCTCAACGAGTACATATTTAATTCATCAAGCTCGGCAATCTAAAATGCATTCACATATCACGCAACAGTTTTGAAATTACGAGTTGAAAGACAAATGAATAAACGCATTGTGCATCTTAATCTGCAGAGTAATTGCAAAAAAACTATATATTAAAAGTGAATTCAAAATTTTCCAGACTATGAATCTTGACTGCCCGATCACCAATCCATACAAACTTGACATCCTTGACCATACTGGAAAATGGAACATGTTCAATAGGTGCACCGACATTGAAACTGCGGAAACATTTGATACTCCCTGCAGTTGATATACCTACGCCTGCACCAAGACTACTTACACCTGCAACTGAAAAAGCACTACTAGAAGTAGCTCCACCAACAGAACTTATATTGCTATTTGATCCACTCCACGCATCCACCAAAGCGCCTAAAAATCCTACATGCAGCTGCCAGATCTTGACACAGTTTTCATTGATAGAGAACGTAGCCATAAGCTTTCCATCATTTGAGAATGAAACAGCATGCACAGGCCGTGTATGTCCACGTAAAATAAATGCTCTTGTAGCAGTTCTCAAATCATGAACAATAACAAACCCATCAGAGCTTCCTCCTACCGCAAGACGTTGGGTACCGGCGTGGAATGATACACTAGGATAGGTACGCACCAGTTCAGCAAAATTCACCGTAACGAGCTGTTGAAGTGCCTCGCGCATATTCGGCGTGTTCGGATCAAGTGTTTTAACCATAGCATCAACAATACCAACCAAATAAGGATATAGTATTGCCGGTTTCTAAACAATCATATACATCCCAATAAAAAGCTATGTCAGCAAATAGTTGAAGGGTTCATCTAAAGTATCAATGAGTTGAACCCAATTAAAATGCACCTACTTTTGTAATAAACATGCCCAACAACTTCAAACCGCTGGTCCGTTCGGATGCCAGTCGAGCATGAACCAAATCAAACGTGAGTGTGCTGATAAATAATCCAGCATTGATACTGGCAATATTGACAATCGCCTGTCGTGCCATAAGCATGATTGCAGGTGTGATGGAGGGCGGTTGTGACTGTCCAAATACTTGAAGTGAAGGAGATAAGGAAGTTCCAGGTGATGGTACAGCGGAACCGCCTGATTGACTAAAACCGGCAGGGATGACTGTTATGGACATAGGTCCTCCACTTGGTGTGGTGGCTTGTATGGAAGATGGTATGGCAACTAGCCCTGTTTGACTTACAAGGTAACGCAGTACGCTTGCACCATTGATGTGTGGTTCCCAAATTGCAAATGCACGACCAATAAGCTCCATTGCTGTTAAACGATGCGAGCCTCGTAAATCCTCTCGAATAATCATATCCAATGACTCGGCAACCTCTTTGCAGACGTGAATATTTAGCGGAGAGAATGAACTAGATCCGATAATACCAAGAACAAGAGCTGCACGTAAATTCATTTTTGACATGCTCTTGCATATCCAGGGCACTGTAAAATCACGTCAAAAACAGTAATTGTCAATGGGCAATAAGAAATCTCATGGATTGAACACATGTTCAAGTATTTGAAATCTATCCCGTGAAAATGCAATATTGACTTACAATAAGGCCGCCAATAAGACACGGTAGATGCTTTATCGCGCTCAGACATTTTGGTAATGGATGATTCTAGTAGTACTCTTGACGACTCTTGAACATTTGCTAATTGAGAAAATGAAGAAAATCGCCAGGTTCAACCCGTTTATGGTTAATAAAATCTACAAGTGCTAGAAACAAATATCTGCATCTTACCAACAGGATCTTGCCAGTACTTTGCCAAAAACGCAATCGACGGAAAAACGTATTCATAGCCTACAAGATCTGGTAATCTAACACCATACAATGCCAGTAGCTGGCTCACTTCAGTTTCTAGATCAGTAGAAGATAAAACTGATCTGCAAAGCGAAACAATGGCCAACAATTTTAAAGCAGTCGTAAACTCTGACAGCCTCCATCCATTTTGAATAGATTGGAACAGTCCGTGCTTGGATGGAACGGGAAAAGACAAATACCCATTCGCACCTCGGAATCCCACTGAAGTACAACAGCTTGGAGGATAAAGATCAAGCTTATCTGAGCACATGCGATCGAGTTCAGGATCAAACCCCCATGAAAGCAGTGCAGATAAAACAGCGTGAGTCATGACAGAGTCTGGAATTGCACCTCGTACCAACGAAAGAGGGCGTCCAGAATTGGATTTTCTCGCTGCTTGAGAGCCCTGAGATGATTCTTCAATAGATTTACTTGGATTTATAGATAGTTTATGTGCCGACTTTTTACGACTAAATAATCGTTTCAAAGCAATACGCTTTGTTTGCGATGATTGAGGTGAAGGCGGTGTTTCAGTTGCTGCTGAATTAAATGGCGATGCAGCACTTCCCTTTCGCGATAATACAGGTGTGAGCACCCGCTCTCCATTAGCAATCTCATCAATCAAGCGCTTGATGTTAACTTGATATACCAGCATAGTAGGAATCACTTGGGGTGAAGCAGTGACCGGATATATCGAGAGTGTTCGTCGAACATTTGCCGCCAGATGCGAATCAAGCGATTGCCGACATTGTGCTTTAATCTCGCACCCGGATATAATATCGTGTGCCAATGCGCCAGTTACAATACGGTCCAAATGACCTGTTTTAGTCTGCCAGACATAAAGCGTACCGTCTATACACTCCACTACAAACATATCATCAAGCGGTCTCACATAGAATGCCTCGATAGCACTCTGATGACTAGCAAACTTGTACTGACAAACACCTTCATCAGCATCAATAATTGAAACAGAATGATCCAAGGCAACAGAAATCACAGATGCTTTAAACTTTGCTCCAGACTCGGAGGGCATCGGTGTAAAGGATATAACTGGCATCGAATGACACAAAAACGATCCAAGAAGTTCTCCAGAAGAAACATTCCACAACTTTACAATTCCATCTCGAGATCCACTCAGCAGTCGTTCACGAACACCGTCCGTTCGAAAGTGTGGAACAAACAATGCAGTAATGGCATTTTTGTGACCACGCAAAATACAAATCAAGCTATCTGAAACATCTTGATGGCCAACATCATCACTTGAATTGTTTTGAAGACGATCATAGTGAGTATGATCAGGCTGAAGACCAGAACGATCATATTGATGAGAAAATATTGGAACAGATGCAGGCGCGACAACAATGGAACCATCCTCATGACCAAGGACAATATGCTTTCGAAGAATGAGTGTAGCAGCAGTAGCTCGTGTGCCCGACATGTGCTGAACCGGCCATAGATCTTGAAATGCGATTTCTAAAATCAAAAAATATGTAAATACAAGACCCAATTAAAATGAATAGATTTGCAATACAATGAATAGGCATGACTTGCCAACATTTGAAGCAATGCTCAACATTTCAAACTGATATTGTTTTGCTTCTGGTGTAGTGCGATTGGTAGCAGCCAGACTTATTTGTGCCAAGTTTTCTTTGTCAGTAATATTAGGCATGCAAACATTGCGAACATTTTGTCCAAGCAAACTCGCCCAAAAATGAGTTTGTGTGAGTCGAAATGTACTCTGAGCTTCCATTTCAAATCGAAGCAAAAGCATAGAGTTTTGATGTGCAGCCAAATTTGCCTCGACAACACAAATTAAAACATGCATATTCAAATGCGACTGCAAACTATTACTTGTATCAAAGACTGCAATGCATGTTGCTTTCCTAATACAGTCATTGACACGAATTAGCTAGCCAATTATAATTATTTCTATCAATCTAGGGTGACAAAGGTTACAGCACTTATAGTAGAAGAATGTATTACAAATAAAACCAAAACAGTGCAATCTTACTTGTAATCCTGGTAGCTATTGATAGTGATTTTAGATTGATTTACATAAACTGCAGTTTTTCCATCTGAAACAAGTGCAATAACGTCATTTGGAATGTCGAGGCATGAAATGGAATTCAAGTCATCAGCTGGTCCAAGATAATATACATGAGAAGTTCCATCAGTGGTCCATAGTATCATTGTGCGCTCAGAAAGAAATTTGAATCCAGCCCATGATCGTTTGGGTCCAGGACATTCAATGCATACAAGAAGGTTTGAAGTAGTTTTGTTTAGTACAAATACCTGGCATAAAAAATGTATATAGCGAATAAACAGTTAGCATTATATACATTATTATTTGATAAATAGTCGAGAATCAATGTTACAGATTGCTAGTATACGATATAAAATATGTGAAGCCAACATCAAACTCACAGAGCAAAATTTATGTTGTAAAACACAGATAATATGCTTGTCGAATCGATTTTGTTGAAGATCAAAAGCTGCAGTATGCTCTGGTAGATGTAAATTGTAAGCTTGTGGATCATGTGTAAATGTCATGATATTTTCATCGAATATAAGTTGGTGCAAATAGCCATCAAATGTAACCGCAATGATCTGCTCAGCCTTTTTATTGTCTAGATTTCAGTGTGTTTAAGCAAAGATTTAGTAAACAGATTGCATTTTTGATGAATATCCACACATGCATGTCAAAAACAGCTGGTAGACAGGATTAGGGCTGATAGTAGGGACTTTCCAGATGAAATATTCAGTAATCAAACAATATAATACCTGTCGAGTATAGCGATGCAGATGCAAACCATTGCTCTGAAAAAAGTGCAAACTTTTTGACAACCTTGATGGAAATAGAGTCAATATCAAATAGTGGCTAGAGGCTTGGCCCAAATTAACTGACACACTTTTGCATTCAATTACCTCGAGTGTTGATGAGTCTAGGATAGTTATATGGCTTCCAAGTCCGTAACAAAACAAATATTTCCCATTTGTGGTTTTCTATTACAATGTAGATGAAATAATTATCAAGTCAGTGTATACAACAAGTGACGAGTGTTTTTGCAAATTTACTATTTCTTATACATACTAAAATGCCACTAGGCACGCAATCGATTGCGTGCGGATTCGATTGCAAACAGCGACCATCTGCTATATCCCACATTGAGATTTCACTATACACATCAATCAAAAATTAGAATCACGAATCAAGCCCTATATTATCTCTGATACGTCATACTAATAGACAGCGATTCAAGTAAAACTATCTAGACGCCCTCATTAATGAAATGGCAAGGATGACAGGAAAGAAATGCATTTACCCATCTTGAGATCCGGATAAAACAATGTTTTGTTTAGTGGATGCCGACTCTACTTCAATGCAGCACAGTAATAGCACGGATATTTCATTTGAATGGCCAATCGATACAGAACGAGGAACTAGCTAGAATCATGGTTTTGAAAATGGAGCAAAAGTGGTACAAGATTAGCTCGTCTATTTGGCGTATAAAACCATGCAATACTTTTAAAAATCTCATTTTGTTGTATACAACAAAATGGCATGTGTATCTGAGCAAGTAGACGATGTATTTTTGAGCGTTTTAGTAGATACTTTGATAATGCAGTGTAAACTTGTACAAAGCAATGCAACGGATAGAAAAAGTTGCACATCATCAGTCCAAAAACATGATACAATGGTTCTGCATGCATCATGATTAATGGACAGTGATATTTTCCACGATACATGTTCGACTGATTCATTGAGAATGGCTTGACGAATAGCAACTTAAGCCAGAACAGACTATCGGATGATTGCGGTTTGTATTGGGTCTAAACAGTAAATCATCAACGCCCCGTCCAGACTTGAACTAACCTGGCTCTACTAGTCGAATTCATTATGGGTGAAATAGTGACAGGAATAAATGGCCACCACACTGACTGCTCACCTGTGCATTAGTATGGTCGACTGAGTAGATGGAAATAGTTCCACATTTTGACCCAGAAACAACAAACGCCCCGTCGTCAGTGGATGTAGCACAAGTAAGCTTGGATTGTGGAGGAGTCTGCCAGCAAGCAATAGGAACAATGAGTGAGGACATGCTCTTGAAGCAATATACTCGAGTTGTAAAGATGTTTGAAATTGTTCAAGGAATCGACTTCAATTGGCATTCTTGGCGCGTTCGAATCTGCAGTCAAATGCCATCACACATGCATCAACACTCGATCTTGCATGAATATCTGCCATATTGTTCATCAGACACGCTAAATATCAATTTTGTATTCCAACAGGTTTCAAAATATTCAAACCAGTAAAAGACTCAAAGTATTATATTAATAATGACTGGACTGCTTGAAAGTACTGGTACGTAGTGGAATAGAATGGAGTAATGAGATCTCGAGGATAAAAATCAATTAAATCATGATGATGCAGCATAAAGCAGGGTTTACAAGAATATAATGTGCATGCTAGAAATTAAATGCTATTGTAGATAAAATAGTCCAAGTGTATTGCTGGTATTAGTCTGCAAGGGAATAGACAATAAAAATATATAATTGTGATGCAACGACAACTATTTCTCATTCCAAGAATCGGCTAATGGATAGTATCGGTTATCCATATCAAAAAATGGGTTCTACGCGCTGGCATTGCTTGCCATATCTGTTGAATCATTCATATCTCCTAGTTCACTTGCTGGAGTGTAATGAAATTGAGCTGCATTATCATCGTATGTAGCACCTGATTCAGTTTGAAGTATATGAGGAGATGATCCAAGACCTTGAGTCAAAATATCATTATAATTGTAGTCTCTCCCAGTGCTACTCACACGCCTTCTGCGTTCATTGTGTAGTTGTTCAAGATTCTGGATTCTAAGCATCATTGACATGAGTTTGGAATTGTAGTCTTGCTCCATAGTGACCAAGCGATTAGTTAAAATATGATTTGTAGAAATTAGTTGAGCAACTTGAAGACGGGTCAAAGATATATCTTGTAGAAGCTGTGCATTTGTAATGGATGGATTTAAAGGCTGTTGAAATGGTACATGGTACTGAGAACGCATTGGCAAATGGTGTTCAGAATGTGAAGCTGCAGGATGACTAAACCGTCTATGTGAAATCAACTGGTCTGTCTCGTGTGGATAAACATGTGCACCAAGTATTCTGGGTAGAGTAGTCAAAGCGAATGATTCACGATGAGATGCTGATGTAGTAGAATATTCTGAAAGCGATGTTTGCTGTCGATCTTGGGCTGACATGAAACCCTCTGGCCGTATACCTTGCATTTGATCGTGTAAAATCCATGAGCTATTTTCAATTGTATTGTCACTTTCCAAATCACTTGGCGTGTGATTTGCAGCATAGTTGAGAGTAAAAGGAACAGTTGTTTCTTCACTATTGGCAGAAACGACTGCTCTATCGCCAATTGTGCTGACAAGGGCCGTGCTAGGAGTAGATGATTCTAGCCGATTAGAAAGTTGGAGATGCACGGGCATTGAGCTGATGTGTGTACTTTGGCGAGAGAGCAGACCTAAATGAACAGCTGTTTGTGCACTAGTACTTGATGGCTTTGGAGATTTGTCTTTTAATGTAGATGATGGATGTATGAAATGGCTTGACTGTGGGAGGGATGCATACTGTAGTATACGATCGGTTGTTTCAGCATGAGATGGCGATTGACCTGTGTTGATATGGAGTACATGTGAATCATGAGCATGGCCTCTATCGTCCCGAGTCGGGTTAATATGAGATTGGCGAAGATTAAGGTGAGGCTGTCCATATAATGCAGGAGATTGCCAAGACAATGATGAATCTGAATCGATATTTCTATATGAACGATGATGTCGAGGATTTATATACATTTGATCTCGAGAATAAATATGCTCTTGCTGATGAGTCTGGACTTGATCCACAGGCCGTGAGGTATCAGTAAATGGCAAATTTATAGAATAAAAGGCGGATGGAGAGTGCTGAGATTTGACATCTACAGACAACGAAGTGAATGGTGTTGAAGGAGGTTGATACGATGTTGAACTATAGAAAGACTGCTCTTGCTGCGGGTTTAACCTGTCTGAAACTAAACCACGCCTGATAGTATCAAATCCTGTAGAGTTTATCCTAACATCATGATCTTTGTCGTACTCATTTATTTCTTTGGTGGTACGATCTGATTTAATTTGGGGGTTGTATCTAGATGGACTGTGTGGATAATGGATCGTGCTTATATGGCTTGAAGTCGGACCTGTCATAGGATACGTACTATTGCTACTGTGTGACATTTTCTGGTCGTGTAAATCTACAGTTAAACCATGAGATTCAAAGGTATTCTCTGATGACGACGCTCCATAAGTTTTTGCAGGATAATGGTAAGCTTCGACTGAGCTGGATCCAAGCCAAGGTTGATGATTGTATGATGAAGTACTCTCTCCCATTGTACTGCTACTAATACTATGACTGGAATGATGGTGACTTACAGCAGCAGTAGTTCCTGCAGCTCCAGATGTGCCTAAAACTCTAGAGTAACCAAATGAACCATGAGCCAAAGCTTTACCTACCTCTGTATAAGGCGACACGGCATATCGTCCAGAAGCGCCAGCACAAGGACCGCGTTCACCTCCAGCTCGATAATGTCTGTTCAAAGCGTCTTGTCGAGCAAATGTACGATGACAAAATGAACATTGAAACGGTCGATCTCCTTTATGGAGTAGTTCATGTCGTTTAAGATCATGAAGTCTAGTAAATGACAAAGTGCATAGTCGACACGCAAATGGACGGACTCCTGAATGTGCCAGCTGGTGATTTCTAAGATTGAGAATCTTGGAAAAGGAGCTCGAGCATAAACTACAAGCAAACGGTTTTTTGTTGGTAGAATTAGGCAGGGCTCGAATTGCAGTCAGCATTTCGCGTGTATATCCTGCCTGCTGCAACTCTTCATTAGTCAAATTGCAACTGCTTCCAGGCATGCGAATGCGACTAACTTCTATTCCAGTTGAATAAGTAGATCCAGATGCATTATTTTGAAAAGAAAGATCTATTTGTGGTTGCTGGCTGGATTGATGGGAGCGCTGTTCGTGTTGGTCGGCCTGAGATTGTAATGATGATTGCTGAGATAACGTATTTGAATCCAACTGTGATTGCTCATCATTGGTATCTGCAAATGGTTTGCTTGGGAACATTAAACGCAAATGTATGCGTTCAACTCTTTCTAATACAGAAAGCTAAACTACAATGTATTGAGACTAATAAAAATAGCTAATTAGAATAGATTTTAAACATCTCGATTTGAATATATAGGCAAAATAGACAGAAATCTTGTCAGTGCAATGAATAAATCATCAGCATGACTTGGACAGCAAATTGTAGACAGTGACGAGAAATCAATTAGCCAAACAATAGTGTGAATCTATCACAATGGCTAACCTAAACATATACCTCATGCATGATTATATTAGTGATTGGCATAATCCATCATTGTCTGCAGTGATAAGAATGCAACTGCTACAAACTGGGATTGCCTTTTTACACATAATGCATAGTCCATCAAACCTTGCAATACACCACTATGAATGAATAGACCCTAGATATTTCTAGAATCGCAGTATTTAAGATGCATTGATAGCATTCACTTGCCGCGTACAATACAAATCACTTGATAAGAGTATCAATGAAGGTAACCAGGCGTTGAAGAGTTGAGGTGCAGAACCAATCATTTCGATGAACAATGCATGAGGTTGAAGTGGGAATGTATATTGCATTACAAGGCAGCCATAGGATTCATCAAGAATAGATCATGAGCATGGCAATATGAGCTATTAATGCTTCATGATTTCAATGAAAATTCCCACATGCTCCCAGGTGGAAATAGGGAAGAAGCAACACATGAAGATCGTGAATGCACTTTACATGTGTATTAGGTCAAGGTTTGGCAGTACAATGGAAAGACAAAGACAGCCTCTAAATCCAGGTAGAAGATTGTGTTTGCGGGTAAAGAGCGCACAAGACTAATAAAATGAACCGGGAAATGAAATGAATAGGTGTAAGTGCTGGTCAACTAGATAAGATAGTGGAGAATCTAGCAAAAAGACTGCAATGTGGCCGTGTAACAATCAGCAACAAAAAGCTTGAAAGTAATTTGCTTTGTAAATTGATCGACGCCAATGTACAAGATGGACAGAACTGTGTTTGAATAAAGAATATATTTTCAAATTATTGGATAAGCTAGACAGTAGGAGATATTTAAAATGAGTCTTTTAAATCTCTAGTAGTCTTGAGATTTAAAACACCTGGAATACAGACTTGATAAAATCTTGTATGCGGCGTGCGCCGCTTCCATTAAATGGGAGTTGGTGGCAGGTTCTTTTTCAATGGCTAAACGACTGACAGCGAAGCAGCATTCCATGTAGTTCAAATGAGCCAATTATCAACAAATAGGAGACATTAAAACATGAAGACACCTCATATTGGACTTTTGTTTAATGTGGAATGTGCCCACCAGATGGAGTGTCAACATACGCAATGGATAGTATCGTCATAGCTGGCATTGAGTAGCCACCATTGACGTATACTCATTTTCAGCCGTATAGACTATCTTGTCGAATGCTGATATTACAAAACAAATACCATATTTGTTGGTGCTGAGAGCATGTTTTCTAGGTGGTATTCAGTTATGAGTATGCTGCATTGATTGGCGCTAAAGGGTTAGAGTACAGGACTCGAATGATGTATGCGGTATGGCGTACATGGTACAACTATAAAAAGCCCAATGTTGTCCTCTACTGATAAAGCAGCCAGCGCTATTCAATACTATATCTCAATGTGCTATTCAATCTGACTGCCTACTCTATAATGACTAGCAGTATTTCCTAATGGTGCCGTTTGTCCTGGCAGTCAGCTGTGAATATCCATATCTTGCAAGAGCTATATTGATTCCACATGTTTTCCAAGCAGTTTGATAAAATGTACAAGCAGCGGCCCAACTGCTGATACGAAAAAATACACGCACGCAATCTGTTCGGCCTTGTTTCTTGAAAGAAAGCCCCGGAGAAATGTATGGGGCAGTACTCGATGCACTATTTCATGGGGAATAGTGAATTGATAGAGATACGAGTGCTTGAGGGTTGGTCTAAGCTGACATGAATGGATCAAGATTAGACCCATCAGTATAGATGGCAACGCAGCCATGGAAGCAAACAACCGATCAGGTGAATCAAGGGATGAACAATCTCAAGAATCGACACACCTTGATGCTTGCCCAAAGGATCGTGCTCTGGCAAACGTAAGCACAAACCATCAGCATCCAGATGTTGATGGATGCCGTGTACGCTTGGCTGCAACATTGCATTATGCACGAATCCTGGGCTATATGTAAACCCTTCCAATTCCCACCTTTGATGGCAAGGCAAGCTTACAGCCCGCTAATGTAAACCTGCCTCTTTCAAAACTTGTTTCCAAAAACATAATATACACTGATAGCGAGGGTTAACAATTTCCGATTTTATCACCATGTTCATCCTCATCGTCGCTAGCAACAGGTCGAGTTTAGCTTTGCTATTTTGGCAATACCAGGCAGCATTATTGTATGCCAGGATTTTTGTCTTTTGAGTGAATGTTGCAAGCATTCATGTCAGTTTCAGCAAATCTCACCCTTGACACTTGTCCAATCTCCTACAAACCGAATATCATAATTTTCAGTAGTTTGAAAAGGAGCAATACAATGAAGCCTTGTATCTTGTGAGATTGCGCTGATTGAACGGTTAGAAAGTTATGCTGAATCAATGAATGTGTAGCTTTGTTGGAGATATTGTTTCGAGGCACAACCCAGGTGTATCTGGCATGATCATGCCATTGTGCAAACTCCTGTTTATATGTCAAAACTCGGATACATTCATATTCTAGTGCAAAAGGACGATCAGAAATGCAGTTGTCTCCATGCAGTCATCCAATGTTTATCTGAGCATAATAAAAATGGATTTGTGTGGCGTGCAATTCCAAATACACTAGAGGTAAGAGTATCTATTAAAGAGGCGATCAGTGTGTAGTAGAAAGACGCAATGAGTATTCAGTTATTGTTTACTCGAAATGGAGGCTCTAATTGCAAGGTCAATACAAGTTTCATTTTACGCGAGTACGGATGTAGTACAAAGTTTATGGTGTGCCATCGATTTATGCAAACTCGAATCAGATACGAGTTTAAGTGGCATTTGAAGCAAGATGCAATTTTATTAGCCAAGTATTTGCAAAATGAATGTTTTATTTTGGCTTATATGGATTCAAGCTGATAAAAAAATAAACTACTCTGGCAATTCGCAAGTAAACTGAAGTAGCTCAGATTTGTTAAAGTTGGAAGTAAAGACGAGAAAAAAACGACAACCAAATAGAAAAGATAAATGGAGGCCATACTGCCAAAGATTGATATAAAAACAGGGATTTGTTCATGAATCTGTAGCAGAGAAATGGGTAGATTCATGAGAGTTTCGGTTGAGACCAACATGCATTAAAGCACGATGGGATTCGCTTAGCTGGGTTTCAAGAGCAAGAACCCGATGAGCCAGTTCACGCTCACGATGCATCCAAGTAGTACGTTCGCTTTCAAGTACTGCTAATCGGACAAGCAAGTCAGTTTTTTCAGTATCAAGATGAGTGACTTGGACTTCGAGTTCCACAAGCTTTTTCATTTTTCGTTCTCGCGATCGACGAGCGGCCTCGTTATTCTAATTACAAATGAGTCAGCACAATCAAGCAAACCAATATTTAAAGCATGGGTATATACGTACTCGAGCACGCTTGACCGCCAAAGGATTCGATCCGTTATAGGCATCGTCATGAGCAGCCAGATCTTCGTCAGTCTTGCGTTTGGTAAGAGGAGGTGTGGAGGATACAGGGAGAGTTTGAGAAATTTTAGCATCAGCCGACACAGTTGTTGCAGTGGAGTGAGCATCGGCCTGTGATTGGCGCTGCTGATGCAACTGGCTGTGCTGTGAGTATTGTTGGTGTATAGATGGATGCTGGATGGCAGACATGGGCAGGAAGGAGGAAGCAGGGGTCATGGAAGACACTGCACTTCTGGAATAGGCAGTGGGAGTAGTGGAGCATACCTTGATAGGTAATAGCGGTGACAGAGGACAAGTAGACTCTGGAGGAGAAGGAAGCAAAGCACCACCTAGCATGTTTGTGTTGGGATGTGTTGGAAGCTGCTTATTGTAATGGTATTTCTGCTGAGTAGTAGCGACAGGAGAAGTCTGAGCAGGCTCACCAGTGGAGGCTGCCAGAGGAGTGCTGGCCTCTACAGGAAATAGCGGCTTGGCAACAGGCCCAAGGTCACTGGAAGACAACAAGTCTAGCCAAATATCAAGATTATTACTTGATAATGAGTCCAGTGTTGCAAGGCTATCTGATGCAGTAGTGTTATCAACCCCAAGCAATGGACTGGATTGAGTATCAGCAGAGTGGTAGTTGGAGAAGCCCATGGACGGTCCTACGGCAAGGTTTAGGGGGATAGCTAGATCAGCGGAATTGGACTGACCCAGTGAATCAATGGAAGAAAAGTCACCCCATAGAGTGGCATCATTGTTGAAGAAGGGGGTTTCACAGACTGGTTGTTGCTGTTCACCAGTGAGTTGAGTAGTAGGAATAGTAGCAGACCCACGAGGAGCCTTTACGAAACACATGGCGTGCCTGATTTACTAGTTGAGAATTCTTGAAAAGGGTGATAAGTTTTCAAATCAATGCAGCGAGAGAAAATGGTAAATCAATGCACGGCGGCTGATTTGTCTGGTTCCCAACCCTGACAAGGCTTGATTTGCATTGCTCTCGCTCATTCTTCCATTAGCACATTAAACTAAAACCCATCTCAGTAGCCTGGACAGCATGGATTCTCCTACTCTACTCTATCCACAGGCATTGATCTGATAAATAACGCTTCCTTTAATGAAATATGTATATTTAAAAAAGGCTGAATCTATATCAATCTAAACGAGTCATTGGAAATGAAACAAAGTGGATACCCTTTATTCCAAACCATGGTATTTATGAAGATCCAACGTTGGATTCAATTGTGGAAATACTCTTGGTATCTTCAGAATCACTCATAGTAGCAATGCCGTCGGGCACACTAGCTGCCACTACAAGGGCATTTGCATGCACATCAACAGCGCTCGATTTATCTATTTCCATCGAATTCTGCTCAAGTTGCATTCTCACAATAGTCTTGTGTGCTTCGTCCAGCTGTTGCTGGAGAGTTTGATTACACTCTTCCGCTTGCAAAAGCTTCAAAGCCAGAGTTTTGTTTTCAGACTCTAAAGTAACAGCACGAATAGAAAGCTTATGCTTTTCTGCTTCGAGGTCACGTCGCTGCTCCTCTAGAGATTCAAGCTTCAAACTCTTTCGCAGACGACTTCGTCTAGCCGCCTCAGTATTCTAAACACATTCAAATAGTAGGGTTGATGAATAAACTCCAGACAATAATACAAAACAGTAGCAATCTACCTTGCGTCTCTTTGCCAAAAGATCCTCGCCCTCTTCCTCAATAGTTATTGATCGTGCTCTTCGCTTTGTATTTCCATCGGACTCGAGACCACTGGTCCCAGAAAGGGAGGCCGCTTGTGTAGTTGGATACTTGTTTTTTGAT